TTGTTCAAAAACATCCTCAGCTGCGTTTAGTACGTAATTAGTGGCTTTTTTAATTAGGTATATTAATATTAATATTGTAGCTGTACGGCTGTGACCACGTCTGAGTTAAACGTGAGAGACTTAAACCAAAATAAACCTTGCGGCACTAGTGTGAAAAGTACTAGACACTTGACATTGTGGCATCAAATTTTGAACAGTGTCATGCAACTTAATGTCGCGGCATCAGTATCATCGTGTGGACCAGGCTTAAGGCAGGTATCGACGTATAGTTTTAATTTTTTCGCCTCTTGTCGTGTCTTGTTTTGTACGTACTTATAGAATTACTTTAGGTTTGCATGTTTTATATTTTAATCGATAAACCAGACTAGAATATAAATATTGCCGAGTGTAATAATATAACAACATCCAATGGGCATTGCACCGATTATAAGAAGTCGAGAAGACAGACGGAGAAACCGGCCGCCACTGACCATATAAGGCACCGTCGTCGTCGTTGTTGTCGTCGCACTCCTCGCCGTTGCTGCACAGATATCGTCGGAGTCTGCGGCTGATGTATACCGGAAATGCATCGATTATTATTGTAATAGATCCGTTGCACACGAGCCCCGACACGGCAAAAATACACAGTCCCAACAACATAATATATACGTATATTCGATTATAATAAAATTTATTACGATTGTATAATATAAAATATCTTTGTGTAGTAGTCGGAACGATAGCTTAAAAATCGGATATAAATACAGATACGTGTTATAATAAATTATGTTTGTCCGACAAGTCCGCTAGTGCTGGCCTATGCCATTATATTTTATAGTATTGGGTATTATAATAACGATGGCGGGTTTTCTTCGCCTACTACGACTACATTATTAAATATAGCTAGGTATGTTGTCTCGTATCTTCGTAATCGCATCATGTATTCTGAAATTAATTTTTATCTAGGTGGTTACTTTGAGAAGGTCATTTTTTGATTTTTCAATAATAATTGGGAAACAAATTAGGAAAAACGGGACTTGAAAGTTAGACAGAAAATATATATTTGATTATTATAGACGTGGTAAAATTTACAAAACACTAAAGCCATTCTTGAGCTATTAACTTGTGGATACAATTGTTAGATCATATAGAGATGTTTGAACATTTAATTAGAGGTTCATTATAAGTCGTATTTCTTGGTTAAAAACAAAAATTGAGTGTAACGTAGACATTTGTTTATACAATTTTGAATATTAAATTTAATGAAATTCGTAAATATTACGGCTTAATTTGCAAATATTATAAATCAAAACTATTCCGAACTCCACTCAGAATCTTTTTTTGTTAGAAATGAATAATCATTGAGTAATGATGCACATTAAATTCCCCTCTATATTCTATCTTTCCAACTCCTCATCTACAGCAGTGGCCCACCTATCTTGCGAGTATGTCCATATCTTTTGTTTTTTATTATGTATTCTAATAAAAGAGAAACTGTCAAAGAAAACAAATTAAGTCATAATACTGAACAATTTGTTAATTATTAGTTAATACACAATAATCTTTATCTACTGACCTCTGAAAATGCCCCGATTTTTTCATGTTGTACTTACTATAAAAAATGCTGATTTTATGTCTGATTGTATTTAGTTTGTTAATTTATTATTTCTCCTAGTGGTTGCTGCACTCTTACTTAGTTTTACCATTTGTCTAAAGTCTCTACACACCAGTATATATCAATATACCATCACAAATTTTCCCCTTTCATTTTTCAAAACGCATCGATTTACTTGTCATTTACTCGTAATTACTTGGGCTTACTATTTACTGGACTCTGTGTGAGTAATACAATTTTATTTTCTGTGTTCTCGTGGAAATAATTTGTTGGTAGTTTTATGTAGATATTGTATTTGGAAAAACATATTGTACAATGTACATATTATATAAAACGCGTTTTTAGAAAGTATAACAATGAATTCTGCATAGTGCATACCGTGTGTTCCTTAAATATAAAGTTACTTAAATTTTCATATAAAAATAAAAATGTAGACTTCGGATAGCTTTATCTATATATATTTTTTTAACATCCGTTGATAAAATGTGAAATTTCCAGTTGAACGTGGAAACAGAAAAGATATTATTCACACTGTACACTGTACCTATATCATGGAAATAATTGCTATTGTTAAGTAAAACGTGTATGTTTTTAATAATGTTGATTTTATACAGGATGAACAGCCCAATAAGTCACTTATAATCTTGGAAAGCGTTAACTTTTTTTGATTTTTTAATATTTTTTTTTGGCCAAAGAAACAAGGAGCTCTAAAATGTTACATTACCATTATTTTTGTCACCTTTATTTTTGGGCTGAAACGAAACCACTATCTACTTCTGATTTTCAAGTAGCAACCTATAATAAGAATTCCATAAATAGATACATTTTTAGTTTAAATACATTTTGTTACAATATTAAATTTCTGTCAACTCGTTGACGAGCTATTTCACTTCTAAGTTCAAATGACACGCACATAATGGTAGTCAGCCATCCTTTAAGGGTTGAATTTAAATAAATCCTTTCTTAGCTGTTGCCTACATTGTACACGGAACAAGTTTGTAACTAAAAAATAATTTCGGAGAGGGGGGAGGTTGTAAGCTAAAAATTCGCAATGTTCTAATTTTATTATAATATTGTATAAATAATTATATACAACATAGTAATAATTTGAATAGTAATTAATAAAGCTAATATTTATTGGTGAAACTTACATTTAAACATAAATATTATTATGCAATAAAATATTATGTTTTGTCAACACACATTATTATGCAACTAAATATTTATTAAATTAAATTCTAATTATTTAAATCTAAATAAAAAAAAAAGTAAAAATTTATTTGACAAACTAAATTAATTTCTATGTCTTTTATTCGAAAAATGGTTTATGACGTTTTCTGAGTTTACATCTATATTCTCATGTACACTGAATAATGTTAGCCCAGTCAATTTTTCTTCTCCAGTTGCATTCCGTAGATTAATTTTTTTAACGCTTAAACAATTTTTTCGGGTGTTGCCGTAGTTACTGGTTAGGTTATTAGAACTTTTAATAAAAATTAAATAATTCGAAAAACAATTTTGGTTACAGTTAGAATATGCTTCGAGAATGTTAGCAGGCCGTTCTAATGTTGGTTTATCACATCACTTTCTTTTCCATTTTGTTATTCAATTGTAAATGTATCCAAATCCAAAAAATCTGGGTATAAATAGAAATCACTTGACTCTAATGTTGAATTAGTGCGTTTATCGGGAAGTAAAAATTATAGTTCTTTTAAATATTTATAATTTAAAATTTAAATTAAATCATCAATAGTTTTGTAGTAGCTATATGAAAATATGTTTTAGGACAATAAGTAACAATATTCATACGATTTTGTTTTTGGGCTATTATTCTAGAAATACTAATATTTCTTGGTCATTCTACTGAATGACTTTCTCCTAAAACCATTTGAACACCTTTAAAATGTCCACTCATGGAAGCGGTGCCGTCAAATTTGACCAACCATATATTTATCGTTAATTCTAAGTGTTTGTAATGAATTTAATATTACAGAGACTAAATTACAGGCACGAATTGCAAGAAGTCTTCACGTAAAACATAATTAATAGTTGTCTTATAATCAGTTGTCTTTACTGGTATCTCTAGATATCAAACTACAAAGAGTTAATCGCTCTCAAATTACTATCGTTATGATTAGGTTCAATAACATTTAAATTAAGATGACTTTCGAAGTGCTTACTTTTGTCGATCACATAAAAAAATTGTTTTTATAATTGGGACGCGTTTTTTTCTATTTTCAAACATTTGTAGAACTTTCATAGAATCGAGTTTTTGTTGAATATCTGGTTGAAGTTTAGTTTACGTGTTAATAAAATTGTTACCGATTTTCACACTATTTGTATGCAATTGTGTAGAGTTGTGATGGGATAAAGTTTCAATATCTTTTTTCAATTTATTGAATGGTTTATTAACTAATATTCTAAATTGTTGATGATTCCTCTTTCCTCCGTAATCACTGGCAAATAAAATACAATACGTGCACATTACTCCACATTTTTCCACACCGTTCCACTGTTCGCCTATTGTTGTGTAAGAAGCTAAGAAAATCGTTTAAACGTGTTGAATGAGCCGCCGAACTTCAAACCAAGATTAGAACCATTAGAATAATTAGAATAAGTTTACAATCTTTGCAATTAGTCAAACCATTTATAAACCCAACTGCTCATGTTGCTGAGAGTCTTTATCTTTAAAAACAAATTAAATACTATTAAAATTTTAACTGTCACGCTGTTTAAAGAGTAGTCCATCATTGTAAACATTTTTTAATGATTACCGGATTATCCTATAGGTATTATTAAGATAAGAATACTAAAATAAATGCTTCGTCAATAAATGCTTTAAATGCCTGAAATAATTATATTTCCACAACATACCACGTAAAAATTGCGGGGGATGGGGGTTGGCACCTGCCCCCATACGGCCTTGACAAGGAACCCCTGTTTAAAATTTCAAGTTTCTATTAGATCGAGCTGTTTGGGTAATGGACATTATTAGTCAATTTCTTTTTATTTATAAATGTTTAGAATAATGAAGCCAGTTTTAATTTTTAGAGTTATTTCCATACTTGTGTATACAATATTTTTAGTTTTATGCATTTCAAACTAGGTAGGTAACAAAATAATAAAACATGTTAAACTTTAAATAATTATAATATACCCAATGTAAATTATATTTATATTTATAATATAAATATAATTAAGTGTCATTTACATTTACACAGTTACTAAATTATAGTTGTACGAATTGGTTTAACAATTTCTGTAGGTACTAGAAGAAAGTTTTTTAAAAGTGTATTTTTTTCGTGTATTGCGTTATACGAACCGATTCTATAGATGGCGCTGTTGTAAGACACGGTGCCGTAGTGAGCGACCGTGTGCCACCAAAAACCGGACACCGCCACCGTTCAGTCAGTCCGTCTTGTACGTCGTTTCGTTAAGTTGTTTGTGTTATTTTCCGTTTTTTTTTCTCGGTTTTTTTTATCGCGTGTAGTCTCGTATTTTTATTTTCTAATTATTTTTTTAAATTTTTGTTTTAAATCTTAATATTATTTTGTAAAGTATATATGTATGTATATACTCAACGGTTAATACACGTGTGATAATATTTTTGATGACTTTGCGCGCAGTCTATTTAAATAATATGAAATATAATTATAAAATGGGTTAAATAATATTTGATTACGAGTATCGGCGATGTGTGTGTTTTATAATTATTATTATCATTGATATATTTTAAAAGATCATGTGAACGCGAAAATAACGATATTATGGCGATATGTACCTAGGTTATTTTCTTGTTATATATATAGTGTGTGTTGCGGGCCGCGAGCCTTTTTCGAGCGTTTATTAAACGTGCGTGTGAAAATAATGGATACGAGTAACGCGGTCTGCCCATAAGATGCTGTGCAATCGCGGCCTTTGGTGCGCGTTCTTCGTCATTCTGACCGTGTCCGCCGTTTCAGCCGCTCAACTGATCAAAGGTAAGTGTACCGTTTATTCGGTTGTATACCTATCCGGCTAATATTAGTGATATATTTTTAGCGATGATGTAAACGGGAGGTAGGGAGGTTACACCAAGGTGTTTCAGGGCTTTTGATGGTCTCTACAAAATGTATCTTCTCGTTCTTTCATGTATAATCAATCCTACGATTGGTTTACGATCGGTCGGTCCACTCTTCATCCCTGTTATTTGATGTGCCTCGATGTAACTTGATGCTATTGTAATATATACGAATTACATGCCCTCGGTCCGTCACTATATTTGTCGTGTAATAAATATATTCCAATGGCGGTCTTTTCCTATTATAACTTTTATCACCCACACGCCTTTCTGTAAAACAAATCCAAAGAACCCACCACCGTATCTCATTATAGGTCCAGGGAATCAATTTCTTCTTTTCTCGATAATATTTTGCTCCTGATGTTTATTCCAATTCACTTCCTCTTTAGTCACCTTGTATGTGTCCGCAATTTTCTTGACCATTCTTCTGTAGCACCCCATCTTAAAAAGTGTACTGAATCTCATTTGCTGACTTAATATAGTCACGGTGTGATTCGATATTATATGATCTGTGGAAGAAAATTAATATAAACGGTCCGGACACGACCAGATACCCAAATACCATGGGAACCATGTTCAAAGCATATTTAGAGAACTAATTAAACATATGTATTGAGACGTTTTAAATGTTTTTAAATTTTAATTAAAAAAAAAAGAATAAACATATTTATTTTAAAAAGTCTAACAAATTTTAATTTATTTTGACTTTTTTTTTGCCATTATATTATTATTATTTCAGTGATTTTATTTCCGGGTGTTTTTTTTTTATCCCCTGCGAATATCCTCGAGTTAATAATATGCAGGCGTTTGTCTAGGACGATTCAAATCTGTATAATAATCAGAGTCAAAATAATATAATAATTAACGCTGCGTAATAGACATAAGTTTTATTTTGATGTACCTAAACACGCGATAATAGTTTTTAAAGTCATAACGACGATGATAGGTATTAATTTTCGAAAAAAATAAAATGACTCTGCAGCTGTTAAAAATGCAAATTATGTTTTTACAAGAGCCCAGAGGGGGGCAAGACGCTTCGTGGTCTCGTGCCCCACGGGCCCCGCGTGTATTATTATTACTATAGTTCCATTGAAAATTCGTTTATATAGACGTGTCAATTAATGTTAATTTGTATTACAATCAAATACTTACTATAATATATGCGGGTACCTTTATTATTATGCTACGAGTATAGTATTACAAAACTAATATTAGATATAATTTTTTAACTTTTTGTTCCGGTGTTTATTATCATCCCTAATCGTATATATAAAAAAAAAAATAATAATACTTTTAGACGGATATTGTTCTCGTAATATTATTATAATGTATGCCTAATAAAAATATAGTTGGGTACATAATATTATACTTAATTGTATTAAACTATAATATAAGGTTACATTTGAAGTACACGTTTCGTATATTAATTAAAAAAAAAAAAAAAATAATGTACTTAACTATTATTGTATAAATAACACTGCAAACGCGTATATTATAATTATTAGTTATCAATAAAATAATAGGTCAGTGTGGAATTTGTATGTTTGGGTAGATATATTAAAAAAAAATTAATGTAGGTAATTATAATTAATAATATTTTAATAGTGTGTAAGATTCTCATATCTTTCCGATGTAAAATATATTGTTACGCTTTACAGATACAATAATAATATATTAACATAAGTAAGTACGCAAATGCGTAAATAAATATGTTTATTTTAGATTCTGAGTGAAGTGCGGAATGTATTGGTTTTTTTATGATGTTTATTTTCTATTTTTACCTTTAAGCAATTTTTCTACCAGAAATCTTGCCCCGATTTTCAAGCGTAGTATTTATTTTGAAAGAAAATTTTATCCGGGTAGTACTTTAGGAAGGTTATTTTGTTATGTCTATAAATAGGTTTTCTACCTGAAATTTTGCTCCTATTAAGAACTTTATTGAAGCTTTGTACTTTAACGATGAGAAGGTAATTTGTTGTGGTTTTCTTAATAAATGGGTAAAGCTAGTCAATTTTTCATAGAATTGTTGATTTCTGGGAACAATCGAAAAAATACGAATAATAATTCTTTACTCAATATCGATTTTTTAGCAATAGTTTATAAAAATAAATTACTCTACTATTCCAAGTGTTCTATTCTATTCTTTTATAGGAAAACATTTTCGGGCGAGTTAAAATGGTTGGATTTGTTTGTATACTGTACTTTTAAAGAAGTGAATTTTTTATCAAGTGGTTCTTTATTTGAAAAAAAAAATGTTTAGACACACCGAAACACTTTTTCTATATACAATTTAAAAAACCTGATTGCAAATAATGTTATAACGCTTTAATTTTTGACGATTTCTATTGTTATCTAGGGTCTACGGAGGGAAAACCACGATTATAATACTACTGATACCTACTAATCTGCTCAGAATCGAATTTTTAATTGGAATGATTTTTCTTCGCATTCAATATATGCAAATTAGATTATCTTTACCGTATATCCTATACCTTTCAAACTTTTCACCTACTATATACAGTGGCCTACCTGTGGTGGGAAGTACGTCTGGTTTTGTTGAAAATATTAAACGAAAATAAGGTTTTTAATAGTCCTAATAGATTTTTAATATTATTATATTATTTACCTGTTTAAATATGAGAATAAATTACAATATCTTACTCGTAGTTTCGTAGATATCTTATCTAGAATATATTTTTTATTTACTGTTTGTAATCAATATTGTTATGTAAAACCTATTATGTAAAAAATTATAAACCTTATACATGTGTTTTAAAAATAATAGTAGGATAGAACTTATTTTATCTACTATACGCCTATACGTAATATTATAATTTTACAAAAAGTTATCGTGTACCTGTATTATATTACTTACAGCAGTTAATTGAGATAGGTATCTAAATAGTTTCCTATACTTAATTATAAGTACTCTATTTACTTTGTGAATATGGTGTGAACAATTCAATACCTATATCGGTTATAACTATAACTACTATACACATAGTGTGTGTATTACAATGTCCAGTTATGTATACCTATAAATAATTAAATTAAGTAAAATAAATTGATCAAATTACCAGCAAAAACCGAGTATAGCCGGTACTTTTTATGATGATAATATTATTTTTGATTTAAAATTCTGATCGTTTTATTTTGTGTCGAACACTCGTATACCACTACACGTGGACAGTGATATCACACTCCTCGAATGTGGGTATCTGGTATTAAGCATAATATAGTGGAACATAAATATCGTTCATTTGATAACAGCTGTTATTAAACTAATGTACAGATCAGTGATCACATACAAATTACCAAATTACTTAACAAATCTAGGTGATCCACACCGTCAACATTGACGGTGTTATTTTTTTTTACACTCGTGTAGATAATATTGCACTACACCGTCTTATGGAATTGGCGTTATCTACTCGTACTACAATACTGGTGATGGCAGATAATAGTAAACAAAAAGGTATACACGATTGCAATTAAATGCGATTGCAAGTGGATAACGCTATAAGACGTATTATTTTTCTCGGAAACACTTTCGGGTTAGGTAGAAAAATGCTCCAAATCATTCGCGTCGTACCTCGACAAAATGTGGACTTCCCTCTCTGCGGTTCTTTATTAGATAACGATTTATAGAGCCCAGAAAATTTTTCCAAATAGAAATTTGAAAAACTGACAACAAATTGACGACGATAAATCGGTTTTAGTTATTTACTTACGATCGGTTGTTATAAACATAAATACTACGTTATTATAAATTACACGTGTGTATACATTATACATTCAATTATCACTGATCCGACGATGGAATGTCGGATTCGGATACCTATACCTACATCTATATAAGACTGGTTCATTTTGTACCCACGATTTTTAGATTAGTTCGTCACGAAAATAAGGACTGTTTAGAAAAAAAATAAATGTATAGCTGTCAGCTATATAATAATAATATAATATAACAATAATAATAATAATAATATGTTATATGTTTACATTATTCTGTGTACATTCACTGCGTAGCGGCATAACGGTTCATCAGATTTTCCATAGAACGCATATAGAGCGGTTTCTATACAAGAATAGATTTGCTACAGTGCAGCAGCAACAGTGTAATAATAATAAAATAAGGTCTTCGTGTACTAGAAACCAACCGAACAACCGATAGTCGGTCGCATATTGTATATATATATATATATGTATGTATGTATGTATGTGTGTGTATATAGATAGATAGATAGGTAGACATCACGTCAAAAAGAAAAAAAAAAGAATCCAATTTTTGCGAAGAAAAAGACCCGTCAAGTGTCAGTAGCGTGTATATGGCAATAAAATAACGTTATAGATGTTTTAGAACGAGAATGGAATAGGTACCTAATGAAAAAAAAAAAAAAAAATAAAAAAACCCATTTCGATGAAAGTCGGATACAACTCGATGCAGTACAGTACAGACTGCCACACAGCCTCGATTGACAATAACGATAATATAGTCATATTGTATATTATTGTACGCGTATAATGGGAAAACGGCCGGGTTTTATGGAAGACGTGGAAATGTATTATTATTATCACGGTACGCACGCACGCACGCACGCGCGCACTGTACATAATCTTATTATTATTGTTTTAATGTGTACCCGTATGGCCTATAAGTTACCTTGACAAAAACTGATTGTTTTGTCACTAGAACAATGCGTTAATTCCGTTTAATATACGGGCCGTACCGTAAATATTTACTTAATATTGCCGATACGCAGCCGGTTATTATTGCATCGGTACCGTCCGATTTTGTTATCGAAATTTTTTTAGACACCACGGGTGTGTTATACACAGCGACGAGAATACATTTTTCATTCCGCAGACGCGCTCGTTTCGAACAAGGGAAAAACATTCTTCTTCTTTGTCGCCGTATACGTAATAATATTATACCTAACCTACCTATACTCGTACTAAAACCGTATACACACACACACACACACACACACACACACACACACACACAATATAATAATAAAATATAGTACCTAAGTACGTATTATTTTATACATACGGCATGCGCGCACGGCGAAGTTACAAAACGAATACATCCGCCGGACAAGTTCTCTCGTCGAGCGGCGGAGGTACCCCGCGCATAGCCGCCATCGCGTGTATATAGGTACGGGCGGCATCCGTTTTAGCTTTTCAACAATAAATCTCCCCCTTTATCGCGACAACTATTCGACTTCATTATTATTGAAACCGATTCGGTTTGCGCTCCGCTACCTGTACCCGGGCCGTGTAACAAACCGCGTGTTATTTTTCCGCCGGGTTTGCTTTCAATAAACGCAGAGGAACTTACAAATTCCCGCCCTCGTCTCTGTCCGCCTGCAACTTATACCGCGTATCTTATTTTTATCGCGCGGACGCCGGTCTTGATTGCGGATTAAAAAAAAAAAATCCGTCGGCCGTTTTCAAAGCGTGCATTTCCTTCGCTGGCTATAATATCATAATTCATATATATATATATATACGCCCGTGAGTGTAATTGCACGCGGTTAATATATTATTACTACTATGAACACAACGTAGAAAAGCCGTCGTCGCCGTCGTCTTTGTCGGTTCGTGTGATGTTCGAATAGTATAATATATAAATACGAGCATATAGGTATAAAACGACTCGTGTAGTAGTCTATGCATAAATGATATTATAATGCGTATTTCGCGTGTGTGTCTGTGGACGAATTTTCTACCGGTAATCTCGGCCCCAATCGATAAACGACAATTTTAGATCAATTTTAGATCAATCTAACATTGATTTCCTTTGCAGTTTTTTTAATAATTTACGGGAATAACAGTTTCGTTGATTTCGATTTTTGTTTTTTTACCGGAAATCTAATCGGGTGTTAATTTTTGAAATTTCCCTCGCCCTTTTCTTAGTAATCAGAAAACGTCTGGAATATTTTCGGCAATAACGATTTCATGATTTTATATTTTGTTGTGACAATCCGTTTAAAAATAATTGTAAAACCTGAAATGTTTACAGATTTATATTAGCCCTTTTTCTTTAATGATAATAATTATATGGTTCCGACCGTTTTTTTTCCCAACGGGGCTTAGTTTAAATGTTCAGTAGTTGAAATACCCAACAAATGAGGTCCAGTACCTACGTTTTATATTACGTGTCCAAAATTTAATAGTCAATGTATAACATATCCAATAATGTCCGAAATCTAGATAATTTAGACATTCGTTGAAGTATCGAATGAAATCCTTCTGCCATATTGGTTAGTATTCGATTTAACACGGATTTATAAAAATATTCCACAAATTTGGCGTAAAAAGACCTACACATTTGGAATACAAAGGTTGCGCTGCACGTCTTCTCCTCTGACGAGCTCCGCGAATATACGTGCGCGGTCAACATATTCAGTTAAATTCAAAACGGTTTCCTTCTATTTCTATTATTATAGAATATTAAATCGCATATTATTATTATTTGATTTTTTTTTATTTTTTAATATTTTCAAACGTTTTTATAGTTATTATAATTTTTATATTTAGTATCCGAATTCACTAAATTTTGAACATTGATGTTTAAGATATTTTAAAATATTTGAAAATACAGTGCTCCAGCTATGGAGGAACTGGGGGGCTGTACCCCCTTACAAAAATCTATATTTTTCCGTTAGGATAACAATGTGATTTATTAATTTACACCTAGTTCCCTCTCAGTCTTGCCTGAGACATTGTTTTAGAGACATGTCACTTTTCTGCAATTAGTGATTCATATATTTTCTTACAAGGCTATAAACTTTGTTTTAACTTTACGTTGTAAAACTAAGGGGTTATAAATAACCAGTGATAAGGGAATAAGGGATTTATAAAATAACTGGTGATAAGTATTTTAGCTTAACAAAAACTAGATAAAAAAATTAAATTTCCCCCTCTCCCCCTAAATTTTTTTTCTGGCTATGGTACTGCGGAAATGTTATACAGTAGACATTGAATTATGGACATTTATCAGTTATATAGACCTTATTTTTTGGATATTTCAACTGGGAACCTTTTCGACGGAAAATATAGCACAAAAGTGTTCCCGTAAAATTAACGAAAAGAAGCCTTTTAAAATCGATTTTAATCTCTAATATTATATTTTAATTTTTGTTTCTTTTACGTGAACATAGTTTTGCTGCATAATAATATGTATCATATGTATTGCTCGCCAGGAAAACAGAGACGGGAAACGCCACGACGGTGATAGTATCTTAAGTGTGGCCAATAATAATATTTTGTAGTGTTGTTATCAGCAGGAATCCGATGTAGATCCATAGACGTTATAAACCGATACAAATTTTTATGTGTAACACGAGTCTATATAATAATATTTATAAAATTATGACAAGCGAGAAATGTATTTTTTTTTTACGTCCACGTAATTACATAGGTACACGCGTAGGTATAATCGTACTGCTAATAGCTATTGTTAAAAAAAAAAAATAAAAAAAAATAAAAAAATATTCTAAAATTTGTAGGCACCTACCTATGTATTGTATTATTACGATTGTATACTCACTGTTATTATACGGATACCTTCTTATATTTACTATTGTTTTTTCGTTGTTATTAATTTTAATTTTTTAACCGCGCGACTTTTAACAACAATAATAATTATTATTCCTCCCACATTTTACCGCAGCCGCTGTTGACACCCTTGACCAATATGAATTGCATAATAATAATAATTAGTGATGGACACAACTGAATAATTATTATACCGTTGAATATTTCTCCACAGTTTTCCCGAATAAAATATTGGACAGTTCATCGAAACAAACGAAAACTATCGATAGTATAAACTATTCGCAAGTACCCGTCAATAATAATTGTGTCATACGGGTGGGAGCTATATCTCTGAAATCAAGCTGTGATGCTTTTTTATCTGCATCGTTTGTAGTCTTTACCGTCGTGTGTGTACAGGTGTTCGTTTCCTTTAATGAAAAATAATAATTCTAATAGATCGTACAATATACTATGATCGTTTCGATTGTTCTCGAGATGACGTTTTGATATTTTTAATCAATATCATTTTACAATATGTTTAGGTATAATGTGTACCAATAGGTATTTTTATTTTGTTCGACTAATTGTCTCGATATTTTTTATCTGTTATTTGTATAACGAATATACGAATATAATATAATATAGAATGTTCGTTAAATAATGTTTCTTGCACACCGATATAGACGATTATACAACCGCGAATATATGATATAAATTAAATTGAAAATTTTCAATATCAAAATAATGTACAATTTTTTATTTAAAAAATATATACTTATATAAGTATATACTTTACGTTATAGCGTAATACAATATTATTATACAATACGTTTTTAATAAAAAAAAAAACATAATACGATACAAGAGGATACTCACACGAGTGAACTGCAAACTATTTTGCAGCTATAATAATATGTGATACCTATGTGCTTTCCTATAATCAGAAAATCAGACCGATGTTTTTATTTATCATTGTATTTTGAGGAAAACTACTGTTTACCGATAAATGATTATTTATCGGCTATTACCTTCGAATATATACATGTATAATTACGATCATCCTTATAGTCTGATGGTGATAATATGACCGTGATGTTCCTTATTGTATAATCATAGAAAATCCTTGTTACACGGCGATAACAATAAATTATTGAAGCGGCACATCATTTTAGGCATCCGATTAGAAATCTACTCGTCACCATCAGCAGCAGCAGCAGCAGATGATGATTATTGTACTGCGGTAGTGTTATTTTTTTTTATTGATATTTTTTTCAACAGCTCACAGGAACACCACCGGTACACATTTTTACAATCCTGTTATAAACACATTGTTAGTTTTGTAATATAGCGACAACGTAATTAAAATATAGGACGACTCGACGGCGGCTGGCTGTGTATATATACGGTACATTGAGGTTAATTGCATGATACCTGTACTAGGTACGTATGCGTGTTTTATTGTAGTAGGTAGAAAACCGCTCTTCCATGACCTGTATCCGGAGGCTGAACTGATTCTACGCTTGATATTAAAACTAAATTATACTTAACATTTTGTTTTAACACCATATTGAATTTGTACGTTATTTATATATTTATAGCTGTAGACGCCAGACATTATATTGTACAGAATTACAGAGTGATCAGAAATCGTTATAAAAACAGCGGGGTTCACGTAATAGATTATTATTATTACCTGTGCATATTATATAGAATTCTCATAATTTGCTCATCATTTGGTATAGAGGGAGCTGTTAAAATGGTCCAAAACTTGTGTGAAAAAGATAATATAATACACACAAGAGCGAGTGCAATCTCAGTCACTATTTTTCGAACAAATTTGACAAAAAAAGCCATTACCAATTTGTATATTATTGTAAGGTATTACGATAACATTGGAAATAAATGTTCGTCAACCGTGTCCGTAATATATAGGTAGTTTGTAACGACATATCCTGTTTAATGTATCTACCTATACAGGATTTATCGCGTTTTCTTCTACCTTTGTCGCTGTCGGAGGTCTGTATAGTTGTACGCGTGAACGATATTCCCATCATGATCAATGAAAAACCAATCGCACTACACAGTACACGTATATACTTGCGAAACACAAGCGCAATGACTCGGGGCTAATGGTCTCCTCATTCAATTGTTGCAATAGAGTGCAGCATGTACATCGGCTATAATATTATAGTCCCCTCGTGCCTATAAAATATTTTAGTAACAACAATACTTAATGGAAGATACTTTTACGTGGCCGCAGGCCGTTGAATCTGCCCGGCTCATCCGTGATTACTTTTCTTTGTGTAATATTGTCCTTATTTGGGACCGATAATTACATCACCTACGGGTCTATTGAAACTGTAAGACCGCCGTACACATAAATATAATATGTATATTTTTTAATGAACCTCGGTAGTATATTATATACCATGGTTAAGTTTTGACCAAGACGATATACGTTAGCTGGTACCTGCATGTATTATTATTATTTTTTATTATCAAAGATAATCAAATTATGTTTTGCGCGTCAGGAATTTCGATGGAACAATGGGCTTCGAGGTGAAAATAACCAAGAGAAATTAAATTGATTTTTCGCCAAGGGTCCGTGGAAAGACATTTTATACGGAAATTGTATAGTATACCTATTTCAAGGTGACTACAATAAATACATTAGACATACAAAGGTGCACATAAAACATTATTTAAATATATTGTGAATATTATTATAAGTGTCCGACGAAAACACGATACCGAATAAAATATACAGTATCCCCATACGTGACTTGGATTTTGTAACTTTAGGTAGGTACGACGACGGTTATAAAATATGTTGAACACGTTATTATAATGTACATATATCGCTAAAGTGAAAGGTCAGCCACCGTATAGTTTGATGAACGTTATCATAACATCATATGACGAGGTTCTATAATATTATAATATTGTTTACTTATGGAAAAGTTAAGTTGGAAAACGAACCGAGTTGATAGGTCGCATAATAAGACATTTTGAGGTATTGTTAAAATATTGATTATAAAGGGAGCGTGGAAGAGAAGAACCAAAGAGAAAGACAATTAATAATAAAGGATCCAGGATGCGACTCGTCGTATGTACAAATTAAAAGGAAAATCTAAGGTTTGGTAACTATATATAATATATAGAGACGTATTGATTTTTTTAAAATTAAAATGTTGCTTATCTACGATAACAATTATAATATTTATAATCCATCGAGTACGGTTATATTATTACACGTTTTGAAAAATTTGCCTTTTTATAATATTATCAATCATTATAGGCTAGTAATTTAATTGTTTTGTTATATAATATGATCACGGTAAGTTTTTATATCATAAGCACACATAGTCCAGATATTTTTTTTGGAGGCGGCTGATGTGCATATTTAGTGTTGATTTGGGGAGGGAAGTCTTGACTACGGTTTTGGAGACTTCACTCCTCCCCCGAGCTTCCCTTTTTTTGCTTCATTTGGTTAATTTACTGATATAGTTTTCCCGGAATTCTGAGATCGTTACCATCATATTTTTTTTGTACACATATCCAAGATAAAACGGAAATATATCGATGGACTTGTACGAGTTCTTAAACTACCACAAACATAATATTATTGTGTAGTTATATGGTAAACTGGCGTGCGATTTCATAATCAATAATATAGAGACAAATAAAAAATTTCCTTCGGGTTTTTCTCGACCCGCGCATTCGATATGATGTTATAATAGTATTATGAAAAATGTATCTTGTAACAATATGACGGGTAATGCACAATTGGAGTATCAAAACTAACATCTTTTCTGCAGTAGAATGTAATACGAACATATGTTATTGTATATTATTATGCGAGACTGGTTCAGTTATACTATATTTACCGCGTACGAGGCTCTGCGAGTTTAAGAAGCGTCATTTGATTTCATAGAGAAGAGTTTTATACAGGTACCTATAATACGTATAGGTATAGTTATTTATGGGTTTTTTTTTCCGTTGATTTATGCCGTTTTGCAACGTTGAAAAACATTAAAAATGGCGGAAAACAACGAACGAAATGATAATACGCATCGCGGCTAAGAGCTGTGCAAACCATCTAGATTGTGATAAATGCGTATTATAACTGGTTGTATATTATATACCTATACGTATAAAATAATATACAAGACTATGTCTGGTGTTCGGAAAAAAAAAAAATGTAACAGAGTACCTACCTATTAACATTCGAAAGGAAATTATTTTATTTTCAGAATTTTTGCTATAAACGTTTTATTTAGAGTATAAAGGATTAGTCAGGTTATGGGTAGGACCGGGTATACCGGATTTAAAAATGTTAACGTGAAATTATATCCTCTAAACTAATATATACAATAACCAATACCATCGTTATGGAAAAAAAAAACTTATAAATCATTAGGTATTGCAATATGTATTTTTAATAATTGTGTGTACGCTTGCGCAGTTGCACGTATACTAATAATTATTGTAATTCGTTCGTCAATTACAAAATTAACTTCAATTTATAAATATTTCTTTTAAAAAATATTGTTGGCAATTATATACATTATTATATACGTTATTATTATTATTATTGATATAATTATTTTGTAAATGTAATAAGTACCTGGACGTTCAGTTTTTGTTCGTAATATGACGTATAGTATACGTTTATTACTGTTTAGTAAAAAATAAAAAAAACACTAAGAATTTGTCAAATACTACGTGAAAACAGCAGTTTTTTATATTACCTACTTAAAAGTTTGCCTACAGTTATTTGTGAATTATGTGTGGGTACTTACGTTAATATTTTGGTCACGATATTTCGCGATTCGAAGACGTCTCATGGTCACTTAGAGATTGTATCTATATAACTGTACCTAATTGTTTCTGTGACGTTTTATTTTATAAAAAAAAAAATTAAATAAAAAAATATTCATTTCAATGTTTAATGCTACACTATAGTGATAGCCATTAGTTATATTATATAAAATAAAGGACATTTTATTTGGGTGTTTTATAATTTTCACATTTATAGTATTCGTTGCTGAGTACTATTCTATGTTCTTTCACTTTAAGTGTATATTTAATATGTATTTAGTATGTATTAATACAAGATGTATAATAGATGTGTTCAAGATACAAAATATATATAATCTGCCGTGTAGGTATTAAATTTCGGTTAAAATATATAATACTTGCAGACGATTTAGAGGGGTCAAATGCTTGACAAGTTGTATACCAGCATAATTTTGTAGACAGATAACAGATAAAAGACTTTAGAAAAGGGATTTTTAGAATTTCGAATTTGGAATAATTGTACACTACCAAAGTGTTGAATTTCGATGTAAAAAGTAGACTACGATGATGTTTTTGTTTTGAATATTAAGAATGCAAAGTTGCATCAAGAATGGAATAAAACTGTAGAATTGTGTAGTGTATAGTTAGACATACGAGTACAGACAACAGACAAAATTTCAATTTTATATAACATGATATGATTGAATACTGAACGAAGCCAAGTAAATTTATTTGGTTCGAGTTTTAAATAACTATATATGTCTACAGTAATTTTTTACAATTTTATTTTTGCTCACTTGAACCTAAAAGTAGGTATATGTCTGTGTAAAACTATCAGTATTCTGTCGTTCGACTAACGGAAGACTTGGAATTGGGTCGAACGGTTAACTTATAGTACATAAAATTAATTTGCTTGACATCATATTATAGACTAGAATTTGTTCGATATCCATTTAAAAGGAGCGAACGATGGAGGACATACTTGTAATAATATGCCACGCGTGATACGCAATACATGGATAATCGTCCGTTATTGGTGTCGTTTTTCCATATTTTCTCCAATTTTGTAAAATGTTAAATATTTTTTTGCATTTCAACCATCACCTTAATATGATAAGATTTCTCACCGATCTACTAACCGATACCTACTATTTAAGGGGATTGAGAACGGCCGTTTTTACGGACGAATAGGATATTTTATACAGAAAAACCAGACTTCAAAATTGTAGAGATTATGTTTGACGGGCTTCGACTTTAAAAACGTATTATTATCTTCATTGTAAATAAAAAATAAACTAATTAAAGTATATATTTTTGAAAATGTCTAAAAATTAAAATTAAATTTGTTTACGATTTCCGTATAAACTATTGCTGTCAACATATTATCCAAGTAAAGAACCTGAAGAATCATATAATCCGTTTTCAATATTGAAAGCCGCCAATTACCGTTCTTGTTACAGTTTAGTTTTGGCGTTTAGGTTTAAATATAATACAATACAAACCGTTATTAATCTCTATAAGCGGACTGTCACCTCCCATAATTAATGGGATGCGTATTGGACATTTTCTTGAAATAACTAAAAAATAATCAAATTTATTTTCACATGCATTTACAAATGGTCCCGTGTCATTATTACAAGTATTTATTGTGTATTCGTGGTATGAACAAAAATGTACGAAAAACTTCGCGTGGTGAAAACTTTTCGGGTCTATGGATTTGGTTAAAACCCAAATATTCAGTTTAAAAAAGTTTGATATCATTCGAATTTTAAAGAATAATAACTATTTTTGTATTTATAACATCGAAAAAATAAAAACAAATTTGCACAGTGCAAGTTCTCATTTTTTTAAGGTAAAAATTGAATTCCTCAATCGACTGCATAGTCGGAGTAGTTTTTCCCGCGCAAAACAGATTTTACGGTCGAATCGCGTGCTGTAGAACGGCCTCTTTGGGAAATATTATAATTTAATATATTTTATAACATTCTCTGTAGGATAATAATATAATATGGGTGGTAAATAATAAATATCCCGAACTTTTATAAAATCACTATACGAGTTATATGTATAGATAATAATATAACTATAGGTATAGGTACCTATAATGTGCGCGTAGGAGTTGTACGTTGAATCAAGTTCGATATGATGATGCGTTTTCTGTCGCGGTTTTGCCGGGAAACTGGAAAATCGTGTTATATCCCCCTGATGGCAAAATTAATAACAATAAGTTATATACTTATGGAACTCTATCTCCCTCTCGTTCTCTCTCTTTCTCTCTCTTCAAATGTCGTAAACCACACGTTGTTCACAAACCTGTTTCGGTATAGATTCGTATTCCTGTACGGACGCTTTGACTCGCGGATAACTTTGTGTATGAGATAGTTTGTTACACACACATACATAAATATGTCGCGCTACTTAACTGTTGCAACACCGCGTGTCACACATGCATCGGCCGAACGTATCGAGTGTATATAATAATAAATGGTGGAGTCCATAATAGTTAGTGAGACTCGGGCATACAGGGCGATTCACTTATCATGAACCAGCGATTTTCTTGGAGGATTTTAAATGAATTTGATTTCTGGTATTAGTTCAATCCTTATGGAATCGTTAAAATTTAATTTTAACACTATTTTCAATTATTACCACTGTACATTATACCTGAAATGTGTATACACTTCGGATTTTCGAATAGCAACCCCTCTTTTTAACATAGATTCAACCAGGAATGCGTTTTTCTAAACATTATGATTAAGCATAACACTATTATCGAATTACCCAACATTTTATGAATTATAACAGTTGAAAGTTTAGAATGGAGGAATAGACAAGGTTAATTAATTTATTATTTAAAAATTAATATGAAATTGATTACCTTTCCCTACTCATCCGGGTTGAACTTTAAACTGTTATAACTGGTATAAATGGTAAATCTGATATCATTGTTATGCTATCAAAATATATCTAGAATCTATTCGAATCCATGTTCAAAAAGGGAATACCTATTCCTATTTGAAAATGAAAAGTTTATACTCATTTAAGATATAAAATGTAAGGGTAAAATAATAAAAATAGTTTAAAATAAATTTTAAACGATTTCAAAATGATTAAAAAAAAAAAAACAGAAATAAAATTGATTTAAAAATCTCCCGAGAAAATTGCTGGTTCATGATAAGTGGATCACTCTGTATATTCGTATTTATACGCACAAGAAGTACCACCGCTATAATATTATTATGTATGGGTACTATTGACTGGGGAATGATCGAGCGGATGTCGTGGGTTTTATATGGTCGGTATATTGTATAGGTATACCTATACTTATATATATAAGATGAAATATTGTATATTTACCGGTGAGTTAAGCGATCGAGAAAAAGAGTTCAATCGACTGTCGTCGTCTGCCGTGTACCATTAAACTATTTTATCTGATTGCATTGTATTTAAAATAATATACTTAATAATATTATATAGAAAAGAACGTCGCGATAGGTACCGCGTGTATCTACGCGTTGTATACCCGTAGGTAGAATGGCAGATCTTACGGAAAGTTACAATTTTATATTAATGTTGTAGTCTGAAACTATAGGTAGTCGGGATTATTGGCGGTCGAAATCAAAGTCGAATAATATTACCATTTAACAAAATCTTATGGGTACCTGTTCTCATTGTTTAATTTTCTTCGTCAAACGACAAAAACAATTTCCCTAATGAGAAACTAGTTTACATAACATTTAGTAAAGAATCGTAACTTTTATTACGAGTGTATACCTATTTTCTATGTTACAGTTTTAACGTAATATCGTTAAAACATTTATTACCTACTGTTACGTTTTATAGTTTGGTATAAAAGATTCGATTTCATTATTTTATTGCATTTCTATGGTTTTTAATACATAATCAATATAGCGTATAAACTGTATAATATACGTATTATAATATGTTACATATTATATCGATATCAAAATGTGTAATCGAAAACATACTACGAGCGTAAGAGGTGTATAAGTTGCTATTTGAATATCAAACATAGGTAACCGTTTCAACCCCGAAAATAAGGATGAAAAGAATAAAGAAAATGTAACATTTTTGAATATATAATTCTAAAAAGTTTGTTTTTTGAAAAAAAAAGTATTTCATGGTAAATTTGACTGTAAGATGAAATTTGGATGAACCTGAACCCTTTAACTTATATAAGCGTATGTAAGTTTGCCATACATCCGAAGTACTAAATAAAATATACACTGTTTTATTAACTGGACATATTTTTAAGTTCGAAAAGTACATAAAATAATAATATTGTACAAGTTGCATTTTATAATATAAGTTGTTTGCATAAGCTAAAAAAATCCAACTATTTTGAGAAAGCTTAAGCCTCATCAATATTGATTGGTGTCAGTGGCGATTATATTCCAGTTTTGATGAGCGATGAAACATCAAGGGAGGAACGATCCACCAATTAACCGCAGATAACCACCACTGACTAATATTGATTGGTATTTACTTGATTGGGTGAGTGGGCTTATTTGAGTTTTATGGGGGAGTCCTTTCATCCCATTTGCATTAATGATTGTTTGATGTATAGAAATATTATTAAACTGTGTAGATAAATAGGATAGGGTTGTACTTTCAGAGACAATTTAGCGAGAAATAAGTACGAAATAGATTGCAGTTGACATAATAATACAAATATTGTTTGTATATTCCTATATGTAGCTACTCTCCCCCGTCGTCGCGTTAGCTTCTTAAAGCCACTCTCTTTTCGTTTTTTATTTTTCGTGACGCTTCGTGCGATAAGTTTTCGTAACATTTCTATTCGGAATTATAATACTTACTATATATAGGCACGTATACAGTGGCTGCATATATAACCACTATATTATATTATGTGTTGCCGAATACCGTATACTTACAATACGAATCGTACGAAGAGCGGCACATTAGCGGCAATTAAGCGATAATTATTATATTTTCTACGGCTAGTTGAATTATTATTATTATTATTATTACATTATACTCCCCCTCACGATGACCTCAGAGGTTGCATGTCGAATATACACATAGTGTTTCATAACTGCACGACGCGCGGCGTTTGAACGGTTCTTTATTATAAATAGGTGTTATATCAATAATGAAAATATAGTTATAAAAGAATAATATTAAACTCGTACCCGTTGCAGAAATCTCTTGTGGCCGGGTTCGTGAATATCCGGGGTCAGTTATTATTTTAACGTGTGTTTAGACACAATTTGTGCGGTTCTAATAATATTTAAATTTTAATATTTTCTATAATTTTTAAATTTCTAATATTTAACTTCTAGATTTTAAATTTTGAGCGCAGCGAAGAAGCTATTTGTTTTATTATGATATGTTTCTTTTCTCTCGGGAAACACTTTTTCGGATTGTAAAGATGATCCGGTTTTTTTATATCATACCTTAAAAGATACGGATTTTTACCCTAGTACTTTCAACTAAACATTTGCTTTTAGTTTATTCTTAATATTTTTTTGGTTAGGAAAATGCTCCAAGTTTTTCACGTTTAGTAACTCATAATTACGGGACTAACGGATAAGTGAACTTCAACTAAAACAATTGTTTCAATTATTATATTTTATACATACAGAATCTAAATTACGGTCTATTATAAAACTAGCTGTTATGGAGAGTTGATACACGCGATTGGGAGGGTGCTACAGAAATTAAACGGTAAATGGAGTTTCGTGATTAGCAGTGATGCGTATCATTGGCCACGGACAAATTGGGGAATTTTCAAGGAAGTTAGCCGGAAAGTATACGATAAGGTTTATGGACAAACGAGTGAAGCGAGATGGATCTTTGAAGGTAATTTAGGATAAGAGATGGTATAGCAGTATCAGTTTTGCCTGAAGGGTGTTGTAGAAGAAAGACAGATTATTATACGTTATATATGTTTAAAGATTTTATTGAAGAAAATTATGAAAATGAGTAAAATTAAACAGTTGAATACTGATAACAGAAAACTACCAAAATAAAATTACTATTTAGTTTAACGATGAACCCATTCTTGACGCATCCGTCGGGCACAAACATTTTTAAAATTATGTATATACGGTTTATGAATATATTCTGCACAGAAGTGCACTTGCTGTATACGCATATCTATATAATAGGTTTTCAAATTTAATTATATCATAAAGAGGTACTGGACGTATATTTATATTTTTTTTCTTATGTTTTGTATATTCGAAGAGAACGAGTATGCGCAAAGTAGGTAGTCAGGTAGTTAACTAACTCGACACGGATCGTAACGGCAGACGGCAAAAAAAAAAAACAGGAAAAACTTACGATGTTCGGAAAACTAAGAGGAAAAAAACACAATAAATTCACGGAATGGACGAACCCGTGCGTGAAGCGTACAACTAAAAAATCATCAGAAAAGTGTAGCGTGTGAGCCGAACTGTGAAGGTTGAAATCACAATTACAAGTCGTTGTTTATTACGCGAAAAAATATATACGTAGGTACTATCGTGGATACATCTGTCAAATTTAATTTGTTTTTAGTTCGTTATTTTTTTAAATTCTGAGCGTATTTTTTTTTTTTTGAATTCGAAATATCTAAAAATATAAAATATACGTAGTCTTGCTATTGTTATTTTTTTTTTATTATTAATGGAATATTTTTCGTGTGATTTTTTGAAACTTGAAATTTTACAAATCAATTTTGATGTTATACAATTTACGTAATATTATATTATTTTTCATTATCAGTACGTTAGTGAATACATAATTATTTTTAACGGACGATGTTTTAATCATCGAAAGTTTTACAAATCGCACTTTTAAGAACAACATGTTTAATCAACGGTGGACGGGAAATAATTGCAAGTTGCGTTGTATAATTAACCGTTTAATAAATTAGTCAAACATGATTTATTCATTGTTGGCATAACCTAAGTCTCATTAGGTGTTTAGTTGTAGTAGTAAACGTTAGGTAACAAGTTGATGCCTCAGCATATAATATAATATTTAGCTGATTCAATGTCGGATGCCATAGGTATACGCAAGTACTAGCTTGTTAAACACACGAGTACGTAAAATTAATTTTTAAATAAAGGACAGTGATTTCACTGCAATACTTTATAGGACATCAAATATAAAAAAAATTAATTAAATCAATGATAATATTGTATGCGTTGAGAAACAATTATTTTGCGAATTAAATATTGCGATTAATTGCCGGGATTTTAGGTACCTATATAATACAAGCATCGAATTTAGTAGTATGCCATTTTTACGGGTATCTTTTTTTTTTTTTTACTTTTTGTCTAGTTGTAACATTCGTATAATATAGCATTGTTGTTCGAACGCTAGATGATATTTTTTCGTGACCTACGAATATGATTGAGGAAGTGGTTGGTTAGTAGTGATTCAATATAAATAACACAATAGACTTGATATACCGAAATGTACGCGATTACGTTTCCGTTAAATGCTGGCCCCATCAAATTCGTATGGTTAGGAATAGATACCTCCTACTGTCAGTTTTATATAATAATGATAATAATTATTATTATCATAACCAACGATTATTCCCACGGTGTTAAGTTCAGAAAATCCGTCACGTTCCCAGAGTGAGTATTTCCGGTTACATTATGAACGTACCTATCATTTTATTTCGAATAAAAAACCAACATATGCGATTCAATCACGTTCTTACAAGACCTTATAATAATAAGACCGAGACGTCTGCAGATTATATACTTATAGTTATTATAATCACTAGGTATACTACACTTTTCAGTAGAAAACTCACGGATCAAAAGTTAATCATTATGTACGATGTAGGTATTACAATGCAGGTACATTTGTGATTTTTATGTTTGCGAAGATCATGTTTTTTAGGTGAAATTCGTGTTTTTCAGTATTTTATTTTAAGTAATTTCTTCGAAAGAAGCGCAATAACGTCCGGATCTGTAGGGTGAACCATTACGCCGTAGAAGGGAACTCCCCGAGGTCATTTTCTTGATTCGACGTTCGTGCAAGACCGTTCAGTATAATAGTCACACCATCCGGCCAGTGCGTGTTTGGCAATGTGTACTGTATTGTTATTTTCTTAACCGTATAGGTTTTTTGTTCTTTTTATTTTTCTCGGATCGATCAAATGAGCGGAAATTCAAATTCTATTTGTAACTATACCAACTAACTTGGTTATTAAATTTTATATAGGTACGTGCCTTCCTATTTCAAGGTCTACAGCTCGATTGTCGATTTCATAGCGTTTGCGACACACCGACAAACGATTAATTTCCAGTATTTATATTATATATATTTTCTATTTTATATCCTTATTGTTTCGCATGAATCGATCCGATTCCCTCGATATATTATTTCTGCACAATACTCGTTAAAAGTGTTTAATACCCAACGAATTATTATTATTTTTCACAGATCAAATTTGACTTGGATTTTATTTAGTTTGTGACAGGGGTGGCGAAAATGTTTATAGCCACGCGCGCCCAAGGTGGCACGCGTAAACCTTAAGCCATAATTGGAAATAACTGTACGATTTTTATTGAATTTCATACCTATGTATTATGCTTCTATATAATTTCAAAATTGTATAACGAAAGCCTTAAAATAAATTAAGCATGGAAAAATGTTTTATATATATTTTGTAAAAGCTATACATAATCTATATAAAAATAAGGCATTACGGTTGCTCCATTATTTTACTTCGTAGTTTTAAGCATATGACCAATTCATGATAATATGCTAGTAATTACATATAATTATTACACGCGGATTAACAATATATTGAGTCAACAAACTGTTTAATAACTCATTGAGCATTCACACATATATACGTCCATAGCGGAAATATATGTTTACCTCAAACCACGTAGAAAGTAAATGTGCGAACTACTGCCGCACTCTTACTTTTTTCGAATTCCCGGACGAGTTGAATATACTCTCGGATATTATAATTACGAGAATACAATTTATACACGATGACTCTTTTAGACATTATTACGTACGTATTAAAACGACGCTCTAAATATAATAAACATATTATGACTGGATGTAACTTTGATTTCGTTTCGGACCTCGCCTCGTTACCGCGATTATCCTTGACGCCATCATGTTATATATATTATTATAGTTTTTGACGACGGTCAATCGATTTTCATCGCAATAACGATGACGCCGACCCACCTACTTCCGTCATTTTGTTTATTGTCCGTGTCAGTAAATCCGATTTGGTCCATCAATGCATGACATGCCTGTATAGTATAAATTCATTATACATGGGTACATCGCATATACGAGTATATGTACGGTGTACATTGTACACAATGTTTAATAAATACGTTGGAAAGTACTTACACTGCTACACTAATCGAGTAGGTTTGGCGGTTAACCAACTATATTGGTCTCTAAATTTGTAGGGTCTGCACTCTGGTGACAGTTTACTGTACCAAAATAGTAGGGCTAGCTAGCTCAGCGGAATCCGGACCAAACGAGCATTTAAAATTATAAAACACGTGACATATAATGAAAATAAGTGTCGAATTTAGATCCCAATAGACTAAATGCGTAGGTGATTTTTACGTTCTGTAGTATTTACATTAAATACGAAAGACCTGTAGTAAATCAAAAAGATATTTCGAGAAAATTAGATTTAAAATCTTTCAAATCAAGGCGTTTTCATAATATAACAATGGCGTTTATATATAATTTAATGAACATTATAACATTATTTGCACCGAGTGAATTCGGGCTGGTGAAATTAAAGTTCCTAATATTATTATCACACGACCTAGCAACTCCGTCATAGTTCCACCGGATGAGAATGATTACACCACAAATAGCATTTCACGTCGCTCTTTCCCCTCCGCTAATAAAATTATAGATTTTAATTTAGGTCTTTTGGGGATTCATTACCCATTGAAGTGTTAATAAAATAAATAATAATAGTGATTTTACTGCTAATTCAAATATTTCTGTGCAACAGAGACATGTATTATTATCACTGTCGAGTAGAAAAACAATATTGACAGTTTTTCTTTTTTTGAATATTTAAAGAGATGTACCCGTGTACATCGGGGGTAGTCTTTCTTCGTCGTTAATAGTATTACGATGATTAAATCGATTTGTATAAGTATAATAATATTATTTTTGAGTATTATATTGTATGCGCGTTGCAAATGTAAAATGTATTTTGCAACCGGCAGCGCGCAGGATCAGAAGTTGGCGTGTAACCTTCGCTATCGTTTTCGTGACACACATTCAAATTAATAATAATAATAATAATAATAATAACAATAATGATAATAATGATAATAAACGGGCGCGTCTTATGCGATTTACCAATCGCCTAAGCAGACGGACAATGGCCTTCGTGTAAAAGTTGTATTGCCCTCTCTCTCCTTCTTTTCTTCTCTTAAGCGAAGCTACCTGCACATAATATTATGTCGTAATATTGATATTAATAATGATTATAATAATATATCGTAAAAATAATGTAACATTATGTAGAACTTTTGACCTATAACGTTGTGATGATAGTCGTGAGTCTTTATTATTATACGGTTCGTACGTTGGTACCTCATCCTTATGTCATTTTAAAACGAACAACGTAAACATTGTACCGCTATATGAGTTTATTTATTTTTTATATCGTGTAATCGTCATCGGCTGTAGGTTCTACTCTTGAGTTTTCATGATTACTACTAGTAAAAATGCAATAATTCACTGATAAATAATGCATCGATACTTTTTATTTTATTTATAAGAGTTTATAAGAAATGTTTACATAATATAGGTAATATTAATTTTATCAAATGGGATGAGAATAGGCGTTTTTATAAACGAATATAATTTAAATTGTATATTAATAATAATTGTCACGGACAATCATTTTGATTAGAATAATAATATGCCTGAACAAAAAAAAAAAAAGAAAATAAAACGTCCTTACTCGTAATTTTCGTTTCATATGTATATAGGTAGGTAATTCTTTTAGCGGGTATCGGAAAAACATAGAAATTATTGATATCTTAAGACTGGACTAAACGTTTCAGATTCTGAACGTAGCGAGGAATATATTGTTTTTACTATGATATGCGTTTTTTTTCAATCGGGTGAACAACTTTTCTACCAGAAATTTCACCCCGAACATTAAATTCCGGGACTGTTTTGGGTAGAAAATTTTGTCTAGTTGATACGTCAAGATGTAATTTTCTGGTATTCCTTGTACTTAGTTTTCTTAATAATGAAGAAAAACAGAAAAAAACGTCGGAAAACGCAAATGTTTACGCTATAACGGTTTCTGTTATTAATTCAGTTGTACCACAATGGTCATAGAGACCTGACATTTTCGGAGAATATCTACTCATATTAGTCTTTTCTAAAAGTGGTAACTTTTTAAGAACATTCTAGCGATTTTTTAGCTATTTATGGCCATTTGAAATTGTTGAGTTTTTATAGTTTTTATTTGGTTTTCCGTGGATAAAAAATTTCGTTTTATATTTGTAGGCATATTGAATATTATATAACCAGGGACATTCAAATACAAATGCAAATAATAAATTATTTTTTCGACCAAATACAAGCCAAACTAAAAAAGCACTCTGTAACTATGTGTTGTAATTATATGCGTCGGTTCGGGGATTATTTATGAGTCGTGACAACATCGTTGACAGTTTAGATATGGTATCGATGATGGTAAATAACAAAACATGAAAACCAGATATATCATAGATAGCAATGTCAAGAAGCAATGTAAATATTATTATGCCGTTAGTGTTTAAAAACAAAAATATAAAATTGTGCATGTGTATGACAACCGTTTGCCGTGGAAAAATATCCGCAGTATCAATTATTATTAATATTATTGTAAAAAAGTAGTTAGCGTAAATTAATATTAAATAATTTCGTAAATTGGTTTCTTCTTTAAACGCGTCGCGTTTTAAATTAGTAAATAATCTTCATAAGTAATTTTACGTGTAAACAAAATCGATTAATTAAAATGACTTAATATCCGTTCGGTAAGTGTAGGAATGATGAGGTTTTTAGTAGAGTGAATATCCAGAAATCAATTTGTAATATGCTAAAAATGAGAAAAAAATGCGGACCTGACACTTAATAAGGAATAGTCCTTTGGACAACCACAACAATAGAAGATAAGCCAGGAATGAGATGTCTAAAATACATTTCATGAAACAAGTGATGGGCGATACAGGATTTTCGATATTTTTTCATTAGCCATAAGAACAACTCATGATGAATCTTGTATCAAATGTTTGATCATCATGTTTCGGAAGCTGACAAATTATATCCACATAAAACCAAAGCAAAAAATAATCCATAAAGCTCAAAAATCACAAATAACAATAAATAATTTTAAAAAAATGACAGTATGTTTTAAAGTTATACCACGTTTATGGAATGATAAAATAAATTTTCGGTCAAAATTTAGGTTTCTACGGTTATTTTTGACTATATTGATACAATTGAAAATAACAAAAATCGTACGTTATTAAGTAAATATTCCCATTTTTCTGGCTTTTTTCCCGATTTTATTTCCCAACAAGACAAAATTTGCTAACAAAAAAAAAACCAACCCTGAAGTTAATGATCGGAGCAAAATTTTTGGTAAAAGGTGTAGATGATAGTAAAACCATTAACTAATTAAAATCTAAAATTACAAAAAAACTAAAAGTGTATAAAAAAAAAATCTACTTGCTCACGTATAATATTATAAACTATTTCAAAATAGTATACCTATTCATAAGCCGTCATTAAATGTCTTTAAATTGATATTTATTATTATTTGCATGTTTTATTCGGCTGTTTTCATTTGGTTATATAAGTACAACCGAATTCCGAATTTTGTAAACTGTCAATAAAAAATAAAATAAAATATTGACATGTGTTATTGGTGACAAAGAATAAATTTTAGATTATAAAAACATGTTCGATTTAATACGTACGTATTATATTTTATAGATATATACATTTTCAAATAATAAGTAATTCTATATTATTGTGTCACTTGCAGTGGTAGATTTGAATCTTCTGATTGCCAAAACGCTTGAAACTGTCTGGGTCGTAGACAGATGGGAAATAACTAGAGAAAATGTTTGTATACGCTATACAGATTATTATAGATTTCTAAACAAATTATTACAGTGATTTTTAAATAATTACCATACAATTTCCAACAACCCGACAACGCAACAGCCCAAACGATTTAGATTATACAGTTTTCGTAATAATAAAGTTTTCTATTGTAATGCATTTAGATTCAGTAAGGAGAAGAAAAAATGGTTTTAAAATTATGTTATTCTTTTTTATTTGTATTGTAGGTACATTTTAGGTATTGGGATAAAAACTGCATATAGCTCCTTCTTAACAGATTGGAAATTAGTCACAGATATGATACTTAAAATATGCTATTATTTTTTTATATACATATATATATATATATATGTATATAAATCATCGATAATTTTTTTTAATGGCGAATTCGAAAAATAGTGATAATTCCCATCTAATTCGTTTTCAATCTAAAGCTTTAGTTTTGGTTATTGTATATTATATACTTTTAATTTGGAATGTATAAGCATATTATTTACTATAAGTTCATTCTATAGTCTATTAAAACTATTAAATCTTTTTTTTGTTCAATACAAAATCTTTTACACAGTTTAATCTTTCTAAATTATTGTTGTAAACGGATTCTAATTTAAAAGTCGGGTACCTACATTTACTGCGTATTATGCATTTATTTTGTCTTTTGTTTTTCACAATTTCAACGGAAATTTTCGAATTTAACGACAGAAATTCTTTACTAAATAAAAGTAAGTAGATAAAAATAAAAAATTGTTTCCAACAAGAACAGCTCCCAGATTGATTATTTACGATTATTTATGACTTATACTGGTTCAATTATTTTTCAATTGGACTTAACTTGGTCAAGTTTTAGACACTTAGTTTGTTTAAAAGACGGATTTATCAATGATTCTCATATTGTATGTTTTATGGTCTCATGGTAGTATTATATTTAAGTTTTATCACTTTAAAAATCTATGTATCAGTCAACGCGCGTAGTCATAGATATTAATCGCAATATAAGCTCGGCGATATTTTCACCAAACGGAAATACCGTTATATTGAAGGAATTCTAAACTATTTGAAGGTTAGGTATAATATATACTATACATTAATCATAATACAAATAATACAATATATATATATATTAATCCTATTTTACCAATATTATAAATGCGAAAGTTTGTTTGGATGGATGCATGTTTGTTACTACTTCTCGCCCGAACTACTTAACGGATTGAGCCGAAACTTATCCTTCTAACCTACCTCCCCGTATTTGAAATCCAAAGAGGTTGTGACATGTGATGTATTGGTATATTTATTACAAAAATCTAATTATTAGATATTGTTAATGTATAGGCCATCTCTATGGTAAAATAAAATTAAAATTAAAACAAGCAAAACTATTATAATTATTGATGATTAGGATCTTGTTGATAGGGATGATAATTTTTCTATTATTTCTTTTGGCACAGAAAACAATAGGGGGGACACCTAGTAATATAGAAGCCAATCAAGTTTATGATATTATATTATATACACGTATGCAACTTTTGCAATCGCTTAGCTAGTGTTTTTAACGGTGTGCAGACCGCCAGAACCATAGTCGCAATTAGGAAGCCCTCCTCCCAAACATAGATTATAGTTTCTTATTAATTTGTATTCATATTAACATAGAATGTTTAAATAATTTGTTACGAGTTTATTAAAAAATCGTAATACTAGTTAAAAATACCGTGGAAATATAATTGCAAGCTTTGTATAATTTTCGAGACTTTAAAATTTAAGGTTTAGATGCACCTACGAGCAGACCACTTTTAAAATGTGTACTGCCTCCCATATATATATATTTTGACCGTCCAGGGTTATTTAATTCAATTATTGTAGGTAAATTTGTAAAAATGTCATGCGATGATATTATTATAACTACCTATATCGCAGGACGTGGCGTTTTTCACACATCTGTCAATGTCCCCAAGACGACGACGACGTTCCAACGCATACAGATATATACCTATGTATACGAGTATTATTAATGCACTTAATATTTTTCCCAAGTAAAAATTCGGCCAATGTCTTATTGCCGCAATATACGTTTACCTACCTACCTAGACGATTCTTCGAGTCGAGTGTTATAGAAGAAGAAAAAATAATAATACCTAGAGCGACGAAAAAACCTCTTGTCACGCTCTACGACTTCTCGGTCTCGGTCAGCTACCTCTCTGCTGTTGCTGCACGTAGTGACGTAGTGTACGTATAAAGGTACGTATATATGATCATCAGAAACACCGTCATAATATTATTTTTATAATTTTACAACTTTTTTCCTTTCTCAAACAGTACGTGTGTATGTGTGTATTTAACACAAGGACTTGTACACTTACGTACCTACAGCGCGCGTTTGACACAACTATTATTTGATCTGAATACTAATTAGTTTTATATTAGTATACAGTATACCTAACTTATTCCTTAGGTATCGGTAAGACAATACGAAATAATGTACACAAAAATATTCCTATTACGGACTAGGCAAAACAATTTCACTATCTATACTCGTACGTATACCCAGTACACACTTACACGGCCGATGACAATAAACGAGACTGAAAAAAACAGCACGATTGTTTTATAATATTAATGGATATTTTGTACGTCTACGATTGTTTTACCGATACATAGTTTTAAAAAAAAGTTCTATGCGATTAGAAATTTTACATTTTTTGTAAGTAATACCTACGCAATAAAACAAATTTGTAATTAATTTTTTTCGTATACGATTTAGTTAAATCTACATTGTAAATTTATTATTGTACATTTATATTGTTTGGCAGAGTTTAACCTCGTCATGTTACTGCGTATGTATATAGAATTAAAAATAAAAAGTTGAAACTGCTAATGAGCGTGCCACTGTTTTAGGAAAGAAGTTGGAAGAGAGAATATAATATAGATGAAGGGTATTAGTCGTATCAAATTGAGAAATCAAAAAAAATTGTCATTTTTTACCTATTTTCTAAGAAAACTACAAGGGAAATCAATAAAATTACCCCAATGCACCAACTAAATAAAAAAATGCTATAAGAAATTTCTTATGAAGTGATTGATTGGAGACATATTTCTGGAAGAAAAGTTGTCTATAGACACACAAAAAAAACACATAGTAAAATCAATACATTCTTTGCTTTGCCCAGTATCTTATATTACTTTTATACTGACTAGAAATTAATACGGCAAATAATAACAAAACAAAAAAAAAAAAAAACACGTTAATACTCGTTTCTCTTTGAATCTAATAATTTTGTTTAAAACGACATTTTAAACTATAAATTCTCAATATGGAATTTTAACTAGTTAGTTACTACATTTTCATCCAAGCATTTAACAACATTTCATCGTTCATCGTTGTATAATAACCCAAACGTTATAACGCCATTATAATATTTACGTGTAGGTTTAAACGAATACAATTCCTCGATTTCTGGTGAAATTTAAAATGTATTCGTATTCTTATATGAATACCTAAATTATTCTGCATTTTAATTTGTTTTGTTTATTCAAATCCACCGAAGAAAGTGATCGTGTATACCTACAAAAATATTATTGTGTTGCATACATATAATATACAAGTTATTATTGTGCAAATGTTTTTATTTTTACATTTTGTTAAACAAGGCAATATTACGTAGGTAGGTAGTTAAGTAGGTAGGTACGTTGTACATTCGTACAGAATTTAAATTTTATTTCTCTTTCAGCCGTCCGGTTATAGGTTTGTATTTTCAAACTTTCAGTGAGAGTATCTAGAAAACGTTAATAACGAACAAATATCAAATATTGTACATAATATGAAGTTCCACTAAATTACTATAAAGTTAACATATTATTTTTCTGAATTAAATATATTTTAAAGTCAAAGGAATAGTAATGGAACTGCAGTTAAATAAACAAATAAATAAATTTCTTCTATATTTCGAGATCGAACTTTAAAACCAATCGAAAAATATTTTCCAGTCTGAAAATATTTAAGTATGTTTTAGTTTCTTCCTCAGACCCTGCCATATGTATAAAACATGTATATATACGAATGATTTATTTAATTTGGAATTTGATTTGGGGGAGACAATAATTAAGGAAATTTCAAACAGAATGGGGATTCCTTTATCTTAACGATCTGGCCGACCTGGTACGTTTCACGGTGAATTCAAATCTGTTTTCAGAACTCGCTTCGCTACATCAATCAATTGACATTCAATTTGATCTATATTTGATACACATGTGCGTTGGACAAACAAAGATAATAAAAAACCTCTTGACGATTTTGTGATAATGTAGAAGTCTTCGGAGTCCCGATTGGAAACATTCTGGTTGTGCCACTGATATTAAATAATGTTAATTTAAATACGTTTCACGTGGTTTATACCGATTATACCACCGGGTTGAAGACATCTGGAATTTACTTGTGTGAAACATCACACGTAGGTATATAATATATACAATATTATTATAATCTTATTAACTCTACGACATTTTACTATATTACAACCTGCAGTACTCGCGGGAAGTGAAAGTGCGTATATTAATAATAATAATAATTTTTACTGCTCACGCTACAATGACACATTAACATATTATATTACAAGGAGGACGATTATTTATATATGATTATGTTTCGACGTGAGAAAACTGCACGCGGCGCTTTTACACCTTCCTGTGCAACAAGAACATTTTGCGGGTACCTAGGTTGGCGTATATTATATTATAGTGATGGTAAATGAAATCGATTCGATTTCACGCTTAATTTATACACAATAATAATAATAATAATAATGTATGGGACGCAAAAAAAAAAACCAACAAAAAATCCAGAAGTGACAAACTGTGAAAAAAATTATATTATATACAGAAAACTGATTCTATTACATTCATAACAACGACAATTATTATAGTAGTATTTATAATAATATTGTATGTTTATATATACGCGATGATAGATGCTGTTTCGAGTGGGCATCACGATAGGTTCATTGTTCAAGATCAACTTTCTCTCGCGCTCGTACCACCTGCACAACAACACCGACGCCGATATCGTCGTACGGGATACGCGTAGGAATATCGTCGTGATGTTTGCGCATCGTTAAAAAAAAATCTATACGATATCAATCGGAGATAATAATATTGTATAGTGGGTTCTCTTCGTCGTATAAATTTCTAGCCCGTATAATAGTAAAATAAGTTTCTGAGCGAAGCGAGAAATGAATTGGTATTACTATGATGTGTTTGGTTTTGTGTCTGTAAACTAATGTTTTACTAGAAATCTTGCTTCAATCAAAAACTTTATAGGAACTTTCTTATAAGAAGTTGGTAGATGGACGAGGTTTTTGTATAATTTCTGTTGATTTCCGGATTACATTGGCAACAAGCGAACAAAGTATGTCTAATAATACTCTGCTCAGAATCGTTTTTCTTTAGCAATGGTTTAATGTTACGTTCAGATATAAACTACCCAATATATCTTCTCTTTCTACTTTTTTCTTAAAATCTACTTTGCATTTAACCTTAGTGTTATTACAAAGGTATTGGGTATTGGAATCGAAAAAAAAAATTAGTATCGAGTTCTAAATTGTCGATATCGCTCATCTCTAGTTAAAAGTTTAAAATCAAGTTCATGTTTGTGAAATATTAAGTCTTTACGTATTTAATATACACTTGTTGTAAGGAAATTACAATACTTTCGAAAAAAGTACGGCATATGGGAATCCTATGATAATATATACTATTTTATTCATATGAAATCGCGGCAATTTAATGTTCGATAATATTATAATTAACATATTATAGGCAACAATAATATCGACGAAAAAACTGGTTAAATAAAATCCCACTGTTAGTTGACTGGCGACACGAGTATTTAAAGAGAAAAAAAAAAAAACCGCACATCGTAGTCGAGAATGTTCAATAAACTATTGAGTAATGTCCTTGTGTTATCCAACGGAATTTTATTTGTTTACTATTGTGGTTTACTAAAAAGTAAAATGTTCTATAGGTAAGCACTATAGCTGCTGGTTTACACGATTTTTATCGAGTTCTTTATTATTCGGTTTTGGTAATTTCTATAATGTAAAATATGTTGTATGTGTTGGAAAAAAAAATACATTTAAATTCTATAACCAATTGATTGGCAATGGCGATTTAATGATCGAAATGAGAAATCTGAATCGTATAAAATAAAAATAATTAATATCGTACGGGTATTTAACAAAAAAATAGCATAAATCGTGAGTTTTCGATACGCGATAAAAACTGAATGTATTTTATATTAATTTATACCGCGCGGCTATTTACTTATCGTTAATACGATTTTATAAAAATAAACACATTTCTAAAAAGCATATGGTTATTATACCTATAGGGTTTTGGTACTTACCATTATAATGTACAGGCAGATACTATAGATTATAGTAGACTAATATTTCAATTAGTTTTTGTTTTGTTGAGTTTATTGCATTGGTAATAGAGATGAACGTAGACGACTGCAGATCATAACGAATTTTTTTTTATGGGGGCGGGGAATTAAAGGATAATAAAATGCATGGTAATTTAAAAAAAAGAAAAACAATCAAATTGACATTAGTTACGAATATAATAAAAATTGATGGGCGACAGATAGATTATCTGAAAAAAAAAATATTCATTTTTAAAAACGTTTAACTGCTCCACTTATATTGAATCTTTGGTAAATACTTTATCTGTGTATGATGTATGTATTTCTTTGAAAGTTATATATGGTAATAGTACACGGTGATCGCGTCGAAATAGATCAAACGAGACTGGTGTGGTGTGCGAACATGCGTTAATGTAAGAACATTAACTTTTGTTAAGGTTGTTTTTTTTTTGCGAATTCCTTTCAGAAAACTAAACAAATATAAATACGTTTTAAATATCTACGTAAAATGTAAATATAAGTATTTCTGTAGCTACTGTACTAATGTACCTCAGGTATTATTTTACGGTTTTGTTTTTTTAAATTTATTTTATATGTGCGTTTATACTCTTACGCTTAACAAAATTGTATAATTCCTACGTATTCTTATATAATTTAAAGAATGTAAAAATAAATGTCAACTCTAGAAAAACTGATCGTACAGAGTTTAAATTTTGAAGTTGGGGAACTGGGAGCACTTATATCCGGCCCTGTAGGATGGACATCATGAACAGATATGGCATGAAGATACTTAAATCCCCTTAATTCGACCAAACATATCGCTCTTTTTTGTTTGTCGTCTTCTATCTCAAATTATGTGAAATATTGTCATATTTGTCTCGACCGCTTGATACGTGTCTAGCATCAATGATGATCCCTCTTAATTTAAATTTAATTTTAATAATTTTTAATTTAAATTAATACCCTGAGCACTTATCTATATTTTCCGTTTTTTTGTTCATTGTTCAACCTGCGAAACTATTACTGTAAATGCCGTTTGGCGTCTAGCAAATAAAATAAATACGTATATTTGTACACTTTTACGTCCTTCTAGTAATTTTTTCCCAATTTAACTATTACGTATGCAAAAAAAAAAAAAAAAAAACACATTTAACATCACGTATTATTTTATTGGTGATATTCGTACATGTAAATTCGAAAATTTGCTACCTGCAGGGAGAAATTATTTCACGACGATATATTTTCATCATTACGTATTATTGACTTTTAAATACCTGTATATTCAGCCGGTGTTTTGCCACGGAAATGGCGTATTATTACACTGTAAAGTGTACACTTATATTATCTCTTTCGGCGGATTTATAATGTAATGTACGCGTCGGACTACAAGTCTCTGCAGCGGTAGTGCATGCATAGAGTGTAATTGGATTACCTATAGGTAGTCTTATGTAAATGTTAGAAAGTGACGCCATCCGCTTTATGCACATACCAACGACAAAACACGCGTGTTTAATCGCTACCATAGCGTAATATTATTAGCAATCCCAATGTCAAATTAAAAACGTATTATACAGGTACGAATGAATTTAAAAAAAAAAAAATAATAATAAAAATCGGGCGCGCAGCAATATAATATCACAGGTACCTGCATAATAATAATATTTATAAACGACGCGACCAGACGAAGTGAGAAATTGAAAAGAAATTTAATTTCCTCGTACTCGTATTCTAATTTCGATATCTGTAATTATACAGTTGTTGAATAATATTATTATTACACAATATGTTATTATATATAGATCATTCGTTCCGATGAAAACTGGTCCGATACATTAATATTTAATAATATGTACGCTGTATAGGTACACGCCCACTCTTAAACTTAATGTATAAATACACGATGTGCCATAACTAATACATATAAACATTTGTTTTTTTTTTTTTTCAATAAACTGTATACGTACATCACCGAAAGAAACCTAAGCACATTCATATTCATTATACGATGTTAGTGGCGTATATTTTGAATCGGCGATGGGCGCTGCGTACGTTTTTGCTTGAATCTCGGACGTAGTTAATGGGGGTTTAAACAATTAGACAAATGTTTCATTCATTTACATTTCAGTGCAATAGCCTAAACAAAAATCAATAAAGAAAACTTAACAACGAAATACAAATATAATATGTAAAATGTCTTGGCATATTCTGTAAGTATTTCAACCATATTTATTGCATCCCTCATGACAGTTGCCTAGGAGAATTTAAAGCGCAGACGGTATTATACCATTGCCATTAATTTCTACTTTTTTATATACATATATTGGTTATGGCTAACCATATATTTTCTGATTAGTACTGCTCCTTAAATACGTTTTTTAATACGTTTCAGTATAGAAAATGGTTTTTTAGGAAAGAAAGAAATAACTGGAAACGTAGTTAACACTCAAATCGTAAAATAGTACAATCGTAAATACATACATAAACACATAAACACATTCAGGGGAGGGGCGGTTATAGCTATAATTCTAGACTGCGTCACTATATTGTGCATTCCAACAGAATATCATGTTTTATATCATTTTATATAGGTACCTGTGTATGAAAAAAATTATGAAATTATGAAAAATATACAAGTTACATTAGTATAAAATAAGTTGGTAGTCATTTTGCCGCGAATTTTTCTACGGATTAATGAACACGTCCTTGAAGAACATCGTCAATCAGTAAAAGTACATAATTTAAGGAAAAAGGAATACCCACATTGCCTATTATTGTTTACACGATTAGAGGTAATCCGCTAGTTTTTTACAATATCACGCCTACTACCTATGGGTTTCTTTACTACGCGGCTATATAATAATAATAATAATAGGTTGGACGATTGCACGCCGTCGTCGTGTTCGTGTGTACCCAGAGGACCCGGGTAGGTACACGATAAAGCAACGGCGATATTAACGAATTATTATCGTACACCTACCAGTCACGGCCGTGCTGCTAAAGTTCGAAAACCTTATCACATACTTACATGTACAGCATGGATAGGTAAATGTATTTATGTGTGCAATATATAGGTTCGTGTTGCTCAAACCGAACAATTAGAAAATGAAACGGCGATGGCCGTCGACGTTGGGAAACACCTAAATATTGGTTAAGCTTCTTGACGCAGCGCGTGTAAGTACGGCCAGTAGATGTAACGACACTGTGTTAATGTACGGTAATAACATTTGCAGAAAAATTAGGTGCCTACGTTTTTGTTTGTACGTCATCAATAATGACGGACGAAAAAATATTGCATACAATTCGTGTATTTCTAATACGTACCTATAAGGAGAAGATGTGGTGGTTTTTTTTTTTTTTGCTGTTCCGTTTTGTTCTGCGAAAACACTTTTTCGGTCAGCGAAAACGGGCTAAACGAATTTAAAATACGAGCATTTTCAATGACAACGTACAACAAAATACGCACCCACGGTTTTGTATACAGGCGCACAGAGATCTTTAATTTCGAATTCAGACCGTCATACATTGAATATTAAACTCGTATTACAACGTGTTTACACTCGAATTTCGGAATTTTTTCTTTACTGTTTTGGGTTTTCGGGTTCCCTCCGGTGGGTTTAAATCACGGGAATGATTGGAAACTACTGCCCAGCCGTCTTACATCTAACCAGTTAGGAATTATAGTTGACAGTTTTTCCCGGCCCGAACAACAATAATATACCTATGTAATATTAAGAACGCGTGTGTTTTTAAATAATATCGTATAAATTCCAAAATGTGTTCTCCTCTTGCGCAAATACGCAATATTATTCTATGTGTGCGTGTTTATATATATTTATATTGTGTAGTTTTGATTCTTTTTGTCGGTCACATGTCACTGGCCATACACAATTACCGTTTGCCGGCCGTATCGAAACGTTTCGTGTGTACCGGCACCTGCCACAGTGTTGTTTGGCGTGTGCGGGCCACTATAATATCGGTACCTACCTTGCCAAGTCCGATAATTTCAAGTTAATCTAATAATAATACCTAATGTTACAGGCGGCTCGTGCGTGGATCCGCCGAACAGAAACTCTATAATTCGAGAGAAAACTGTACACTTTATAATAGGTAGGCGCGTACCTACGCATAATATACTTAGTCGGACACGACCCGAGTCTGTTTCCGCATTGTGAACGCAAGAATATTATAGTAAACAAACGCCGAAACGATTATTGCAGTGGTGTACAATAGTAAAAAAAACTGAGGATTTAACGAACACGCGCATGTCGAATCTCTCCCGGTTGTGATATCAAACGTAGACGTATAATATTATCGCGCGAGTCTCGAAATCATATTATCATATTATACATCGATCGATCCGTATTATCACCGTATGATAAATATTATCATAAATTAAATGGTGTTTTGTGCAGATTTGTTTTCTTTTCAATAAGCCCCTCCCCCCAACAATTATGTACTTATACTTGCATATATTTATATTCGTGCATAGCTCTGCAGCGGTAAACGCATCTTCAGACGTTTTACGTAAGGTGTAAGTGTAAGGTGTGTGTGTTTTTTTTTCTTTTTCCGTTACGCATCCTCTCCCGGGGGGGGNGGGGGGGGGGGGGGAACTGCGCCAACGGTGTTGTTGCGCGATAATATTATAATACATTTTCACGGTAGAAGTATACGCAGGCACGGAAGCGAATTTGCCAAACAAAATCGCATGTGTCTATATATTATTGTTTATAATTTCGTCTGTACACGCGCAGGTAACTCATCCGGAACAAATCGAAATTTGTTTGTATATTTTATTTTCGTTGCATCATAAGCACGTACAAAAATCCGTCGTCGACACCTATACAGCCCCACGGTTGCGGTTTATCCGAGAAATATAACCGAACGAATATAATATTATGCGTGCAGTGTGGACTGGATTAATGGATCATTGATGTTCATCAATAAACTCAACCTAACCCAGTTATACGCGAGCACTTTTGTGAACTCCGCCGGTCACAGAATAATGAAAAAATAAGGGAAAACGTGTATTATGGTACGCATTCAAATTCCACCGGTCGCAAACCGTTGATAATGACCGATGCGATACGTTTAAATTCCGTACGCGCCGAGAGATACAAATAATATTTATAATACTATACGTAAAACGTGTACGCCGCGGGGAAATTACATCCCAGTTTCCGCGATACATTTCACTTGAACTTAAACGTATATACATTCCGCATGTTAATTAAAGTATTATTATTATTATTATTATCACTTAAGTGATAGACGGCGGATATACAACTTTCTAATAACATATAATATAGATAGTGTTCGGTGCGATGACGGTAATCAAAATATAAACAATTTAACGTAGGTAATCGGATTATGTACAAAAATATTACGATACGACTTTTAAACTTCAATTAAGTAAGTAACCTACGTTAATTGGAAATAACTATTTTTGTTATTACTTACATTACATAAGACAATTTCTCCTATTAATTCGGGTTTGATACGATACGTCGTAGTCGGTATTAAAAGTGTCTACGTCACACTCGTGGATTTTTGTTGTCTCCGTGTGTCTTACATCAAACGCGCACACGACATTACGCTTTTTTTTTCTCGATATTTTGTTTTTTCAAGCGAGATGCAATGAAAGTGTGTGAAATATCACGATTTAAAAATGTTTATTATATTATTTATATCTAGCTTAAAAGTTAGAACGTCGAAAAACACCCCGCGTATAAACATAGATAAAATGTTTTTAGTTATAGGGTTGAATAGTTTGATAAGTTTTACTTATAAGTCAATTCACTCTAATATTACAACTGACGGTGAAAAATTGGTTTTTTGTTAAACGCAATTTGTTATGTCTTGCTTTTTTTTTTTTTTGAAGACCGAGACAACAGTAATGATGCGTGTGTGATGTCTTCTTAGTCGAATAAATAATAATAATAATATTATTATTATCGTATTGAATACTTGCTCGTATTATTTTTCTTTTATAATATCATATCGTATCTCAATCATATCTCGACGATTTTTTTTTTTTTTTTCGATAAGTGTCATCTATGTCTAATATTATATTATTATTTTGGGTAATTGGGTACATCGTTTTAAACTTCTATAGTGATATTATTATTATGTCCTGATATCGTTTAAGTGTGTCGTCAATAAATTGAATGTATATAGCTGGTATCAAACGTCACAAAAGAGTTTTCACTAAGCCCTGAATAGTTGTAGCGGTCTTAAAAATATCCGTTTACATCGGGCGATGACTCGTATTATTTTATTATTTTTGTTTATGGTCAAAATTAATATATATAATTAAACAATGGGGAAATCGTGTGACACGGTTATAAAATAGTAATTCCTCTGACTTAGTTTCGGTGTTAAATTTCGGTCGAGAATTGTATGTAGTTTGATTTTGATTTGATTATTGGTTATGGCCGACGATCATTTATTATACGCCAACGTATACGTATCTGAAAGACAAAGTTTTATTTTCGTTAAATGCATATATAGGTAGGTACAATAAAAAATTGAAAAATTGAAAGTTTTACGAATTCGGCGATTATTTTGTTTCGCTTTGGCATAATTTATTATAAAAGTGTGGGTGATTTGCTCTATATAATTGTGTAGTATTGTTCGTTATTATGGGAGTATAATTTTTTATCATAGCAGTTCTCGAGGTTGTTACGACGCAGTTTTATACAATACGAACCGTTCAAGTTTTGCAAATATTTTATTGTTCTGATACGAAAGATATTTATGCGTCCTTAATATTGATAGAATACATATATCGTCGGCATAGAATCAAAGGAAGTAATTTTAACCAATTTATTCTTATTAACCAATATTTAATTGAAATGTTTATTTTCATACTTGTATACTTGACATTTTGCATTTTGTATTTAGATTTAACTCGTTATTGTTAAAAAAAAAAGAAAAAGAAAAGAAGGTCTTGGTTTTAGATTGGGTGATGTATCATCCACATCTCCCCCTTGAAAACGCCATTGTTCCCGGGTAATCTATGGGTATTGTGTAACGTACGGTATTTCCGTGAACGTATATGCCTGTAACCACAAAACTGACTCCCAAAATCTTTAGTAATTAGCCTAACTAACCGAACGGCCAAGGGTATCGGTACTTCACAAAACCAGACGACCGCAGATTTCCGAGTACCAGTGGCGTGTTGAATATTTTTTTATACTTACTATTTGCAGATGCGAAACGAACAATTTAGGACCCACCCAGCATAGATTATAAATAACAATTACAGCAAAATTCGTATTTAGTTAGGTTGGCTACATAACCTAACATATTCATATACTCAGTATTTATTATATAGGTGTCAATCGTCCGGAGAGTACTGTAGTTTACTAAGTAACCTCGTATAAAACGTGTAAAACATACACACACACAAATTAATAAAACACATGCAAATATAGTAATCTAAAATATAACACAATTCATTTGTTAGATTCACGCCGAACTCATTCTCCGAGTCTTCTAAACCTCGAAGTCTCGGATACGAATGATATTTTAATAGAATTTTTGTATAGTATCGTAAATCAATATTATTTTGTTATCAAAAACGCATCGACTCGTGACGGTGGCGCACAGCTACCGCCGTGTCTAGCGACCGCGTTTTACAACTTGCTGATTTAACATAATATTATTTTAATATAAAAATATAAATATTGTCTCCCGGCTATATTGCAGTGTATACCTATTAAATATATGAATTGATTTGATGAATTGGTACGAATTGGTTTCGATGAACTGTCATTTTAATAATAAAACAGAATTACAAGCCAACAACAATTTCCATTTCCATTTTACATTAGACACTTATGGCTGTTTTGAAAACCTTTGAGACGACTAAAAACGGTTTCAGTCGTTAACAAAGAATTGGTATTTAGACCGAAAAGTCAGTACAAAACTTTAAAATTAACGGATTTTGATTGGTAAACAAGTTCACTATAGGTATTGACGATATATGAACAATTAATGAAATCATAAATTAAATGCGATTAAATTTATTTTTACGCACGTATATAATTATTTTTATCGGGAACCAATTCGTATATATTTTTTTTTTTTGACCCTGCAACCGATTCCGTCGTAATTCCCGCTCCCATAATGTTGATAATTATTGATTATGCAATGCGCATGCACTAAGTGTTTAGTTGATTAGGACTTGGTTCTTTGGGAAACGGCTTGGTTGTGTTTTTTTGGGGACTCAGCCCCCTGATCCCCATTATTTTCGCCTATGTTTAGAATTAGTATTGTGTTTGAGGATCTCACAGCAGAAAAAAAAAAATAAAAAATAATAATAATAAGCGTACTAAATGGTGTGTTTATTCGGAATAAATATAATAATTATGGTATTATGCCGATGCGCATGTTTAAATTATAATATTTTGTTTACGGTTCGGGGATTGGGCAATCGCGGTCGGCAGACTCGATAAAATATTATGTATATCCTAAACCGATTATAATAATTTGAACGTAATTTTATACACAATAAATCTCTGCGGACTTATAGCGTGTGTAAAAATATACAAAAATGTTTTGGATTTTTTTTCGCTCGACCGTATTCGTCTGCCGCGAATGTAATAAAATATTTATGCGAACGAAACCATATACGACGTATATTACTGCAGGTAGTCGATTTTCCAAAGAAATATATTAAAAGTTATTCGATACAGCGATTATTTTTATACATATATAAAAAAAAAAAAAAAAAAACAACTATAAAATACGCGTATAAATATTATGTTATGTTATGAAAAATGAAGATTCAAAGTGTAATGTTGGCGATGTTCCTATAAGTATCTGCGCGTTATAATATAATATTGTATTAGACCGATGACATTATTATAATATTATCGCTGTGGTATTATTATTATTTAGTTTTCGCCCTTGAAACACCTGCATTACCACTAGGAACCGGTATAGTTTTTAGGGCATTAAATTATTATGTATAGGGCGATTTTTTTCATATAATAATACGGAATATTTATAATTTGTTTTTATGTCTATACTTTCGATTTTAAAAACGGAATTATAATTAACTTACTTGTTGAACTATACTCAATTTAAAATTTGTCCGGAACGTTTTCGGCGTGATTTCGGTTCATAACGAATTTAAACTATAAAAGGTTTTTCGAACCCCAGACTTGGGGTCTCAAAACTTACTTACCATTAACGAGTTTTATGCAGCCTCCACAACGGAGATAAATAATGTGAAAAAAAAAAAACCGTAACGATCGATCGTACTTAATATCATGTGTACGTGTTGCAGTGGTGGTGTTAGCGGTGATGATAGAGCGACCAAAAGATAACCAACGAAATCGACGATTTCCAGTTCAATATTACTCTAAATTCAAAATTCACTCATAAAACTAGTTTTTATACTTTTGGCCTGTCAAGTGCTTTTAATTTTTCACATAGATATGAATAATTTGGATAGGTACCCATTCTTGGTTCAAATCATTTAATTAAAAAATTTATATTATCGGTTCAAAATTACACTCCTCTAATATTTGTTTTTTAACAGAATACCTATTACCTATACATAATTCACATTCGAATAAAAATATCGCTTTCATAACTTTTAAATATATATATATATATTTTCAATATTAAGTTTTTTATACTATTATATTATTCTATAATATTTTATTGTTATATAATTAAACACGTATTTTTATTATGTTTTTAGCATGGACCGCACACACACATATTTATTATATATATATATATATTGCAAAGATAAACCATTGCTAACCAAAAGCGATTCTGAGGAAAGTATTAATAGTCATATATTTTCTCTTTTCGATCAGAAATCAAGAAAAATTGACCGTTTTAACACTTATTAAGTAAACAAAAAGAAAAAAAAAAAAGACATTTTCAATGCACCGACTAGATTGGAAATGCCACAAGTAAGTTCCTATAAAGTCGTTTGATTGGAACAAGATTTCTGACCGAAAAGTTGCTTAAAAATACAGTAAAAACCATTCAATTCCTCTGTTCACTCAGAATCTATTATGAAATCGTCTAACACGCGTGTTTATTGAATCTGTATCTCTAGGTTATATATTGGTATATGATAGAATGACAACTTTTCGTACCTATAAAAATGTGTTAACAAATATAATTTTGTTTCCATATTAATTTTTGCTCTATAAATTACACTGGTTACAATCAACTACATGTAATGAATATTTTTTATCGATTATATTTTATCGTTTCTTCGATTCGCGGTTTGTATTATCCAATCACCCGTGTAATGTATACAATAATCTGCTTGGCTGAACCTCGGATGTACATAAATGACGTTGCAAACCCACATGCATTCAAATAATTTTTTTTTTGAAAACAAAAAACAAATTTATCGGTCATTCGCCGAGTTGTGCACGATAACACAACCGTCAGAGTATTGATTGTAAGTGTAGATTCGTAAATAGTTGTTGGGTTAACGTCCTCCCGACGGCAAATAATTTGGCATCAAATGTAGAGATAATGAGTAACACTCATAATAATATTGCAGAACTACTCTTAGAACTATAGGTAATTTCTTAAATCTTAATTGAAAAAAATTAAAAATGTAATGTTTGGCAAATGTTTAATTACATAATACAATTACTCTGAAAAATATTGCGCCTTATTAAAAATTATAATAATATTAATAACATAGCAAGAACTCTACCTAAAGTTTAACGTTGTTTTTCACTTGCGTCCTTTTTCGATGGACGAATTTACATCGTAAATTGGAAGTATAGATTTTAAATTATTATCTTTAAGGTTATATACTCACAGATGATAATCTCTTTTAGATTTTTAGTGCAGCGAGGAACATATTGAATTTTCTTTGATGTATTTTTGTTCCATATGTAAATAAATTTTCTACCAGAAATCCTGTTCCAATCTGAAATTGTAACGTACCTTTTTTGAGAAAAAATTGTGTCTATTTAGTGAAACGTGGATTGTGGAGATGATTTTTTTGATTTTCCTTATAATTTTCTTTTTTAATGGGGAAAAAACGTCAATATTTAATAAAATTATATAATAATAATAGTTTCTGATAGCTACTGTCAACAGTATTCAGCTCTTTTCATGTATACTATCCTCAAAATCGTCCTATAGTATTATATTAAACGGCTTTGATAAATCACTTACGATTTGAATTTTTTTCGTTTCGCCAAGATTTATATATAATTACTATACGGCCATCACGCCATCATATTATTATTGTCATTGTTCACGGCGGAGAGTATAGTTAATTTTTCAGTCATAGTTTCTGGTACAATACACCTGTATATTGTATGCTTTGAAATAATAAAATAATTATGGTATCGCACATAAACGCTTTTAGGACGAGACTTTATGAATCCGAGGTCACGTCTTTTGTATGTTAATGTGGCTAGGTATTAACCGCGCGAGACAAAATATCAACAATTACTTTCTATGTAGGTACGCGTATACCGTGTTTACTGACTTATTGCAGTCATCGCAACTGGTTTTGTGATTAAGATGTATACACGAACAATTATTATAAGTCAAACGACACGGCGACGACGTTGTATAGTGGTTAACTATTATGTTATTATTGTTCTTCTTGCGGTTTATATTATTGGTCGTCGACTATCTGCAGTATTCATTGGTATTATTATGATTATTATTATGATATGTAACAAAAATATAGGTCAATTTCTGGAAATAAATCAATAAAAAAAAAAAATTAACAATATTATGCAGAACGGGTCATTCAATTGAATATTACTGTAGCGCTGGATATAATTTTTTTTTTTTTTTTAAATTATAATAATACGTATTATATTAAATTTACACTCTTTCAATTCTGTCGGTTATATCTGCTAATGTTTTATTATAACAAGGACGGATAATGGAAGTCTACAATCACGTACTATTAACATGACAACAGATTGTAAATATGGAAAATTTAAAACAAAATGTTCACAAAACAAAATATTAGTATAATACTAATGAATTTTTTCAACCGTTGCAACAGCTATAACTCTATGTAGAGAAGGATGATGTAATTCCTAAAATATTATATCAGAGCAAATTTATTTCTATCGAGATTTTTTTTTCCTATGTGTTTTAGTGTTCAGATATTATTTAGGAACCTAGAGACGAAAATAAGTGGTTATTGGCGTTCGCGTTTTCAATAATATATAATAACAATGCGATTGAAACCAATTGGTATACTAGCAAGTTTTTCAAAAATATTAGCAAGAATGTTTTTTTTTTTATTTTTTTATTTCAATTTTGTATTTCAATTAAATTGGGTTTTTTTTTATCTGTGGTGTAACCGAGGGAAACCAGAAATAACAGAAAAAAAAAATTCTGAAACTCAAAGTTTTGTGTATTGGGTACCGATGAATATAGAAATCAAGTTTCTAGGTATTCCGCTTATATTTAAAATTTAGATCTCTGATTTGGGCTTGGAATTTTGATTTCGTTAACTTTTTAGCTTTTAACCAAAGTTTTTTTTCATTCAACTCGATCAAGTCAATTATTTGTTTCGCTAACTTGCCTCTCCTCTCATTTCACCGTTGTTAAAATCAAAATAAATGTTATAATTTTGACGGAGAGAAACGTCATCGTCGTCGTAATTTCCGTTCGGATTGTTTATGGCCGTTTATACTAATAATTATAACAACAATAGCAATTATTATTGTTGTTATGACGCCTGCATCTCCCATGTAATCGTGCGCGCCTTCACCAGTAAGCGTTTGGGAAAAAAATAGTTCGAAAACCTTAATTTGGGGCTGGTTTAGCGCATCTCGACGGTATCATAATAATATTATAATAATTGAACAATAATACGCAGGCGCGTATATTATGAAAAATGATAATGTTAAACGAGTATAGGTGATTTTGACCGCCGTCAACGATTGACTGATCACACTAAGTGTAGGAAAAAAATGAGCATATTATTGTATTTTTTTTCGTTCATTCGGTATAATATAATAATAATAATAATAATAAAAATAAAAATATATATAAAAAAAAATGCGAAACGGATGGATATTTGATATTGGATATACGTGATATAGTGTATGCACAGCGTGATTAACAACGTAAGACGTAACTCGGAAAGTATCACAGCGGTATGGTCTACAGTATGTTTTAAGTTTCGGTAGTGGAGTACTATTCAAACGCCGCTCGCACGCCATCGCACAAATGATGCACCACCGAACCGAAACTTAAAAGTCGAATATCTCGACAACGGGTTGACGGAAATTAAAAATGTCAACACCGAAATTCAACTAATAGTCCATTTATTTATGGAGTTTTTAAATATAGGCTACTATTTGAAAATCGACAGTAGGTAATGGGTTCACAGAAAAATAACGGTGTTGAACCATTTTAGAGCGACTTGTTTCTTACAATTACTAAAAAAAAAAAAAAAATTCTAAAAAAAATATTAACACTTTCTGTGATAATGAGTGTCTTACATTATGTTAATCACTCTGTATGAGTACCTACATAAATGTAATAATACGACGAATATAATATGAATTATATGATGTAAATTATTATCATTCCCGTTGTCGCTCACAGACGCTCGGAATCTTCTTTACAAACACGCTATATTATTATACAAGGTGATTGTTATCAGGACCCGGTGATTATTTTACCCTCATCCGTATACACCATAATATTTATTGAATGATAAAAACATATGCATCCGTATCAAATTCGATTTTAATTAAGATCTTCTCATATTCAATGTGCAGTGCCTACGATAGCCTATATTTATTATATTCCCTCAACCAAATTATGTTTAACTGTTACAATATTATATAGGTGAGTTATAAACGGTTTCTATATCCGATATTTTAGACAAATATTTCCTGTTCGAATGTGAGTTGAAAAATGTGGGTCGATATTATAGTATTGCGTTTATGCGGTATTATTATTGGTATACACAATTATCTACAAAACTAACGCATTTTATCAATTTATTATTCTTAGGATATATTATAACCTTGATTTCTCGGACGTATAAATAAATACTCAAATGACATATTTCTTAAGAAATTATCACACGAATTGATATGACGTGACATCATCCTTTAAACGCTGTCTCCCGCGGTTTTGACGTTCACATGTTGTTCGAACATAAAAGAGAAAAAAATGGTGTGATAATATTTTATCGATTGGTATTAGAATTTCGCAAGAAATATCATTTGACGAGTAGGTATCTACCTATATTTTAGTGTTACAAATTTTCGAGAAAATGTTATTCTAAAATCGAAATGATAAAATGCAGATTTCGAAGAGAAGCAAATATTCCAAAAATATCTTTGTTCAGACACCCCACCGAGTGTATAATAGGTATGCACCAAACAGACCCACAGTATAAAGTCTATTAAGAAAGATTATGCTTACTGTGTGTCCAATAGAAAATAAATGGTAAATTAATGAATTAGTAGATTTTGTAATAAAATATTTGATTTCCATATGGGAAATACTCTCACCGGTGAGGGGACGGCGTAACTGGGAACATTGTAAAGGTCAACGGGAAGGTTTGGTCTATCCGTTCGTGGGGCTTTTTCTCTAAGAGAGGGGGGTACGGACACGCAGTGGATATTCGCTAAAAAAAAATGCCCCGATACACGCGTTTACTATAATACATAGTATACAGGTACATAGTATCGTCGTTCATTTCAGAAACGCTCTGTACACATAGTACAGCGCGTAGCATAAGTGTAGCTACACGCTCGGTCATCGCTGCCAATGACTCGTAATTCATATATTATCGTTAGTATAGGGTGTACGGTGGGAGCGACCACTGTGCACACGCAGTAGTTATACGCTAATGGACTTTGTTTGTCACGCGGCGGTCTTTTCCGCCGGTCTTCGTGGCGGCATTTTGATTACGCATTCTGATCGCGTAACGTCGTCGCGCTTATATTATATTGTACACATCACGGCGTGCGAGCGGGGAAATCGCCATTGTTTCGCCCACTGCCGCCGTGATGAGAATTCCTTAATGACTGTCCGCGGATTTTTTTTTATTTTTTTTTTTTTCCTATCATTTTCACGACGCGCTTTCTTTGCCCGCGTCCGTCCGAAAAAAAAAAAACACGTCTTCATCGCGTCCGCATCGACTCGGTATAATTTAATAGTGAACATAGGAGGTGGGTAGTGAATATTACACGTAATAATTTATTTTATAATATATAATATATATATACAGCGTATAATATGTTACGTCCGACGACGATAAGATATTGTATTATTATTATACCTATACGTATAGTCAGTAGGTAGGTAGTCGAGAGCGGACGTATTAACGACGCACCGAGCGGTATCAAATGATGAATTGTATTTCATACTTAGATACTATATGACCTCTTCAGGTATAGTACCCTGCGGTTGCCGGGAAAACGACGAGAAAATTGTAACCGTTGCGGTCTGAAGCAACACCTATAAGTACATCGAAACGAAAAATCCGTCACTTCCAAACCCCATGTTGCTTCAAAGAAGTAATCGTTTTAAAATTGAAAACCTAAAACCGTAACTCGTTGATAAACCACGTCGAGTAGATCACATTTTGAAGTAGAAAAGTCACGTGGTGAGGCGATAACACACAAGAACTATAATACAGTATTATGTGAAGGAACGGTTGGCAACAATGAAATAAGAATATCGTGCCTGGATTTTTATTAATTTTCTGACAACTTGCAATATTCGGACTTCTTCCTCTTTGTCTTTCACCCGCTAGCTACTCTTATTCTCGCCCTTGAAATCACCATGTCCATCAACATCCGTTCATTCACTCTATTCATTGTGCTCTATTTAATGACCTCAAATCACTTTTTCTTCGGCGCATATACTTCCTAGGCTCCCATAGCTGTACTCAATTGACTCAGAAATTCTTGACTCTCTGATCGATCATTTCTCCTTCTCTCGACGTTTTGCCTTCATTTGATCATCATTTATCATCTAAATCACTCTCTCTAGTTTTTCTCCCATAGACTACCTCTTATATTCATATTCATTATTATTAATCCTATATCCAGCTTGTCGCGGTCATTCGTTTAGCCGTTTTCGTATCTACTACTTTCGTTTTCTTTTTTTTTTTTATTTTTATAAATTTCGTCTCTTTTATATATTCAAAACGCCCATAACGCTCGGGCCCATTCATCATCACTGGCCTCACAACAGTTTATATATATTACGCCCGAACTTCTTTCTGTACTTGATTTATTATAATTTAATATAGGTACCTATATTGATATGTCCTATGTGTACATAATATTTTTACTTTCGACGTACGTGATGTATCTCTTTGTGTACAACTATATTATAATAATAATATTATGTATACATAGTACAAACGCTGACGGATTTGTTTTGTTTTTTTTTTTGTTTCTATCGTTACAATTAACCTCGTTGTACCGTTTGACGGGATAACCGAATAACGATGCGAGTTAATTAACCCAATAATAATAACCACGGCGAAATAAAGACGAATAACTCAACAACGAGACGCGCATTAATAAAATAATATTATTGTAACGACCGCGTGCCTGTCTATACAGAGTTTAATATGTAAATTATTATTACTATAATGCGTCCGTTGCCGTTGTCGTATGACGGCGGCCTTGTCGTACGCAAACTTCCCGCGGTTCTATCCCTCCCGTTGACATATCATTATTATCATTACTATTATTATTATTATTATTATTATTATTATTATTATTATTCGGTATTATAATTTCGTTCGGTTATAATATATTATAATGTAGGCGAAGAGGCGCGAAGAAGAAGGCGCGGAACATCTCCTGTCGAGACTATAATATACTCGAAGTCGTTATAAATATACGGGTACATACTATGTCGTCGCCGGGCGTTGAAGTCACCCGTATCGCGTTGTCGTCGTCGTCGTCCGCATATTAAAATAATAAAGTAATTGGTACCGCGAACGAAAACTATTATAATAATAATATCCTCCGTACCTAACATAATAATATTATATTATACGAATAATAACGATCGTAATAATATTTTTATATTATAATGGACGCGGTACGACTTCGGGTGTATACGTATGCGATTCGAAAATTCAGTTTGAATATTTATGTATAGAGCCGCGCGCGTGCACACAGGTGTTCGTCCACGTATTATGATATAGGCATATTATATTATAATATGCGCGCGTTTCGTTGATGCCGAAAACCGGTCACGGTGTCGAAATACTACGCGGAATATCATTATACGGCACAGAATCGTTCCCAAACAACGACGCCCACGGGCTCCTCGCATCCGCGGCGGGTCCTCGGCCGGTCATTCCTGCAGCCGTTGTACCTAAATTACATACATACAGCTAGTAATAATAACTAGTATAAATTGCTCGTTAATATATTATGGTGCACGCGACTTCTTCGCCACTCTTCACGGTGGATTATTCGCGGCTATATAGGTGTACAGCTGCAGTCGGCCCGCAGAACCGACGCCCGAGTGCTGCACTCGCGATGTTTATCAATCCGGCGAATTATTCGCGACCTGTCACGGTGCAGCTACCTATTCCTGTCGGCGGCGTTGCGTCATTCGTATTCATCGCGTGCGCGCGCGTACATCCGCCGCCGATTGCACAAAAACCCCCGCGAACAATATGTGAACGAGCTCTCGATCATTATTATCATTGTTGTTGTTCGCCGGTAGTTTTGCTTTCTAACCTCAGACGAACGCCGTCGATACTATACATACCTGTATGACGGCAGGTATACCTGTACAGGTAGTGTAGTATATTGTACACCACCAAAAGTTTCCGCGACGTCTCGCTGATAATGACGATGCGTATTATAATATGTTATGCGTTTACCGCGAGGAGTTATAGACATTTATTTATACGGGAAGGCGAAAAACGAGGATGTTTATACTTCCGTTTTCCTCGTCGTACGCGTAAACAGCGCGCGATTTTTACTTCCCATCGTGTTTCTGTACAATAAACGTCAAACTATACGAAATCGTCATTCCCTTCGGCTATTCGATCAAAATTTAAACTTACGTCACGGTGTTTATATCGTAAAGTCTAACGTATTAACATCGGCCGAAATACGATAATGAGATGTATAATACATAATTTTTTATATTTCTATAAATGTATTTATGTTTTTTGCCAACAATCTATTTTAATAAAATAGTATATTACAGTGCCTTTTTTTCAAATAAACAATTTCGTTTGTTTTTCAATCACACAATATAGCCGGCGGTGAATATACCTGTTGAATTACGTCCGTTTTCGTCAATATTCGTATCTATCAAAAAAAGACGTATACAGATAATATACAATATAATGATATTATTATTTGTCGATGTCAGTTGTAGTATGTATACAACCAAGGAAGTCTGCTGCAGATATTATTTGTACGTTGGCATAATATTTTTAGCAGCAAAACCATTGATTGTCTTTGCACGTGACTATAATACTGATAATTGGATACATAGGTATTATGTTTTGAAGTTTCAATACACATTGTGGTTTTAATGGGTTCCCCTCCTTTCGGACATTATAAGCAGGGTTTCCCTTTTATCGCCATCGTCGGCAGTCACGTTTGGAAACGAAAAAAAAAAATTCGGTTAACTCGATAATTTACCAATTATTGTAACGCGAAACTATGTATACACACTATACACAGTACATACATAATAATGTTATGGTATATTCTATACAATGTATACATAATAAGTAATAATTTAAGTATATATACATAATCGAAAAACAATTTTTCCATGTCGTATGTCCCCTGATCGATTTCTTGCGCAGTCGATACACAATATAACATACGCTCAAAGTTGACCTTAAAATAACTCCAAGTACGTGATATCCAAAATATAGAAATTAAAAAAAACCGGCTTATATTCGAAGCTCAAAATTTCAGATCTCTGCGATAGGAAAAACGATATTCTTTAAATGACGTAATGAGACAAGAGTGTCGCCCCGAATACGACATACTAAAGTCACGTTAATATCGGCTGGATCGAGTTAGGGAAATATACCAGGGAAATTAATGAAGCAACATTTTTGCAAGAAGCGGATAACCGCAAATGTAAACGAAAAAAAATGGTTAAAGCAAAACACATAGGCCTGCGTGGCTTGTATAGAAGTTAAACAAAATTTAGAATAAATAATCGCTTGTTCAATATCAGCATAATTACTAATAATATTATAATATGGTTCTTGCTGGTGAGAAAATTTAATTTCCATTGTGCCAGACGATATTGTCAATACGTTGTGTAGTCCGGTAGGGCATATTTTGGTGAACACCCACTGCGTGTCTATTTCCCCACTCTTAAAAAAAAAAAACCGACGACATTTTCATTTTCTAGTGGACACACAATAAACAAACGCTTACTCTTCTCGCTACTGGGTGACCAATGAATTTAACTGTATGTCCATTTGGATACAAATAACCTACCTTCTTATAAAAAAAAGGCTCCACGATTCAGGCAGAGCCAAACTAATGAAATCCTCGCTCGACCACGCGGAGACTAAAACAAAAAAAAAAAAAAAAAAAAAAAAAAAAAAAAAAAAATAACCGTATCGTAACATATTTTTCTTACCGCGAATACGAATAATCGTCGTCGTCGTCGTCGTCGTATGCATCTGATGGTACGATGCAGGTGTAAAATAAATTAACATCATTTCTCCATTGTTACGAACGAGATAATAATATTATAAACATCGCAGACCGGAGAATTTATTATTATTTTATTCTTTTATATCTAGTTACGGCATACACGCGCGGATGAAATGAGTACTGTATATACATCGGCATTTTTTTGTTTTGGCCATACATAGTATTATTATCACTATTGTTGTTACTTACTTATATCGTTTGCTCATTTACTCATTAGTCGTTAGTCGTGTATAATAATATTGTTGTTCGTTGATTGGAAACTCGCGCAGAGATACCTGCATAGGCTGTTCCGAGAACTGCTGCAGTAACAATATAATATACTTACATCATACACACACACACACACACACACCTCTGGACGGGAAACCAAATAATTAATCAATTGACAGTTAACCTATTGTCGCGGGCAGACAATAATAAAAATACTATGTTTTTCGGCTTTGGAGCCGACGACGATTGTTGCTGCAAAGAAAACCGACGGAGACGATAACGTTAAAAAAAAAAAAAAACAACGCCTAGGTATTATAATTTAATCTGTATATTATTCATAGAGCGATTCTTTTATTTAGAATCCTCGATGATTTCAAGTCTAGGTGTGTAAATTTCAATTTCCAAACAAAATAAACGTCTTATTCTCGAAAGACAAATAATACTAAGACGAATATTGGCAGGATAAAAATGTTGCGGATGAATAGAGAATCCGAAAAAAACAATGAATCCAGACAGTTATATCAGACGCCAGATATAATCGGGGAATTTAAGAAACGACGACTATGGTGTGTTGGTTATGTGTGTTGGAAAGAATGAACACAATACTATAATGTACTGTTCCGAGAGGAAAGACCTGTGGAGGGTTTTGCGTCTCAAGTTTTCCCTCGGTTCCAAAATACTGACATAAATCATAAAAAACCGATGTTTGTAGTAAATAAGATTATATATACATTTTAAATTAGTGTTATCACTGTTATCAGGAGAAATGTGATATAATATATAATCAAATACATAGGTTACCATTTGAAAATCAATAGTTGACAGTCGTTTCACTTCAAAAAAAAAATAAGAGTGACAAAAAATAATGACGATGTAACATATTAGCACTGCTTGTTTCTTAAATGTTCAAAACATTTTTTTTCTTTTGAAAAAAATCTATACTTTGAAAAATAATGAGTGTTCTACGATAAAAGGATCACTCTGTATAATTTGGAAATAGATGAATTTCATATTCATTTTCGTAGAGCAGAACTGCTGCAGTAAATCCGAATAAATTAAAAACTTTGATTGAAAAATCATGGTAATAAATGATAATATTATCACGCCTATGTGCTCCGGATAAAAACCAAATTCAAATTTTCCATAAGGTCTCCTTACACGATCCGTCATAAATTAAAAATCGCTCTGTATAATATAATTCCTGTACAGCCGTTGTTGTTTAGTATACTTTGTGCGTGTAATGCGAACCGCTGCGTATAATAATATATCACGCAGCCAAGTTTTACGTAATGTCGCACCGTTACGATGATACGTACTGTTGTTAATGGGGAATAATGATAATATTTTATGTTACTCACGCGTTTAATATATTCTGTAGTCATCGTTCTCTTATGCCCACAACTCGACTACCTATTGTGTTTCCGGTAATCATCAGAAATACTCATATATTTCGTACCTATTTAGACACTTTCGCCGAATAGTCCGTTCATAGACAGCTATTAACTAATGGACATCGTTTCCTCTCGCTCCCCGCCGATCGGCCCGTCAAGACGATTATATCAAACGCATTATATATGTACACGTATGCGACAGAGAGATGGGCCAGGCTATGGTTTTTCTCTCTCGGTATCTATCTCGTATATCGTCGGTGCGGTCCCCATAGAGAGGGGTTCGGTCACGTGTGGTATACGCTGTTCATTTGATAACAGGTCTATGGCCCGGACGTTCTCTTTTCAGTATTTTCTCTCTTAATATACTCCACTATAAATTCTCGTTTTCAATCGCTTACCCGGTTATCTGCAGCGCTATCCGTGCATCCCTTTTGTATAATTTAATTTCTAAATTCCTTGTAACTATTCTCATTCACGTTTATCATGGTTTGTTTCCCGTACTCCATTATTAGTTTTCCTCTTCTGGTATGACCTTCTACGTGACCTAATACGATCCGTTTCGTTAATTTGTCAAAGATCGTTTTGCCCCTTTTGAAAATTATTCTATGCCAAAGTTCTCGTTTTCCCCCTATTCGTTTCAGTATTTCTTCATTGTTTATTCTTTCTGTCCGTTTAATCTTAAACATTTTTCGATATTACCATATTTTAAAAGCCTTACGTTTTCTCTTCTCTTATTCGCTGTACCGATCATCCTGCAAGTTTCACACTCACTTTGTATTCATAAAAAAAAAAAAAAAAAAACCCACGGAAATAAACAACATTTTAAACCACTAATGTTCAAAATTCACGGGATTTCACGCGAATCTGCGGACGCTGCTGCACTTAATCGTAGATTTGATCACGCCGAGTACCAATATAGTTTTCGAGATTTTCTCAATTTATACAATTATTAATATTCAGCTGACATTACATATTATTCTCGTATAAACAACTTCGTTTAATTAAAGATAACACGATATACTATAGTAGCGCGCGGCGAACATTTCGAATTTATTACAAAACAGTCACGACCAGTGACCAGATGCGTATAAACGATATCGCCGATGAATAATTTACGATTATTAATTTTCAAGGTTTATAAAGTCTTTCTAATATTACAATAAGGAAGACGTTAAAAAACGAATCGGTTTTTTCTTAAGTGAAAACTTGCAACGAATTGAAGAACGTGTTTGTGGAACAGAAAAAAAAAAATCCATTATAATCTTTGAGTTTTTATTATTTACAGTGTTGTTGGGATCGACGACGGTTTGTAGAAATTGTGTTTTTTTGTGTATAATTAATATAATTTCTCTATGAAAATAATAATATTTCACGTTTTCGTCGAAGAAATCGTGTAAAGGTATATGAGAGGGGGAGGGGAAACGCCGATTTTCTTCGCGTTCACAACACGTCGTCGTCATCGTCGTCGTCCTATAGGCCAGCCGCTGCTATTTATATTATCGTATAGGTTTATAATATACAAATTTTTTTTTTTATTTTTGTTGACAAACCGGAGACCTTTCTCCCGGGCCACGGCGCGCACTATCTCTGGTCATCGCGATGGTCGTTCACCCGTGCGGCGTATTATAGATATTATATTATTTTATGCTATTATAATATTATTTTATAGCGGGTATCGTAAAATCGATTAGCTGGTTATTTCACCGCGGCCCCGCGCGCGTGTCGTAATAATCCGCGAGCGCGCATACGCACACTCGTAGTCGACGACCACCTGTAACACGGGCCAATATTCGACGTCGTACACGAGGACGACTATGCGCAGACTACTAAAAAAAAAAATGTATAAAAACGAATATAATAATAATAATAATAATAATATATTATTTGTAAACGAACGCGGACGAGAGAGAGAGTGATGGCGTGTTTTCGTGGAATATTATGTATATTTACTGGTGTACCTACGCGCGCGCCACCACGCCGGGTCTAGTCCGCGAGTCCACTTCTTCGATATACCAGAGCGGGTTTTTTTTTTTTACGAGACTCGTTTTTAAAACAAACACGCGATCCGGACGCGAAACGAATTTGTATTTATATTTTTAAATTTTTTTTTTTCCGACGTTTGAAAAATAGTCTCATCGGACAAGTATTTATCGCACAGCAGTAAATGTACATACCGGTATATAGGTACCATAAGATTGGTACCTATAGGTGTACGCGAACGATTGCGTGATATTGTATTAAAACGATGTTATTTTATTGTTATGAACGGCGACCGGAATTATGTGCGCCGAAACCTATCGAAAACTACACATGGGTTTGCGAGGGTGTATGAAAAACCCGTTCGTATCTTGTCAAAACGCGTAATCTGTGCGTACAAATGACGGTTGAGAAGGAGGTTGAAAGTTGAAACCGCCACGAGGCACATCCTTAATACTTACACGCCGCACAGACAAAATCGAATCGCCCCGGCTTCATTTGGGGGGGGGAGGTCTATAAGAGGTTGTAAAGCCAAAAAAATACCCTCCTCTCGCGACAACACGGTAGAGTTTATATTGGAATTCAACCGACATTTTATTACTACATTTCGTCTATATAAAACAAAAAAAAAAAAAAAACTCTAATTCCTGGATTTGAACTTTTTTGATCCAAAGGGAGCAGCCGTTAAACGTGTCCGAACGTACCGGGAAAAAAGATATGCACCTATGTTTGTATGTGTTTGTATTTTTTGGGGAAAATCCGGTAATCGGACATTTTTGAATTTACCATGCGTCTGCGTTTCGAATATTTTCTCCGCGGGTATCTCGCAGTCGATTTCGTAATGATACACAACGTGTTTGTTTACCTTTTCCGTCTATCGGTATTCGTATATACTTTATTGCATTACGGGGTTATACATAATTATTAATTCTGGTTCGCGTATAACCACAATAATATTATGTGTACCGTGAACGCGGTCAATATATTATACGGTTAAGACCAATATATATATATATATATATCGGTAATATACAATAATCGATCTGATTACTAAAACGGCGGTGCGGTTGTAAAGAAAGGAAAAAAAAAAAAAAAACGGAAAAATACGAAAAATAATAATAATATATTATTAGCTATTAACAATCGCTCGGCGTATTTATTGGTATCTACAAGTTATTTGCCGTTAAAAAACGCGCTGCCGGTCCAAACTATCCATTAGTACGGCAACGCGCGGCCGCGGCCCGAACGGTAGCAATGGAATTATTGCGAACGGTATTGTGTTGTTATTATACTATTCGGTACGGAAAATGGCGACGAAAAAAATAAAAAAAAAAAATAAATAAATAAATAAAAATCGTACACACGTGTGTAACGCGATAAAACGACACATAAACGCGGCGTACGAATTGCGGGTTCGCGTGACGCGCGCGCGCGCAGTGTTTACCCTAGTGTACGCGCGGCGGCCAATAATAACAATCATAACAACAATAATGTATATTATAGAGAGAAAAAAAAAAAAAAAAAAAATCAAAATCGGAGCAATATTATAATGATCTCCGTCCGCGTTGGGAAACGCGCCGGTAAAATTATACCGGGTCGTCTATGCGCGTACACGCCCCCTGCTACACGTTTAAACGTACGGCGGGCGTCGGCGGCTTTTCGATTGATCGAAATTATTAAAATTATTCGTGTAAAACAAGGTCGGTAGCATAATAACCAACGCTGTTATGTATGCTCGGCGCACGGGTAACAGTCGTATCGATCGGACAAATTGATTGTTGACGCGGCGAGAGAGCGAGAGAGCGAGAGACAGCTGGTGTGACGTGTTTTTCGCGACGGCGGGTACGGTGACGCGCGGCCGCCGCGCAATTCAAACTCGAATTCGTACAAACGCTGACGAATCGTTATTATATTCGACGGCGGTTTGTTCTGTAACATAATTCTCGTGTATCGTAACAGGGATACTATTATACATCGATATTATTGGTGAAAACGCGTTGCAAAATCGTCCGTCAAAATAATAAAATGTGCGACATTCGGTCGGCGCTGCCGCCCCAGTGTATCTGTTGCAGTGCGAGTACGTGAAACGATTTGCACGAGTTTAGTCCGCGCAGAGGTGCGCATGTATAATAATGTGCGGATGCAAACGGCCCCGCAAATGTCGGACCTTTCGCACGAAAATCACGCGTACTCCGCCGTTCTGTTTGATTGACGAGCGCTCGATTTCGATGGGTGTAGAGTGCTTGGCCGATTAATGGCGGGGCTATAGCCGTTCCCTCAACCCTCCCCCCCTCCCTCAAGCCGCTTTATTTTCGCCGACAGACGGGTTACGTCGAACCTTTTTGTTTACAAACTTGTTAAAAACTAACAGGATTTCGTATACAAATGAGCATTATAATAATGCACTTTTTAAATAAAATAACCGTACGATATTTGATTTCGAGTGGCCCGAGAATCGGCAGTCTTCGATTTGATTTGACACATAAGACCGTAGACCGGGATTAGTTGTGTTCGGTGGGGTGACTTCGGCTCGAACGGTGCAAGAAACCGATTATTCGCGTGGAATGTTCAAAGAGGTATGTTGTAAAATGTATTTTTACGGTTAGAAAAGGTCGACATACGCTTTATTTCGGGAAGCTGGTTAAGCCCTAGTCGCTAATATATACGACGTATGTTATATTAAGACTGTATTGTACACATTTTGAGGAGAAATAGGGATGATTATTTGGAGGGGGGAATATGCTTCCTATGATCCCTGTAGTTACTATATGCTAATACGATGATTTCTAATTTTTTTTTAAATATATTTTACTCCAAAATTAAAAAGAACTTTTTTCAAAATAGTTGTACAAGTTTCTGTTCAGAAGATCTTGGATTTTTATATTTTGCGAAAAATTATTATGTTATGTTCTGTCAAAATTTAGTTTTTTATATTTGATTGATCCTTTTTTTTTTTTAGATAAAAACCACCGTTGATTTTATATAGACAAGTTATTGTATGCGAATAGTCGCTATCACATCCGTGCAGTGTAGTTTCGTTAATTTTCGTTAATTTAAAAAAAAAAAAAAAAATAAAAAATGGTTAAATTTATCTTGTCATAGGTATATAGATGAGTGTAGCTCAACACCTCGAATCACATTACCTGTGACAGTCTTGATATTTTAACGTTTATTTTTCGAAATTCACTCAAGAAACGCGTTTTACGTAAATTAATTTATTAATTATAACTTTATTTTTTTTTTGTCATTATTATTGTACGCTATAAAGGTACCTAGAGGTACTCGTATTATAGTATAGATAAATAAGTGCCTAATATTATAATAACACTGTGATCTGTCGATACGGTGTATTCAAGGACGTTAATCTAGAGCGTTTCGAATCGATCTATCGGTCGCCCAAGTGTCATGTTAAAAAATAATAAATTCGAGATAGGTATATAGGTATTAGAGACAATGTCGAAAGTATAATAATATAAACTAATTTATGCCTAGTCATACGTATCAAAATCAATTAATCACCCCGACTTTTTATATTTTTTTAGAACCTAAAATTTAAATTATAGTGCGTTATATAAAAATGATGAAAAAAAATTATATATTTCGAGTATCTACTACATAATAATAATTCCGCATTGTATAATATTTCAGGGTATTTTTTTTTATAGCATATATGTAAAAACAGTGGCGTGCAGACGAATTTCGATAATAGTCAGACCTAGGCCGCCTTAATTGAAAGCATAAAGGCGAGTGGTATTTCGTGTTAACAGTTTACTTATAATTTTACAAGTGAAGTTAATCATACAGATTACAAAAAAAAAGAATTTTAACGCTAGGTACTGACTCGCAGTAGTACCGAGTACAATGGAGCTATTAACACATTTTCAACGATTTTTCAATGTTCAAATATTTATATATGTTTTATTTATCATCGCGAGGCAATTTATATCGTTATTGTATATTCAAAACCTAGTTTTCAAAATTAAAATCCGTTAAACCCAAATCCTGCAGTTCCGTCTAGTTTTTCGGTCTAGTTAGCAAATTGTTTTCAAACGGCTGCAATCGTCATTGGGTACGGATTTCTACGCAGGTCTAAGTCTGTGATGTAAAATTTAATGAAAATTCCACGTTGTTGGTTTGTAATTCTGGTTTTAATATTGAAAAATGGACAGATATACTTCGCACGATGGGTAGGCCACCACTGTTTCAGGTAAGAAATTGGGCAGGTAGGATGTATAGAGGAATTTAATGTATATCTGTACGCAACGATTAATCATTGCTAACGAAAAACGATTCTGAAATATGTTTTGAAAAACCGTAATATTTACGATTTTTGTTAACATTTGATATTAAAGTATTGTTATAAAAAAAATTCTGCATTACACTCAATTTTTTTTTTTTTTTAACACAAAGTGCGACTTATAATGAACTTCCTGTTGAATTTTCAAGAATTTCTGTTTGGTCCATCAATTTTATCCATAGAGTACCTAGCGAATAAAAATTGCGTTAAAAACTCGAAAAATTATGTCCTGGTTCTTTTTGTACGAGTATATTATTTACGGAGTCGTTTATAGGAGGTGGTTGGTTGTAAAAAAATGAATCTTATCATCTCACATATTATATCATAGCCAAAGGGTTCTGCGTGCCATCGAGCGTGTAATATACTCGTAAGTACACGAACAAAGTTGTTTATTTTTTCAGACTTTTGAACAAATTTAATTTTAATAAAATACTATACGCACTGTATTATAATATTATGACATTACGTTTTTCCTCGTCATATTTACGCAAAAAGTAATTTCAACTGAAATTTTTTGGAAATTGGGTGTTTTATATAGTATAACACGTCATGATGTCATTTGGCGCAGCGTACACCATTGATAATAAAATTGTTTTCATATGTACTCGGGTATTTTTTTTTCCAATATATTAAGAAGAGTAATGGATTTTCTCTCGAATTTGTACAAAGTCACTATTGCATTATCATAATGGTGTTCACTAATACTTGCATAGTATTTTACGTGACCGCTGAAAACAAACTTTCTAAGTGTACAGGACCTATAGGTATATTATATTCCTTTTCTGCATCGGCGTCAACGGCCGATTCTTATAAACGCGCATAGTATTTATTTACGTCCCGTATTTGGAGTTGACGTGTGTAACAAACGAATGAGAAATCATCGTTACGCAACTTTATTTTGAATATTATTTTTCGTGATGTTTTGTAGCGAAATAAATGCATGTATTTTAGAATTATTATTATCACTGTGGGCCCGCGCGGTGACGAACAATTTCGCCGACTCTGTGCAACGTTTTGTTTGTTCTCACTCCCCATCCCCACGTCATTCGACTCTATAAACCTCTATACAGCCTGTAATATGTAATGGTGATAGTTTACGATGAATCGTTAAACGCGCGTACTTTTTGTACGGAATTGCTTAGACGAACTGCGCGGATGAATTGTACAGGTTATTCGGTTTTCACGTATATGTTGTGCGTAGCACGAGGGGGTGAAAAGCCTGGACGATTTGTGAACTACTGCAGTGTTTGTATGTAAAAAAGCCAAAAAAAAAAAAATCAAAAATAAAATCGTTTGCATATTTTGTGGTTTGAAGATAATAATCTCTATTATTCAGCGTATTTTCGTGTATAAAAACATATTTTTATATTACCTGTGTTTATTTTCAGGGGTTTAAGCACATGTGTGCAACATAATTTTCGCATTAATTAATGTAATATAAACTTCATATTTTGACTTTTTTTCGAAATTAAAAATCCGTACTATTTATTATAATATGGTTTTTACGAAAAAAAAAAAAAAAAAAACAAAACGATTACAATTTGAAACGTTATAATTGAGCCCTAGTATAATATTAAAGTAACAATTGAAAACGGTTTTGAATTTCGTTGTATATAAAATCAACTATTTACAGTTGGTTTTCATAAATATCCATAGTTAATAGCCGATTAGGTCGAAGACTAACGATTATATTCTAATTTACTTTTACGATTCCGAAATATATTTACTAGGTGTAAACAATGAACGTTAAAGTTTTTTTTTTTCAGCTAAAAATATAATTTTTTTTTATTCTGTCTTTTCAACTTCTTGAACTTCTATTACGGTTTACGAAGGACAATCACTGCCGCTATAATATTCATTTTTTAATATCTGTCACTAATATCCATGTTAATCCGTATATTTTTATTTTCCGAGTGCATTATTTGTTTAAATCGTCTTTAACACTGTTTTTCCGACGCTGTAACATAGGGAAGGGGCGGCCCCTGGGTCTTTTTCGATACACGTCTTTCGTATAACCAGGGTTTTCTTCAAAATGTCATTCGATCTCTGAATATGACCGCTGCTCGCCTGCTCCTCACTCGAGTCATTTGTGCATACGATCAATACATCGGGTTTTCGGTACAGATTTTCATGGCACATTTTTGTTTATAGTATGTTCTTCTCTCGTATACCAGATACTTACATACTTAATTTTATGAAGTTGGTCCGAAAATCCTGTCCGTAGTATTAAAATTACGCGTAACATGAATATTATAAAAGTGTCGACGAACTGACTATAAGGTGTGCACTGTAATATGTATCGCTAGTTACGTAAACAATTTCCAAGAAGGAAGTCGTTAAAAATGTTAAAATCCTATGGTGTGCGCTGTCTAAATACTCGAGCGAGACGACGTCCGTTTTGGGCCCGCGTCCTCCTAAACATTACACTGATTGGACCGTACACGCAGTTCCCTCTTAGTAATTTAAATCCGGTTTGTCTGTTCTTGTGCTGCGTATGATGACAATAATACTATATGCTCGTGTTTTTGACCTGGAAAAGAAGATATTACGACCGGGCATGCGGTTTTTTTCCCATTTTCTATACATCTATACGTAAATGAAAAGAACCGGTGGGTGTAAAGTTTTTTTTTTTTTATACAGGTACAAATATTTATATACTTTCTATATCTGTATGCGAAGGAAAAAAAAAATAAGAAGCAGTTCGCGGGAGAAAGTGACGCAAACCGGTCGCGGTAGGTGCGGGGACCTATACCTCGACTTACGGTTGGGCGTCACTGTATTTTATTATTATTATTATTATTATTATTATCATCTGGCCGACAGTTGACCAACTAATACAGTTTAATTTTACAATGTAGGTACACATGCATTAAAATATTTTAAATCGTTTACATTCCGCGCGCAATAATCGCGGTTTTAAACGATTAGGTACATCATGATGGTAAATCCGAAACGAAGTTTACATCGTTTTAGAATAAAATATAACGGACGTAAAAATAATACTATAAACATTAAGTTTTACTAAGCGCATTATTAAGCGAAGCGCGGAATATATTGGTTCTAACGTGTTGTGCTAAAATGTTTGAAAATTCCATACGAAGTTCACTATAAGCTGAACTTAGTGGTGAATAAAAGAAAGTCGAGTCTAATTTAATAGGCAGTTTTTTTGTTTGTTTCATGTAATCGTTTGAATTCAAATTTTGACGTAAATCGTAGTGATCACGGCATTTCAAAACATTTTTAAACGAATGTCGCTCAAAATCGTTTTTCGTTATAAATGATTAATAAACAGGCATCGTTAAAATAAATCTATGTATACTACCTTCCCAACTTCTCACCTAAAATAGTGGGACACCCGTCAACTATTTTTTATTTATTAATTCTTCTAATTTTCGTGTCGTGACTAATCGTTTAAGTGCGCGTAGAACTTCTTTAAATTAAAATTTGCTAAAAATCATTCGCGCACACCCAAGACGGGTTATTGTTGTGGTTTTTTTGTTTCACGCACAATGAATACATGAAGCTACATTTTGATGTACTCAATAATACTTAGGGCAAAAAAAAAATATTAATGTACATTATAATGTATATAATAATGATATTATATTAATTAAAATTATATTATATTATATAAATATTAAAATAATGATTTTTGAATAGAATTAGTAGATTAGATATTATAAGTTTTTTTTATTCTTTCTATGATTTCAGATGATTTGGTGGTCGTTGTTCCTACTAGTGTGCCAACGGAAGACGTCCGTCCTTTGGTCGACCATCGCCGGCAACGCAATGTGACGCGGTTAATCGGAGCACTCAGGAGAACGTCAATACCGCCGAACAACTCGGCCGGTTCGACGCCGCCGTTAGAAACGCCCGAAAATGCTGAACTGTCAGCTTCCATGGCGCGGGTCAAGAAAAAAATTAAACACAAGCGAATGTGGGACGAACCGGAAGCACAAGCGTCCGAAGTTCAAAACACCACTTCCAAGAGGCCGGATCGGATCAAGACCCGTAGACGGTTGATACCGCCGTCGTCCACCAGTACGGCGAGGGCGCTTCGGACGGCTGTGGTGCTGCAAGAAGACCCGTATTACGATTTCGGGAAAAAACTCAAGCACCACCCTTCGTCGTCCACGGCCGGGCTAAACGTGCTGCAGGACATGGAAACGAGGACGTCGGTGAAGTCGCCGATAATAGTGGCCACGACCGAAGAGGACAGTTCTGCGGGTGTCGCGGAAGTAGACCAAGACAAATTAGCCGCCGCTACTGTCGCCGCCGTCGTTGTCGAACGGAACAACACCCCAAGACCGACTAGGACGCAACTGAGCCGCAATCACACATCCAACGGCTACAGACGACTCGAGAACCCGCAGTCCGTGGAATGCGTTTATCCCAGATTCACCAGGAGGAATAAATCGCGGTCCCAAAGAGACGTCAAATGTTTACCGCCCGCATCATCGGCAGCGGCGGCGACGGGAGCGGAACCCGACGCGAGGACGACGAGAATACTGTCGACCGTCGTCACTTCAGTGTCGTCCGTAAAAGGCAACCAGAAGAAAAACGACACTCGCGAACCGGCGGCTTTATACAACTCGACCGCGGCGTCGACGGCGACGACGACTAACGGAGAATATCCGTCCAGTATTTCTACGGCCGGCACCGTATCGTCGACTACCGCGGTGTATCCGGAGCCCGTATCGGGTTATCCCAAATATCTTCGAAATCGATACAGAAACATATCGTTGCCCGAATATCTAGAAATCACCAAAGTAAACCAGAGACGGTTGAACAGCACGACCGCGGCGTCGACGGCGGTCACTGCGGAATCTGCTCAGCCCTCGACGTCCAACGACGTAACGTTGTCGACCGCGTCGTTGCCGTCGTCTTCCCCCGTCGTCGTTATCGATAGCACAGAACCGGTAGACATTTTCACAACGAGCGACAAGCCATTGACCGACGCTCCCTATTCGCCGCCCACCGATATACAGGACTTTATTTATTTGAATAACGGGACGTCGGAAACGCCGGCCGATACCACCGTGAACGGAGCGGTGGAAGCGAGACAGAGGAGGCCGCCGCTCGTCAGGAATATCACCAGAATGTCGACCGAACACGACGTGGGCGTGGTGTACCCGGACGGGTTGGCCACTTCCACGTATTTGTTGACATTTTTGGCCATCGTGCCGCTGGTGTTGGTGATCGTGTTCGCGTTTAAACTGGCCGTCCAACGGAAGAAGAAAAAGGTGTTCGACAGTTCGGAGTATTCGTCCGAGTACAACCGTAGCCCGTTGGACTTTAACACGATAACTTCCTCGCCGATCACCACGAAACTCCCCAGAGTTTCGCAACACATCGTCTGGGACGCCAACGAGAAATCGTTGTCGACGTCTGTCGTGCCGTTGCCGAGCAACAGCCGGTGGGAATTCCCGCGGGAAAAGTTACGGCTCCAGACCATTTTGGGCCAGGGAAATTTCGGTCAGGTGTGGAAAGCCGAGGCGGACGACATCAGCGGGCACGAGGGTCTCACCAGGCTGGTGGCCGTGAAAATGGTCAAAGAAGACGCGGCTTCTCGGGAGCGCGAAGATCTGATCCGGGAGCTCAGTATTATGCAACATCTCGGGTCACATCCGAACGTCGTCACGTTGCTGGGATGCTGCACGGAGAAAGGTACTCATACCTATTTAACGCAGATACATTTATACATATTTATAAGCATGTTCGCCCCAGTTAATTAATAATTTTTAATTAGTTTAAATTCGGTTATTTTAGGAAAAAAATAACCAAGCCAATTTACTTTAAAAATATAAATGAATTTTTTGAGTATCTAAGTTTAAATTTCAAATTTTCAAGTAAATTATAACTCAAGTTAAAAGTTACATTTTTAAAAATAACCGGCTACGATGACGTTGAATGATGCAACGACAAATATTGTGTAATATTAGTGTTGGTTAGCCTTAGGAAATAATAATTAGACGTAGTGTTCAGGTGGCTTTTATGTGGTAGGCTAAGTTATTGATACTGAAAATATAAATAGGTAAGTGACGAACGATTCAGGGAGTCCGTCCGGCGGCACCACACGGCGCCGTGCAGGATGTTGTTTTGTTTTGAAATAAATTTTAATTCTATGCCATTTTTGGTATATGAATTGACCTTGTGTTAAAGTGATATATTTTATCCAGTGCGACGTACACGATTAAGTGAACTCAAACACCGAAAACCAAATAGAATACAACTTTATTTAAAAACAAAACAACGTCCTGCACGGTGCCATTAATAAAATGTATTTTGTACCTTGTAGTACCTATTCGTCGAATGAAAAATTGTTTTAGCCCTACACGATTCGTGTGAGTATCTCATAGGCCACATGCGATGATAATGATGTTGATATTCACAATTTCTGTAAAAATACGCGATTTTCGTTGAAAGAGAAACACACGAAACATAGGTGCACAGTTTTTTGTCTGTACAAAATGTTCGTAAATAACTTTTAAGAAGCAACTTCAATTTTAATAAAATAACTAAGTGAAGTTAAAATTATCTGTTAAACCGAGTTATTTTTTGATGTTCGGTTTTGATTTTTTTTATTTAGCGAAGTTTAAAGTTCTCAAAAAAAGTAGCCTATAACTTAACTTTTGAATTTTTATCTACGAATTGTTGCTCAGGTTTGATTATAGATAGGTATATCAACCATATTATTATAATCATTTTATTATCATTGCGATACGTTTTACAGAACCGTATTTACTGATCATGGAGTACGTAATGTATGGTAAACTGCTGGCGTTCCTCAGAGACCGGCGGACACGATCGCATTATTTCAATTTTAGCGATTCGACCGCTTCGCTTACGTCTAGAGATTTGACTGTGTTCGCTTATTGCGTAGCAAGAGGAATGGATTTTCTGGTGTCGAAAAAAGTAAGAATAATAAATTAATATCTAACAAAACATTAGATTCTATGCTTATTTTTATTTTTATTTTTTTGTGTCTGTGTACAAACTTTCTACCAGAAATTCTGCTTTAACCAAAAAAAAGACAAGATGGTTTTCTTGCAGAATTTCGGATCTGTTTGGTCCATTTGATTTTCTTTGCAATTTTCTGAATAATCGGGAAAAACCGGAGCAAATTTACGTCATTAAGAGGACGCTACACATGCGTGCTTTTTCCGTCTTACAAACGCACGATGTAATTAAAACATGCTTACGCAGACTACACAGAACTCGCTTAATTTCGGTTTTAGAGTAAAAACTCCCATTATAAAATGAAAAGAGAACAATATTCCGGAGGTCAAGATATGTTACATTTATGCCGATTTTCTCCGAATATAACAGTCAATTTACCGTTTATAAATAACAACTTATCCAACATTTTTTAATTCACTAAAACTTTTGTAAAACAAAATGTTTCCGAAAAAAAAAAACGCAACCTCTTTTCCTCCGTAATATTATTCTAAATTAATTTCATAATAGGTGCTTTTACTCTAAAACCAAAACTAAGCGAGTTCTGTGTGATCTGCTTGTGCATAATTTTTCAATATCGCGTGTTCTTGAAACGGGAACAACAAACGGGTCCGCTTAACAATTTAATTACTTTTAATTTTGTATTTTTATATGTTTTTTTTTTCTAACCTAATTCTGTTAAAAGTATTCTTAAGGACTTGAATTTTTTTCATAGATGTCTTGTATTGGGATTTTCTACACGTGGTAACATTTTAAAAACATTCTGGTGACTTTTGTGCTATTTTTAGGCATTTGATATTTTCTAGTTTTTATTTGATAGGTATTATGTGAATACAATGGTTTGGCCGAATAGAAAAGTTTAAAACACGAGGTTCATTGTAAAATGTACTCGGTTGTCAAATTTAAGCTAAATGTAGTAGCTTTATAAGTGTTTAAGCTAAAATGTGTACGAAAATTTTAAGCATCACGAGATTTAAAAACCTGTTTAACTGGAATTCGCTCAGAATCGTATTTCGTTAACAATGATTTGTCGTTGCATAGTGCATACAGATACAAATAAAATAACTTTATGTATCTTACCTTTCCAATACCTTTTATCTAAAACAGTGGCACATCCATCAGCAGTATAAAATCTTTATAAATTATTTATTATATTATGAAATATTTATGAACTGAAAATTATTTTAATGTGTTCAGCATTGGATTTTATAAGCTATAAATATGATTAGTATGCGGAGTGAAGGAGATATTTTAATATTTTATATTCACACGCATCGCACACTCATCTAAGCTAAATTTTTTCAACACTTTCGGTCATTATATTATTTTTAGGAAACTGAATAATATAAATAGTTATCCGTTCAAGTTGTAGAAAATACAATTATTTTTTAACGCCGAGGAGAATATCCCGTTATAAAATGTGAAATATAAAACAGACAAAAAAATATTATTATGTAGTAGTTTTTTTTCTGTAAATCATATATGCCCCTCGAATAGCGATACAAATTTAGGTATGATGTACAATATAAATATCCTGTAAGAATTGAACACGATTAAAACGAATTATTTATAGATTGTACACCGGGACTTGGCTGCAAGAAATATATTGGTCGATCACAATAAACTGTGTAAAATAGCCGATTTCGGTATGTCCCGAAACGTCCGTGACACCAATCAGATTTACGAGCAGAGGCACACCAAGGTACGACGACTTTCGAGCTTTGAATATAATAAATGATTGTATTCCGTTTACTTATGTAAAAACAATTATTATTATTTTTATTTACAGGGTGCACTACCTATCCGTTGGATGGCGCCGGAGTCGTTGCACTATAGCATATTCACATACAAGACTGACGTGTGGAGTTTCGGTGTGTTAATGTGGGAAATCGTCACTCTAGGTGAGCATATTTATATTGACTGTAATGGTTAACGTGTAACATTAAACCGTTCGTGGATAATTCATGATAATTTTTATAAGTATAGATGTGGCCTATAGGTGTCGGATAAGTATGGAAGAACCAAAACTTCAGATCTGCAAAAAATGTGTAAGAAAGTATTGAAATGCGTAAAATGAAGCCTCTATGCCTAGGTCAGGTTAAGTTAGGTTACTCTCTCATAGATGTAGGTAGATAGGATGTTTTTTTTTTAAAGATTATACTTGAATTATTGAATTGAACTTAATTTAAGTATGTTATAAATGTAAAGTTTAATGGTCATAATCATACGTCACAAGTATGTTTAAAGGAAAATAGCTATCTATAGTGTCCAATTGTAGCCTGTAGGCATAGACGTCATTACGAGGTAGAAATGGGTAGCAACTGCTACCCCACTATTTTTATCGGGGTTATGTATTATTAGCTACGCTACTTTAAGAGTAATTTTTAAAAAAGTATACAATTTTTGGTTTTTTTTTTTTTTTTATAATATTATCACTCTAATGTAATGATTACACTATCGGCCATATTGAATTTGAACGTGTATACAAATCAGCCAACTATAACTTATATTTATTCGATATTTTTCTATCTAATTCTAATTAACAATTGGTTAGAAGCTATTGGTGATCCGTTGATTAATGAAGTGCTCTCACTTTATTTGACCACAACCGAATTAAAAATATTATTCAAGAGGCTTGCTATCCCGTGATTTTACTTCAAACGACACCTATAATTGTAGATATAGGCGTTTAAACCCTCAAGTCGGTGGTATTCAAACTTTTCAAGCAGAGAACTACTTATTTCACAAACATCTCGTGGATAGCACATATAATGTACAAAATTACAGTTTTGCAAATTAGTTTCACAGACCGAGAGTTGAAGATTTCTGCCATAGTTTTCATAATTTTCACCAAGGGTATGTAAATAGGTATTGTTAGATTCTTCATGTCACTATCAGAATCCATAATTCACGTTTTGATACGAAATTGCGCTGAAAAGTGCCAAGAATTTGATGTCCAGGGGTGTAAAATAATTCTTAAATATGGCGCTGTCATAGGTAGTAGGCGTGTTTTGGTGATTCATTTTTTTTGGTAAATAGTTTGCTGCACTGTTTACTGTTATTTGCTATTTGGTTGAAATATCGCCAAACCGTTTTATTTACTGTTTAGTATTTTACCAATGAATAATCAGTACCTTATCGAAACAGTAGGCCTAGTTTTCCATTGTTGGCTGATTCCGACAACCCGGTTGTAAAAAAGTACATTCAATTATCAAATAATATTCTGCTTCTTCTTCCTCTTCTCTTTTTCCGTCATTCCAACTATTTGGGGTCGGCTACCCTCGCCATAAATGTCCATATCATCCTCATCTACACCGACCGTTTTTATATTATTCTCAATCTCATCCAACTACTTTTTTTTCGGCCTTTTTTCCATTTTTCTCCTTACGTTTATTTTCGTCACCATTCTTACTGTTTCCTATTCCCCCTTCCTCATGACGTGTTCAAATCATCGCGTTCTATTTTCTCTTATTTTGCAGTAGACAATAATATCGCCAAAACATTTTTTTTTTTTTTTTCACTAAAACTATATTAACCATGTCCCCCAAAACTATGTCACCAAAACGCACCTATTATAATCACAATCATCGTTTTAAATGTGTTATGTTATGTTTTCCAGGATCGACCCCTTACTGCACGATGGGCGCACGTGAAGTGATGAGACGCGTCCGGGAAGGCTATAGACTCGACAAACCGGCGCACTGCCGTTCTGAATTGTTCAAGGTGATCACCAAGTGTTGGACGGCCGACCCATCCAAGCGGCCCACGTTCGCCGAGCTAAAACAGGAGCTGGGCGCCCTTTTGGAAAACCCCGAGTTCGAAGGCAGTTACGTGGACTTGGAGAGTCTCGTCGACGAGTCCGACGGCAACGCCAAGGATAGACAATAATAATAATAATAATAATAATAATAATAATAATACTATAATATCGTACAATTAATTATTGTTACATTGTGTAATGACTCGGCGGTATCGTTGGCGGGTGTCTTCACAAATGTATAATCTCTTCATTTTTTTTTTTTTATTATTATTATTTTTTTAATTATTTGTCGTATTTCATTTATATATTATTGTTAGTTTTATGTTTAGATTCCTTTTAGTTTGCCATGTGCAACATGCATTATGGCGTTTAAGTAGTTTTATACTTGAACAGAATAATATCATGTAAAACAGTTTTGATTTATTGTAGGCCAATCGCAACAATATCAATATAGTTGTTGAATATCATTTGAGATTTTAAAACCGTATTATTTTAATCATTCAGACACAGTGTAATATTATTATACGCGCATGTACATAGTATATTCCTATGTTTTACTCGCAATATATTCGTTAAAATTAGCAACGTGGAAAAGAACTGATATTATATCCGAAGCGACATGAATCAATGTGTTAATTATAAAATATTGTATTGCTTAATTGAAATTAGTTTTCATATTTTTCTATATTATTATAATTTTTTTTATTTTTTTCTGTTGGTATATGCATAGTAAAATTTAAATTTAAACTGTTCCCCCCCGTGAGAAATATATAACTGTATACGTATATAATTTGAGTGTCGTTTGCCGTGCATTGATTATTATTTACCATCACCACTTCCGTTAAATAAATTTATCCTGTTTAATTCGATCAGCGGAGCTGAACATAATGGATTTGAACCGTGTTCAGTGATCGCTTCGGTTCGTACAGTGACAACGGCGGATCAAATTATGTAACATCGTACAGACATGTTCTTATGGTGTGGGCATATTGAAAAATAAATTGCGTAGGTACATAATAATAGTATGTTTACCCATCCGTCTTCGTCAGAATAGTTATCTACTAATGAATTAGCCCATTCCGAATTATTTCCGAATTTATTGGAGAATTTTCAATACTCTGACCAACCGCCGTGGTACACACCTCTCAATTGCTGCGAACAATCAAATTAAACAGGCGTTGCCATACAATTGTTACATAATACTTCAACTATTAGAACTAACCAAACACTTAGAACCCGTTAGAATCCCGGACTGCAAAAAATTAACCGTATGCCATATAAATAAAAAGAACTGATAACCAGTGGCATTTGACCAATATACGCAGTCAACGCCGTTACTAGGTACAGTAAGTGTAAATTAGGCTTCCGGGCACTTAAGCAGTTACCAGTTACGACGCTGCCCATCACTTAGAACCTAGGTATTGTATTATTACGGTATTACGGTATTGCCACATTAGTAGCCCGTAATCGCTCGTGATAATTGTTCGTATTCTATAAATGTACGCTAACACGGTATCACGAACACTGAACAGTGTGACTTTTATTGAATTAGACACATTTATTGAATTCGAAATTACAGCCGTATAGTAAATCAACCGTACGTGGTTCGCGGAGCGACCGGATTTGTGTGGTTTAGCGTTGTAGATGGTCGGGTGGACTTTGGTAAGAATTGAACCACCTTTTTTTTTTTTTTTTTTTTTTTTTTAGCGAACTCGGCGCCACTGCTGTTAACCTATACATTGACATAGGTAACGGTGCAATAAGTCATATAGGCAGTTGAAGGTACTTGAAGTGCGTACAGGTATTTCCTTGGCGATTTAGTAAAATACGCTTTTGTAAATAAAAACGTTATAATTTCTTTAAACCACATATTTTTTATTACTAATTACAATCATACGTTTTTCGATATTTTTAAATACATCTTTATCTCGGAACAAAACCAACCTTTATAGGTCTATTAGTATACTACTATTACTGCGTGATTCTTAAATACAGTACACGCGTTCAGCGGTGGGCCGGTCAGGGAGGCAAAGGGTAAACCGCCTCCCGGGCCTTCGATCGTGTCGTGTTCATACAAACTATTTATAATATTGAAATGTATTAAGCAAAACACCGTCTAGCGTCATGCAGATTTCCTCACCGCCTTAGTTTCAAAACTTTGAGGTACTGCATTGGCGCGTTTCCCCCCCACCCCCGATAGGCTTAATCCATTTATTTAACAATTCGTATGTATTATCTTTCGTATAAAATAAAACATGCAATTACAAATAAAAACAAAACAGGGTTTAAAATCGAGAAAAACAATACGTATTATAATCATTCAATTTTAAACAATTGAACATGGAATTACTTACAATATGAAGCATACCTGTCCATATAGTACTTACACAACAAGCATTCAAAATTACCACTGTAATCCAATTTGCTTCACACAATCCACTACTGTCCATCTAGTACAAATACCCACATTGCACCCAATTGAAATTATTTTCTTTGATTTTTTTTTATGCTCTGAATGTGATTTTTCACAGTACAAACAAATATCTCTCGACTTCGCGAACTATCTTTTGATAAAATAATTTCAAATCCATAAGCGTCTGTTCGTAATCGGGGTCAAAAAAAAAATACTGTTTCGGTTGGTTACTGTGAACGTTATGGTGCAACTTAAAAAATAATATTTCTTTTTGCACCTCACATCGTGTATTATCGCACATTTGTTGCCTATCAAACGCCTTGAATTCAATTTGCACGCATTATGAGAACCATTGTGCTCTCTTATCAAATATTGCTGGCGGAACGTCCGATAGCTAATGAAATATGTTTGTGAAGATAGCAAATAAGACGGTAAAAGTATGATAAGAACGTAAGGCGGCCATCTTGCAGCCGTTCAACGTTTTCCCTCCTTGGACGCTTGCAGTTAATCCACCTTGGTTATTTATGGTTATTAACGATCCAGATTCGAAACGGATTCGAGTTAAAACTTTGGTGCAATCATCATAAATTAATTTAGTTGTTAGTTTACAAACAATGAAGCCAGCCGCACGTTCAATGATATCATCAATTACTTGCTGTAAAAAAATTGTATTGATTATTATTCTTATTTACAAGTGAATTGATGTCATTGACCATTGTAATTGCTCGCACAGACGCACGGGAAACATTTCTACACATTTTGGCTTTATAAGTCCTAACGTGGCAACATGTAATCGTGATCGGTCAAATGCTCCAGTGTACGAAAATTATTTTAAAAAGAAAATCGGCGCACTAAAAAAACAAATACGTTATTCATACTTTTTTTTTTCTCTCATAATAATGAAAATGTCTGCACAAACATTTTGTTGTTCGACGTTGACAATGTTTCAAACCGTATTTGAAAAAAAATCTGTTATCAATTTTCTGACAAATGCTAATATCCCGCCGTAGAGTAACACCGAATACTATATAGATTAGGTTTTCTCGGGGACACCGTAGCGCTCCATATCACACCGGGTTGCCTACATAACCCCTCAATTTTTTTTTTTTTTTTCAAACACTGATACTATGACCGATACACAGCCACCACCGCCAGATGTCAGCCGCTTCGCTTTTTATCGCGAATCTACGTTAAATCTCGTAGATAATGGTTTTGTATGTTTGCCGGTTTTTATTTTTTTTAGTTTTTGCTTTTCAAAACGGATAATATACAAATTAATTACAAGTTCGCGAACCTGATAGTAACATTACTGTGGCGATTCTCAAGGTTTTTAAAGAATATTTTTGTATACAGACAATTTAAAGTAATGCTTATCCTCGGACTACAGTAATCAATTAAAAAAATTGCTCAACATATTTTTCTGATTTTTCGGTAGGCATTAGTAAAAATTTCAACGAATTTTGTACGAGTTTTTTTCCGCTTGTGTTTACCAACCTATAATACATACATAGTTTTTATTGTTGTTGTTAATTTCGTTTAAACTCTACAATGTCTATGAACGAATTGTCATCACTGTGCTCGTCGTTCGACGATACACAGTACGAAGAAGAATTTCTAGCGTTCAAAGAACAATTGTTGAAAGTGCAGGGTCTGGTCGACAAATATAATAACAAGAGTAAGTATACTCTAATATTATATGGGCGTACACAATTTCATTACCTACTTTGTGTTGTGTAATTTTCGCAGTTATCGAAAAAACGTTGTGCCAAGCAGATCTTGTCGAAATGAGTGAATCGATGAAATACATGACAGAACTCGAACAGCTAGTAACTAAGGAGAAAATGAGTATGTGTCCTTTTGTCTTTTTGAATTGAACAACACTGAATAACATTGCAGTGCCAAACAGCATACTAAGTGGTAATAATTTCCAGAATCGAGTTACGTATCGTATAAAACATTGTCTTTAAAAATGATTCAAGAATCTTATCGCATTTGCAATTGGCTGATGGAAAAGCATTGCGATGAAATGGATAATGTGTTCACTATTGATTCGTTTATGGATAAAGTTGTATGATAATATTATTGTTTTGCTTTACTGTTAAAAATATTTTTCAACTACGATGCAGCTATTATAATGATGTTTTTATTTTTTAAGATTGAAGCGACTCGCGGTAAAGATCCCCTGGACCATTTGAAGACTTTATTCGCAGGCGTCTACAAGAATACAATGTACATGAACATCAATTTTTGTGGCAATATTAAACCGGTGGGAACTGCTGTTGATAAACCAGAATTAGTTCAACCAAAAAAAGAAATTAAAAGATCACAAAAACGAGTGTTGGAAACTCAAGTTATCCCTGACGAGGTGTCTAGAAATATTATTACTTTAATGATATTAATTTGAGAGAAATTAAAATATTTGCGTCATTATGATGAATTATTTTTACTTTTTAAACATATAGGTTCAGGACGATTCCGGTGATAACGAATTGCAAATTACTTTATTGAGAATAACCAAATGTTTAAAATTTGCTGTATCAAATAATGAAAATCAACCAATATGTTTTTATAAGTTTGCCATTGACCCATTCAGTCTGACATATACCGTAGAAAATCTATTTAATTTGGCTTCGTTAGTTAAGGATAATCTCATTATAATTGATTCAGGTAACAGTAAAATGGTTATTAAATTCATTATTTTTAATTTATGTCCGGGTTGCTACAGATTTTAGATTTTAAAATTTCATAAATTTTTATGTAATTTTCGATCAGATAGTACATAATATTAAAACTATTTTTTAATATGACTTATCCATACGTCCTGTGTTTAATAGTAAATATACATTCTTTTATATTTTATACATCACTTTAGTTAATTTTAACAATTTTATATGTTTGGTACTATACTCTGAGCCACGAGAGAAGTAAACCGTGGTCCTGCTAAAACACGTCCAATAACGCGCATGTATACACATCTTAGCACTCAACTGAATGAAACAAAGTGGGGGAAACCGTACCTCTGAACAGTCATTGTCCTCAGCTTATATGTGCAAAATGGTTTACTTCTCTTGTGAGCCAGAGTATAGGTATAAATGTTTTTTTTTTTTTTCATTTTTCCTATTCCTCTGACAAATTTAAAATTCCCTAATATTTTCAAGTAGCAACCCTGATTTAAATATACATTTCCAACAAATATTATTATTTCAAATTTTTAGTTTATAAAAAAATAATAATACTTCATTAATCACACTATTAAAACACTCAATTATGATTTACCATAGTAGTGTAACATTTTGTTTTTTGGGCAGTTATTGGCCAAATATTACTATAATGTTATATAATATTATTTTTTGTGTTAATTCAATGTATATATATTTTTTTGTCTATTTGTTAAAAATATATTTTCTATACAGACAAAAATGGCCATTTTACAACCATAATAGACAATCAAAAGCCCGAAAAGGTCAATAAAGATAATTTAGTATCAACTTTATTCAAAATAAACCATGAGTTGTGGCAGGTGATTATTTATTATAAATTAAACGTTAACAGTAGTCAACTTTGCATATTTAATGTAGAACTATTGTAAGGAAATTTAGATTTTACAAACATAATTTAATAAAATTATTATTTTTTTTTTTCAGTATTATATTAAAAAGTATAACATCACTGAAAGAATGATAGAACAAGACAGAGAGGAATAAGTTATACAGCTATAAGTTTCTCCTTTTATTTAAATATAAAATGTTTATACTTATATTATCATCTATTAAATTATAAGTTCCTTTTGTTAATAAAGAAAATTGTGTATGTATTTGTAACCAACATTTAAATAATTATATGTTTAATACATGATATGCCATTGATAATATAAGTTTTTAAGAACTGCCATCATTTTACAATTTGCTATATTTGGATTGGACTGCTTTCATTTTAAAAAAGCTACTTAATTTAGTATTTTTAATAAGAATACAGTGATTGGATAGTGGGTATATTTAACAATTATCGGAAAACTATGTTACTCCAACATCTTAAACAACTTACATTTTGACTACATAGATCACAAATTTATTAAAAAAAATACTCGTAGATTAAAATTTCTTTAAGAAATAAAATACACTGATAATACTGGTTTATACTATTGCATACAGGGTGAATTTTTTTATTATGAACCAGCAATTGTCTCAGAGGATTTTAAATGAATTTGATTTCTGTTTTCTCTCTAATAATTATGAAATTGTTTAAGCTTTATTTTAAAACTACTTTTAATTTTTTACCACTACTCTGTATACCTTAAATAAGTACATACTTTTTATTTTCAATTAGGAACCCCCCTTTTGAATACAGATTTGAATAGAGAATATTTTTCTAGACATTTTGATATGCGTAACACTATCAGATTTACCGTTTATGAGTTATAACAGTTTAAAGTTTAGACTGGAGGATTAGGGAATGGTAATAAGATAAAAAAATCACTTTGTATATGTGATGAAGTCTATGTATTTTTTAAAAACTGAGACTATTTTGAATCAATAGATATTATCTAAATATTTATAATTGTATTTTTGTAAAAACTACTATGTCCTTATCTGTGGATACAATGTAATGTTATCATTAACAAAGCTATTAATTTATTATTGAAAAAGTATATATTATAATCTTGTAGTGAGCGAAATGATATTTTATACAGCTGTCAGATGGTTGTAGATCCTATTAAATTATAAGTCTTGATTTTATTCATTGTTAAAAATCATCTCCATCATGGCTATTTGTTAAAATCTGCTCTATAAATGTTGTCTTTTTTTTGTTTGTTTTTTCCTTTGATATGAACACAGAACATCCCAAGTAGATCAGTGGTTATTCAAATTTTATTAGAGCATCAATAGAAACATCAGAATTACAATAACGAGTGCTATAACGTTCCAAAATATAATATACTTTAAACAGACCTGAAAAAAAATATATGTAGTAAAATAATTTAGTTTTATTGTAGTAAGTACCTATTGGTTAATGACAATCATTAAAAATGTAATCAAATAGAAACAACACAATGAATTAGGTGGGTTGTTAAATTTCAATAGAATTATTATTTAAACTTCACTTTGATAACATTTTTTGTGATATTTTTGACATAACTCTTTAAAATTTCTATTTTATCAAAATAATTTGATAATACGGTTAACATAACTTTTATTTTTATTTTTTTTTTAACACATGTCACACATACAATTGTATGGGGTGCATCTCATATTTGGATTTAAAAACAATACATTGAGGTTAGGTAAATTAATGAAAATACATTTTTATTCTGTCTCATAACATAAAATTTTTCATTTTTAACTGCCATTAATATTAAATCCTAATATTTTGCAATTAAATGAAAACAATACATTTATAATAATCACAATAATTTTAAAAACTAATCAGAATTTGTTTCGAATAAAATATTATTGGTTTGCAACTATCGTTTCTCTAAAAATTATAGTTATTCAATTTTTCTTTTAATATAATTTACCTAATTATTATTCATTTAGTTCCCAAAAATTATTAACTATTACTTAATTAATTCCTTATAGTCTAATTCATTTTCAAATAATTTATCAGATAATCTTTCTTGTTGAGAAAATAGATGTGTTAATTTTATTTGTTTAGATCTTTAAAAATTTACCTATAGTTAACAGTCAATATCTTAATCCAATTACTTTATGTATCGTGTTTATTAACATTATCAGCGTTCATCAAGGACTTTATCGAATAATTTGCATATTTCAAGAATATTTCGTTGTCTGATTGATTCAAGTTTATTGACATTGGACATTGACTTGGCATACTCATAAAAGGAGCAAAACACCTTTTAAAATGCAGTGACAAAAATTTAGATAATATTTATTGATATAATCTAGTAGTAGAGCTTTAAAAGTATATATACTATATTTGTATATTTAAACACAAATAGCATACACTGTACCCGCAAAATTATTTAATTTATAATCTACTAATCAAAAATTATATTTTTTCTTCTAGGTACTCACCTAGTTCAGAAAACTAAAAATTAAAATCTGTTAGTTGAATTGAGAAGATCGGATGTTTAAATTTTTGACCATAACGAATAATTTAATATTATTATATTATAAGAGTGATGGTTTCCATTAAATCTAGTGTATTTCTGAGTTTTTCTAGGTAGTTTTAATATTGCATACATATCTAATTTGGATAGATATTTGTATATTGTAAAATGTAAATATAATCATTACAAATGTAATTACGAAAATACATTTTTAGGTTAGATGAGGTAAGTGTGACTAATTTTTCATTTTAGTACAATAACTTATACATTGATTATTATTGATTATTTATTAAGTTCTACGTGAAGACTTTTAAACAACCCAAATAAATACTTAAAATATTCAATAAGTTAAATTTTAACTGGTTAGCGCACATTAAAAAAAAAAAAAAATTTTTGTTGGATATTTTGCACATTATTTAGGGCAACTTTGAATTCGCATATAAAAGTATGGTATTAAATAAGTTTAAAAATGTTGGGTCAAGTTAGATAATCTACATGTTTTAATAGTTCATTTGATACAAAAATGAAAAAAAATAAACCATTTGGTAGGTAGTATAAGTTATGGAGTTTTTAAAAATATAAACTCAAGTTTTTCAAATTTTATGTTTCATACCTATCGTTATACCCATGGTTTATAATAAAATTGTAGTGGTTAAATGTTGTTTATGTTGATGACTACAGTTCACTATGGTCCATTTGATCATATACAAAAATATTATTACAATATATTATAATTTATGATTATGATCCAAGTATGGTCGTTATCATGTTCTTTATAACCACGATGGTTCGTGAATGAAACTTTATTAGTTACTAGTTATTACTCAATGTTTTATTGCCTTATAGATAGTTGATAGTTTAATAGACGTGTTGGAAAATATGTGGATTATTTTATTTTTATTGCGTTGAAAATTCTAGACAGGGTTTGTGGCCTACACAAACACATGCTTGTTCAAAAAAAAAAAAAAATTTGAAATGACTCTGGTTGCGTGTCCTCTAAGTATAATTTTATTTATTAAGATAGTATATTATGTGTTCTCTTTTTTTTCATTCCGAGACAAATTTCCGTAGACATAAAAAATTACTATAAATGTCATAGGTCACCTATATAATATAGTTAATTTGATCGTAAATCGGATTCCGGTTTACACACATGTGTACATATAAATACGATTGCGAAATGAGTTTATTGGGTACCTGTGTATTCGTTTTTGTCGAAAACTGTACAAAAAAACTAGTTTTGAATACATTGCTATAATTTCGATGTGTCGTACCCATTGAATTATTTATTTTGATGTTTTTGTTTGTAGATGAATCCGTCTGCAACCGAAGACCCGTCGCATTTGAATATTAGTATAATAACACGATATACAGAGCGATTCACTCGTTAAAAACATAGATTTTCTAGAAGGATTACCAGTGAATATTATTTGATATCTGTTTTTATTTCTAAATCTTAGCAATCGTTATGTTTTATACATTTCGTTTCAACACCGTTTTCGAATTGAATATGTTTGAGTGTGCATTTTTAATTGAAAGTTATATGATGTGTACACTGTAATGGCATTGTAAATTGAGCGACGGAGGCAACGGAGCGGCTTTGGGGTTGCGATGTCCGGGGGTTATTCGGTTGGTTTCAAACGCCGAAGTCTGTTGTTATAAATTTGTTAAAAGCCGGAGAAATCACATTCAAACTGTTTTATTTAATCCGTTAGCTTTGTATTGTATCACACATTGATATATTGATATATACATGTATAATAAAAATAGTTATCGGAAATGCACACGGTCAAACGTAGATGTTTGCCTTACCTAATTTCATTCTTCTTTATTTGAACCGAATATGAAAGTATTTTCACATCCACGCTGTACATTAAATGGTGTCCCGGTTCTTTACCGGACGGTACTTAATAATTTAAAACAAATTTATAGATTCCCGACGGTAAGTGTTTTCCACGCAATTCGAAATATTGATAACAGAATTTAGATAAACCGGTTTTATTATTACAGTTATCGTCTTTGGTTGCGAGGGATAAACACGAACACTACTATATAGTAGGTACCTGTAAGTATACTAACACTGGTTATAACACTATTCGAAACTCCATTCAAAATCGTTTTTCGATCGCATTGATTATACCGTCAATACAATCAATTAAATTACCCTGTATTCTTTATATTTTAAATTTAGTTTCTAAATACACCCATTTTTTTTTTTTTTAAATATTTTATTGCGTTTTAAAAATATCCACGCAAATGTTTCGCTTATCAACTTTGACATTTAAAGTAGATATATATGTATACGTATAAATGTATATATAATATAAAAAATAAAAAATCATATAATATGTATTACAAAATGGCCGCCCACTCGTGCATTGAATCCACTTTAAGCCGCTCGCCCAATGAGTATGTATACCTATCGGTTATTACTCGAAACGTACGACGACGTTATTATAATTTTTTTTATTAGCTGTTTTCGTTTTTTTTGTAATTCGTTTTCTTGATACAAATTAATTCATTTATTCCATCTTTTCGTATTAAATAATAAAACGATACATACCTAACAAGGAACGCTATGAGTGCTTTGTCCTTTAGAAAGTTCTTTTTTCGATTTTCTCAGAGGTTTTTATAACAATAATTTGGAAAAAAACCGTAGGATAAATGGGAATATTTACGAAAATAATGGTTTTATTTTTCTTAATTTTGGTTTTCTGTTTGTAAAATTTATTTAAAAATATTCATAGAACTATGAAATTAAGACACAAATATTTGACACTTATAATTGCTTTTTCAAGACGTGGTAAATTTGTCAAAACATTTGTACTGTTTTTGAGCTATTTACAGACATTTTTATTTTATGAGCTTTTACGTAATCTGTATTCGGTAGGTACTCTGTAGATACAATAATTAGACCTAACAGAAATGCATGAAAATTTAACAGGAGATTCATTACAAGTCGTACTTTTTGGTAATAAAAAACTAAAAAAATAAAGTTAAGTGTAGTAGGTATTATTTTTTATACAAATTTGAACATCGTATTTCGACGACAATCGTAAATATTACGACCTTCCAAAACGTCATGTATAACTAAACTTCGCTCCGAATCGTTTTTCGTTAGCAATGGTCTGTTGCGTATAAATAAAAATTAATTTCCCCTTTATATTCTACCATCCCAACTTCTCACATACAACAGTGGCCCATCCGTCGTGCGAAGTATATTCAACTTTTTTATGTTTACGATTTTCTAGGTACACTTTAATTGAATTTCCAAACCAGATTCCAAAATAAACATTATTATTCCAAGTCACGAGAGAGCACGAGAGTAAATGAAACTGTATAATATATGAGGCCAGAATCGTTATTAACAAAGGAATTGTTATTAAAAGGTCGAACAGAACTGTAAACAAATGAACTTTACTTTAAATTCAATAGGAGAAAAAAAAAGCACGACAGTACAAAATTAATTGTCATATTATTTATGGAGTTTATTATAAAAATTATAATATAATACTTCGCAAGGTGATTTCATCAGTGTAATAATATCGTAACGTAGGGAATGCTTATTCAGTAGATTATTTTTTTTTTTTGAACAACTTCTTTCAGACAATATTATTTATTCACGATCGAAAAAATGTATAAATTAATTTTTTTTTTGAGTTTAAAAATATTCAAATTTATAACGAAATTCGAAAAAAAAAAATATCATTAAATTAGTAAACAGATGAAAAAATGTTAATCATTTATTATAGGTACACTGCATATTGAAAATTACATAATAATCCAGCTTCTTTTGTAAATATTATGGTTTTCTACTCGTCTCGGTTTTTTAACAAAAAAAGTAGCTGCCTCCCACATAAATATAATATCATTCTCGAGAACAGATCATTTTAAATCTCGAGCTCTTTAACAGGGCAATTTTTTTTTAATTTGTAAATTTTGTCTATTTGGTATATTGGAGATGGTTTTTTACATTCTGAGCGGAGCGAGGAATGCATTGGTTTTACAATGATGTTTATTTTTATTTATTTTTCTGTGGACAGCTTTTCCACCAGCAATTTTGCTCCGATTTTCAATTATGACATTTTTTCTAAAAGGAAATCTGACTATGGAGGTACTTTAGAGAGGTCACATGCATAGTATGTTATTGTTTTACCATAATATGACATATATTATATTGTTGAAAAAGCAACACTATCAACCGAATTCCGCTCAGAATCGTTTTTTTTGTTAGTAATGGTTAATAGATGGCTTACAGATATAAATTACCTATATAAGTGGCTGCACCCGTCCTTATTATCCAAGGATAGCTGTTTTTTGTTTTTCTTGTATTGTTTTCTTAATAATTAAAAAAAAATCTGAAAAAAATGTTGGGATAACAGGAAAATTTCCGTGATCTCGATTTCGTTTTAGATTCGGAGCGTAGCGAGGTATCTATTGATTTCACTACAAGAATGTGTGTTTTGTACTCTTTTATTGGGTTCGGAGCGTAGGGAGGTATCTATTTACTATGAATTATTTTTTTAAACAACTTTTCTATGAGATATCGTCCTCCGATGTATCAAGTGTAGCGCCTATTTGTAAAGGAAATTTGACCTAGTTGATTTTTGATATTCTAAGAGTTTTAAAAATAATTGGGAAAAACCCGAAAGAAAATTTTAGGTAAAGCGGCAAATATTTACGGCACGCCACGGCGTTGCTGATTTTATTGTTTTCAATTTTTACAAACTATGTTTTCTACCATAAATTTTGCTTTAATAAAAAATACCTTTGAAAAAACATTTTTTTGTTCCTATTAACACATTCCTATATAAAATAAAAAAAAAAAAAATAGTGTAATGTGGTATTTTTTTTTTATAAAATGTTTAAATTTTAATCTTGATGAAAATCGTAAATATTACGGCCTTTCAAAACATGTATAACTGAACTTCGCGTCTGATCGTTTTTCATTAGCAGTGGTTAACCGTTGCGTGCTGATATACATTCAATTTTCTTTCTACCTTCTCAACTTCACACTGAAACAGTGTGAATCCATCATCCGAAGTATGTCCGTTTGTTTTTTTTATAATATACGGTTCGGTTAGATTATATAAATATTAATACCTAATCATATTATGATAACATAATATCTAATTATTTTGAGATTGTGTTTACCTACATAAAATAAAATTCATATCTTGAATTACCTATAGTTTTGAATCGTAAACAGAAATTACACATTAATAACAAATACAATAAAAATAAAACGATACAAATCGGAGTATCGGAATATAGTAAGATCCGAATTTTCTCCGATCTGATTGAAAATCAATGAGGACATTCTATCAATTATCTAGTGAAATCCTTATTCATAAAGTAGCTTACTTTAGGTATAGTTAATAATTTAGTCTTCTAAAACAGTAGAAGATTCTTCAGTTCTTGAACTGTGTTCCGCGATTAACTTGCAGGAGTTTCGAGAAGGTCTACAAAAAGTTAGTTAAAATTCTACAATAATTTATTAAATAATTATAATTATGTTACTACCGACACGAGCAAACAAAATAAGTTAGATTTCTTTTTAAAATAAAAAATTATATTTTTATATTTTAGTGGTTCTGCATGAACAAATACTATTGTTAGGTGTTCCGTAATCTCCAAAAGTTTAAGAAACGCTGATCGTCGAAATGTCGTTCTCGAGGATATCACAGACGATGAGCTTATAACTATTTTTGATTTGAATCGAATGTCTAATACATTTTTATTAGTACGAATTGGAATTTACTTAAAAATGAATTTTCAAATAAACTTCTAGCTATAGTAGAACAACTGGATGGATTGAAAAAAAGCTTGTTTTTAGTGCATTTTTTTTTAAACGTCTAACTGTTATATTATTTCGAAAAAAAAAATTCAGAAACGTATAGATTTTCATGTCTGTTTTTCTTAAAAAAAAAAAAAAAATGACATACTCCGGATAGCCGCGAATTTTACGTACAACCACTCTGTTTATATTTTTTTGGATGCAAATATCTGGATTAGTCCACGGTGAAAGGAGGAACACGTATTTAAAGCATTTGAAGGTTGCTGAGGAAATCGATTCGACAGAGTGCACCGTATTATTATATAATTGTGCAACTTTTGATCAAGTACAAACAACCGGTTACAAATATAAGAATATATATTTAAAAAAAAAATGTTTAAAAAAAATGAACTAAATCGTCTTCTTCAGGTCTTAGCATCTATTATAAAAAAAAAAACATTTTTTTTTTTTTTTGCTCAAAAGAGATTGTGTGCGAAACAATTTGAAACCGAATATTCTCCCATTCAGCATTATTAGTAAAATATAACGATGGCAATACATTTTTCTGGAAACAGTCCAATGACAAATTTAGGTAGGTTTAGTATATATACCGAAGGGTGGCATACAGAAAAGTATATTCAGTCTTTGATCGTCGAGCTGAACAGAACTAACAGGTGGCTTCGAGACATAATGGCTTCCACCGCTATGGTAAGGAGACGAATAAAATATTTGAATATTTTTTTTTTTTTAGCTATGGTTGTTTAACTAAAGTTATATAACTATATTTTTCTCATAAATATAATTGAATATTAATTTAATACATTTTTAAACTATCAAAGAAGTTGCAGGATAATAGTAATATTATTAACGAAATTTTCCATAATATGTTTGATAAAATAACACCGATAGTATTTATTTATTTCAAAAATCACTTTAATTTATTAAAATTTTAAAAATACTGAATCCCACTACAAAAATGTTAATTTAATTTGCATAAATACTAGAAACCATTTAATAATATAAAAGTATATTTAAATACAAATAAAAAATTGTAAATCGACATTTTTCATTTGATTTTTTTTCAGATTCAAATAGTTTTACTAGGGCTCCTCGTGGTAACTACCGCCTTTGCGGATACTAAACCATTAAATAAAAACAATAAAAGATATTCTCTGGATGCAGAAAATATTAATTTGTTTTCTTCTAAACCATCGGCATTCTCATTTGGTGCTAAGTCATTTAGTCCATCACAATACTTCGGTCCATCTACACCAGCACCCTTCATATTCGACAGTTCGTTATCGAGAACTTCTGCACCATTCAAATCTATTTCATACTCCAGCTCTACTCCAGCTCCATTTATATTCGGCAACTCGTTTTCGTCGAGTTCCTTTTCCAGAGGCGCTGCAGCTCATGCTTTCGATAGATCTTCCACACCTGCACCCTTCCTCAGTGGAGATTCATTCATTGGATCGTCCACACCAGCTCCACTCCTCGACGGAGGATCCATTATTGGATCATCCACCGCGGCTCCGCTTCTAGATGGATCCTACGTTTCTTCCACCCCAGCAGCTTTAATTGGGTCATCTACACCAGCGTCTTTCTTATCCGGTGCCGCCGTATCAGATGCAGGTTTCGCATATTCGTCGACGCCAGCGTCAGTTTTGTTAGGAGGAGGATCGGTCGTTTCATCTACTCCGGAACCAGTTGTCTTGAACAGATCACCAGCGTTTGAAACTTCTTACGGTTCTGCGTTTTCTGGAATTAATGCCCCGACATTCGCACAAGGAGCTACGATTTCCAAATCTGAATTGATAAACAATGACGCCGCCGCAATATCGGTCGCCAGCGCTCCTGCGCCTCATCACGAAATCACCATCTCAAAAGAGGTTCCAGTGCCGTACTACGTCCAAGTAGAAAAGAGAATTCCGTACCCCGTTTTGGTCCGTGTACCACACCCGTACCCGGTGACAGTAGAAAAGCACGTACCTTATGCCGTTCGAGTGAATGTCGATCGTCCAATTCATGTTCCTCAACCATATCCAGTAGAAATCGAGAAGAGAGTGCCATACCCAGTGGAANCGAAAAGCCCGTTCCATACCCAGTACGAGTGAACGTCGACAGACCTTACCCTGTCGAAAAACCAGTGCCGTACCCAGTTACCGTAGAAAAGCGAGTACCTTACCCCGTAGAGAAAGCTGTCCCATATCCGGTAGAAAAATTGGTGCCGTACGCAGTCGAAAAACGCGTTCCTTACCCAGTCAAATACGAAGTACCCGTTAAAGTACCTGTACCAGTTGAAGTTAAGGTTCCGGTAACCGTTGACAGACCGGTGCCTTATCCAGTAGAAAAAAGCGTCCCGTACCCGGTTCAAGTTCCGGTCGAAGTTAAGGTTCCCGTACCTGTCTCCGCTCCAACTCAACGATTCGCCACCGTCCACTACTATCAAGGGTCTCCAGCAGCTTTAGGATATGGCTCCTCTCAAGCTCTTATCGGCAAGTCTGGATACAATCAATTCTTATCCGGTGCCGGTCCAACGTACGGCAGTTCATTGTACAGCGCCAATTCTAGCCCTGCTAGCTTCTACAGTTCTACTCCCGCTTCGGCAAGTTTGTTCGGTTCCTACGCGGGTGCATTAAGTGGATACAGCTCAACCGCTAGCCCACTAAACGCGTACAGCTCGACTGCAGCCACTCCATTTGAATTGCTCAGTTCAAATGTCGCTCAAGGAAGTTTTGTAAGCTCAACAGCATCTCCTTTCGGTCTTGGTGAAAAATCGTTTTATGAGTCTTCTTCATCAACCCCTTTCAATTCATTTTCTTCTGATTTATCCTCGGCTAATTTTGCCTCAGGTAATTTTGCCACAGGTAATTTTGCCTCTAGCAATATAGCTCCGAGCAACTTTGCTGATCTAGCATCTGCTAATTTATCTCCAGCTGAGTTAACCTCAACTTCAACTGAATCCTCGTCATCTACTAGCTCAGAATCCACCGAAAGTGATGTTGTTGTTATTGGTGGAGCTAAAAAGTCCGAAGAATCAGACTCAGCCGAAGATATTGACACTGAAAAAAAGTAGATTTTTAAACACGCAATTTTGAATTTTTTTACTGTTTTTTTTTTGTTTCTGAATAATGTATAAATAATGTATGCTCTGCTTTATTGTATAAAGTGTGAATTTGTAATACTTATTATAGTATATTATATCTATATATAAAATTGTATGTACTAAAATGATTTTAAAAATATATACAATCAATATGCATGTCAATTGCAATGCACGTGTTTATATTTGGAACAGTTTACATATGTACGATTTAAGAACTAGGTACGTAAATATTATACATTTTGGAACCTATAATATATAAATGTGCAATTACGATATATTTTTAAACTCCACTGTTATAAATAAAATAGAAATTAATAAATGCTCCCTTTCATATTCAATATTTTTAAAATTGGATGTATTGTAAAATCGTAAATTTAACAAATTATTGAAAGGCCTTACATAGGTATAACACTGCCACATAAAAATTGAAAATTTGAATACAGTTGAAGTTTATTATTGGTAATGCCTCATTCCTAATGAGACATTTCACCACCCCTGTATATTTAAATAGCAATATTTATCGTTTTAATTAAAACACAGAACAGATAACAATTACCTATCAGAAATCGATTTCAGATTTGAAAACAATACAAATATACGTTGAATGTTTAGTTCTTCTGTATCAATTATTATTAATATTTTTGATTTCTATTTGACTGAATTAATTACAAGATTAAAAGACTACGTAGATAACAGTAGACTAATCAGAGGATAAATAAGCAAGCGTTAAAATATCAATAAAATAAAGTATATATATAAGGAATTAATATTAATTGTAATTGAATTGTAAAAAATTTATGTTAGCATTTTTTTTTTTTTAAAAATCGAATGTTCAACTAGTTTGAGAATACGTTAGCATAAACAGGGTTTATTAAATCAATGAACTACTGTAATATACAGAGACTTGTGAAAACAATGACTTAAAAAAACTTTTTGGAATCTTAATATGTGCAAAATGTTTACATTGTCCTTATTTTTTGGATTTGTTCTCACTTATTTTAGATTCAGAGTGAAGCGAAGAAGCGTATGGTTCTACAAAGATGTTTTTTATTTTTGTTCTTCTGTGATCGACTTTTTTATTAGAAATATTGGTTTAATTTTTAAGTGTAGCACCTTTTCTGAAAGGAAATCGGTGTAGAGAGGTACTTTAGGGAGATATAAATTTTTCGATATACTTAAGAGTTTTCTCATCAAATGTGAAAAACCGAAAAAAAAAAAACGAAAGAAAAACTGGGAAATGTACGAAATAGATTAGTAAAATATTACGATATTTTATTTTTGTGGACAACTTTTCTACCAGAAATTATGCTTTTATTTACATTGATGGTACTCTTTTTGAAAGAAAATCTAACTGGGGAGGTAGTTTAAAGAAGTTATTTTTCGATTTCCCCATGAGTTTTCTTATCAAATGTAAAAAAAAAACCGGGAAAAACACGAGAAAACCGGTAAAATCGGTACATTAAACAAATATTATTAAAATAAATATATAAAAAGCCTATTTAATTTTGGCAATGTCGAATACCTAATCGTAGTAAGTAGATATTTTCCACGGACAAATATCCATAAATAAACCCGGATATCACCGGACGGAAAAACAAAAAAAATTAAGTTGATCACGCATTAGTAGGAGAAAAACACAATAGAAAAATCATGAATGTACGTAGTTTCAGAGCAGACGATAATGATACGGATCAGTTAAATGGTCATGACCAATCTCAAAATTAGATTAAAATGGAAACAGGTAAATAAAAGCGTAAAATTACGATACAACACAGAAACCATAGAAGACACACTTACAAAAAACGAAATACCGGACGAGACAATAAACGTAGAACGGATGTAGAAGAAAATAAAAAGCGCAATCTAAGAAGCAGCAGATTTGACAATAGGACCTATAGAACGTATAAAAAGGAAGACGAGGTTTGACAGCGAATGAAAGAATGCGATAGAAAATCAAAATAAAACTATTTTGAATACACGGGATGTTTATTTTACTTAAACCAAAAACCGGCTGTATTCTTATCTAGTGTAAAATGTTTGTAAATTAATTTGACGCAAGTATGCATTTTTTTTTTTCGAACGATGAACGCATATAATTTCATAGCTTTAATTTAAAAATAAAAAATTCTTAAATATGCTCGTTAATACATGAAGTACCTACACGTTTACAAGTTTTACTAGTTAGTATATAGAATACTAATAGAGTTTTCGTTAATGTATATAATTTAAAGCCATCGTATACAACCGGGATTGGAGTATTTATGCGAACCTCGCGTAAAAAAAAAAAAAAAACCCAAAAAAGTGAAAAAAAAGGTATCGTGACAAATCTTTTGATTTTTTCCAAATTAAATAGTAAATATAACGAAAATGTGGAAAAACATAAGCTTCTTTGCTTCACTCAGAATCTAAAATAACTATAAAATATGCAAACATATATTTATGGAAAATGAAGGAAATGCCAAGGAGGGATTATGTCAAGTATGAATAAATAATTAAAACCTTTTTTTTTTTATATATATTTGTAATTTGTTTAATATTTTAATAATTTAATAATTCCAATAAATTGACATACAAATCAGAATAAACTTTTACAGGTATAAATTAAATAACTTTATGTATCCCACTATCCTCACTAACCACCGACAACAATGACCGCACACATCCCCAATATCAGCTCTTTTTTTAACTTTACATTTTAATTACCTAGCTTAGTGTTTTCATCGTTAATAATAATAATTTAATATTGTTTTGCATTTTAACTTTCAACTCGAGGCATTTGTTTGTACATAAATCTAAGCTCAAGTTAATTTTTTCATTAAGGTGTCCACTTTTGATAATATCAATAAAACTAATAGATGATATGATATAATATAAAATATAGAATTTAAAACAGTTTACTTTGTACAAAATGTAACGCTTGATAATGCTATCCTTAGGTAATTTTCCTAAAAAACCGTAAAACCAAGTAAAATGCCATAAAACTAAGTGATTATTAGGTACATCGATTACATTAAGATTCAATTAACTATTATGTAACCAAAGATTTATAAAGTCAGAACGAACGGAGTTTTATACAGACCAATACTAAATCTACGAAAAAAAAAAATGTATTATTATGAACAAAATGTTGTAAAAAAGTTGACAAAACACCAAGTAATTTATAATAAAAAGAGATTGTTGTAATAAATAATTTTAAACCGAATATTCACATAACGGACTATCGGGTTTGGCAATAATTTCGTTGGGACCAGTCCAACGTAAAATGTAGGCACCTATATACACTAAAGGCTTGAGTCCAGAAAACTATTCAGTCGCCAATTGTCGAGCTGAACACAACTAACAAGGAGATTCCTGTAGACATTATGGCTTCTAGTGTTATGGTAAGAAAGAATGTAATTTATAAATTTATAAAAGTACTTTATTGTTTTACGATATTTAATAAAACCGTAATAATATAATCAATTCGTTAAAATAATTAACGTAAGATTATCGAAAAAGCTCAGATGATTTACATCGTTCATATTAAACATGTATATTCAGTATATTATATTTTTATATCAGTGATTATTTTATTTTATTATACAAACAGAACAATTGAATTTGACGTGATAGCATATCTCCTAGTGGAGCTCGTAACGGAATAACAAAATTATAATAAATTAATGTATAAATGTATACTTTTAAAAAATATTTGAGTATTATTTAAAGGACTCTTCAAAAATGATATTTAAAATATAATTCAAATAATATTTTTGTAATATAAGTAAGTACAATTTTATAATCAATATTGATTATAAAAATGCAGTTACCCAAATGGCGATCGCTTCGCTAACCATACACTCCCTTAAATAGCACTACCTGCATCGTTTATTTATTAAAACAATTATTAAAATCAGTAAAATTAAAATCGCGATAAACTATTAAAATTAAAATTATATTTATAGAAATTGACTTAATATATATAAATATATAAATATTTTTAACAAGACATAATAATTGTCGAGAAGTAGCTTATACTAAGTTGACTAAAATAAAAAACACCAGAAATTTTTAATTTAAACGCATAANGTAATTTTACTAAATATTCAAAATGTATTCGTTTTCCTGAATAATTTTAAGAATAATTAATTCTTTATGACACTTAGATTATTGATACGATATTATAAATATTATATATTATTTTTTCAGATTCAAGCCGCTATAATAGGATTCCTGGTTATATCAACCGCGTTCGCAGACACTAAACTACTAAAGAAAAACAATAAAAGATACTCTCTAGATGTAGAAAATATCAATTTACAATCTTCGGTCCCATCTGCATTTTCATCTGGCTCTCGATACTTCGGCCCATCTACGCCAGCACCCTTCATATTTGACAGCTCGTTCTCGAGAACTTCTGCACCGTTCAAATCTTTTTCATACAGCTCTACTCCAGCTCCATTTATATTCGGTAATTCGCTCTCGTCGAGTTCCTTTTCAAGAGGGGCTGTAGCTAATGCTATCGATGGATCTTCCACACCAGCACCCTTCTTCGGTGGAGATTCATTCTTTGGAACGGTAACCGTTGACAGACCGGTGCCTTATCCAGTAGAAAAAAGCGTCCCTTACCCGGTTCAAGTTCCAGTCGAAGTTAAGGTTCCTGTACCTGTCTCCGCTCCAACTCAACGATTCGCCACCGTCCACTACTATCAAGGGTCTCCAGCAGCTTTAGGATATGGCTCCTCTCAAGCTCTTATCGGCAAGTCTGGATACAATCAATTCTTATCCGGTGCCGGTCCAACGTACGGCAGTTCATTGTACAGCGCCAATTCTAGCCCTGCTAGCTTCTACAGTTCTACTCCCGCTTCGGCAAGTTTGTTCGGTTCCTACGCGGGTGCATTAAGTGGATACAGCTCAACCGCTAGCCCACTAAACGCGTACAGCTCGACTGCAGCCAGTCCAGCCGGATTTTTCGATTCCAATGTTGCCCAAGAAGGTTTCGTAAGCTCAACATCATCGCCTTTCGGTTTCGGTCAGAATTCGTTCTATTCTTCTTCAACACCCGCCCCGTTCAATTCTTTTTCGGCCGATTCAGCCTCGGTTGATTCATCGTTATTGACCGATTCGGCCAATTGGGGATCTTCTGCAGGAGAAACTGTTGCCGCTGAAGATTCGAGCACTGAACAATTAAATATTGTAAAAAAATAGATATCTAATCACACGTACTTATTTGTTAATACATTTATGAAAAAGTATTTGTCTGTAAACAATATTGATGAAACATTGTATTGGCAATTCTATATTATTTAGAATTTTAGACTGCATTCATAAAATACTATTGTATAACTCAATTTTTTGAAATAACCAAAATATAAAAATCATATTTTATGAGTATAATTGATTATTTGTATGAAATCATTTCAATTTATATCTTTTTACGAATAGTACAACATTGTCAACTAAATAATATTCCTAATATTAACAACTTACTGTTAATATGTCTGTAATATAAAATATTTTTAAAATGTACTTTAATAATAAATGAATAAAAGTTATTGTAGTTAATTATTATTTGCATTTTTGTCTACATGTTAACAGAACTTCTACATTACTCTTATTACTCTTTTACTGAAATAATTGGTTTTCTTAAACATTTTGGTAACCGTAGACATTTTTTTCAATCATTTACGTTTTTTAATATTTACGTTGTCCTCATTTTGTCACTCTCATTTTTAATGGTTATATAGTCCTTTTATAGTTTATACTTTTAATGGTATTTGACAAATAAGTAATGATCCGACGAACAGCTTATATTTTAGAACATACTACATTCAAATGCAATATGGCCTCTTTATTTTGCAATATTTTACATTATATTGAAGATTTTTTTTTTATTTTATATAGTTATAACATCTTTTTGTTTTTAATATAAGTTTTCTAAGCAAATTTTATGTAGTTTAAAAATTAGTTTGGTTCATCAAAACAATCAATTTTATTTTGTACAAGGACTTTTAACAGAACATATAATATTTTGAATATTATACCAACTATAATTTATAAATAAGGCACAATAAAGATCTTGATTATTGTTTTATTGCCTTTTGTAAGTGCTTAAATATACCTTGGCAGCGATTCACGTAGTGTATGACTATGACCTCTTTTTGGATGGACCAAATCTTCCGACGTCTGCTAAAATACGTGATGAAATAAAAGTTCATAGAAGATGCGCATTATATGTTTGTTATTGTACTGTTCAAGTACCTCTTGTCGTAGTTTTGGTAACCATATCAGGAACCACGTGTCTGATTAAATGAGGTTTCGTTTTCAATTGTTCTGTGTTCAGTAATTGATGTTACCGGAATAAGAATAAGATATTTATGGAAAAATAAAAATGTATTCTTTTCTAAATACGTATAAAATGTAAAACATAAAAACGATTTTTGATGTTCCGGCGTTTTATAATCAATTCTCCGAATTGAATATTTTCCAATAATTATTATAGTAAAACTCGAATCCGAGCGTCACTTCGACAAATTCTTTGTTTTCATCAACCGCATATTTTTGAATATGCGAATAAATAATACAAAATATGATTTTTGTGTATAATTCAGTTCTTATCCTACACAGTTATCCGTAGATTCTGTTTACAATTACGGTCAAAACATAATATGATAAACCACATAGTAGGAAAGGAAGAGATATGTTGTTTAGTAATTTAATTATTTTCGTTTTTATATTATATAAATATAGTCCGCATATTAAAAAAAAAAAAAAAATAATGTTAAAACATTGAATTTAAAAAAGAGATGATATTGCTGATGGGTGCGCTACTGTAGGAGGGATTTGGGAAGATAGGATATATATTATATAATGTTATTTACTATATATCTGTAAGCAACGATAAATTATAGCTAACGAAGTAGATTGTGTGTAATGTTATTTTTTACGTAATTTGAAAGGCCGTAATATTTACGATTTTCATTAAAATTCAATATTAAAACCATTATAAAAAAAATTATATTACATTCAATTTTTTTTACTACCTCGTACGACTTATAATGATTCTACTGTTTAATTTTCAAGCCCTTCTGTGTGTTCAAACAATTTTATCTATATATTATCTACTAAATAAAAACTAGGTACTTAAAAAATTAGCAAAATTAAAATGCCTATAAATACGAGTAGTTGAAAAAATCACTCAAATGTTTTTAGAATTTTAATACGTATAGAAACGCGAGTATAAGTTTTTATTGTCAAAATGTCAGTTTTTTAAGAATATTTTCAACTGTTTTATAGCGAAAAAACGAAATTGAAAATAAAGGAACTTTCATTTCCGTAACAAAACAACACGGACAAATAAAAAAATGACTTTTTTACTCGCCTACTAGACTCGAAATGCAACAGAAGAGGCCACTTTGCAATTTTTGATTAAAGCAATATTTCTGGTGGAAAACATATCAGTGGGTAAAAATTAAAAACAATGAACGTAGTAACGCTGCGCTACGCCGTATATATTTGCCGTTTTACGAATAATTTTAGTTCCGGGTTTTCGCAGTTATTCTGTAAATCCTTCGGAAAATCAAAAAATATTCTTACTAATTTTACTAATATTCTTACTATTCTTACTAACTGTGTGGTGAAATTGTAAACATTAAAGATCTAACATACAAATATTTATTCTTTGAATTAGACAAGGATTTGCGGTAATATAACCCAATTTTATTTCATTATTTTTTATTCATTGTACCTATAGCACATAATTTTGATTTGTTTTTATTTATTTATTTGCCTTTAACGTTATTATTTAGAAAATAAGCTAGTTTATATATTTTTAGTTGTTTCAAGATGTATTGAATTTTTTTTTATTTTTAAATTGAAATATATTTACACTATGTTCTTATTTATTATATATATATATTTATATAAATTTTGTATTAATCATAGCTCCTTATTTCTAACACAAGCTGCATAAGCGTACAGGAGGTAAGTTAATCAATTCTGTAACAAATTTAATTTTGATGTATATTAAATATTTTGTTTTTGATATCTTAATAAAAAAAAAAAAAAAAACATGAATCAACTAAATCCAAAATGTAACAAATAAGTTCTTTGTAATTTTTCGATTGGAGTAAGTTGGAAAAGTTTATTTCAGACAAAAAAAAACCACATCATAGTTAATCCAATAGATCCCTCGCTCAGTTCTGGATCTAAAGAATAAAAGCAATTGTTTATATTTAATGAAAACCTATATACATGATAATCGGTATTCAGTATCTCCTTTTGTCGATTATAACACCGTAGTGTTATACGTCAACATACGTGAGTATTTTCAGACGATTCATACTTCACCGTACTACACTTAAAATTGAGGGTATTACAATACGCTAATTTTATTATAATAATGTGTTTTAAATAGGTAAGTTTTAAATTTAATTGTTAATAGAAGCATATTATCACTTTATGGAGAATTTGCAAACACAGTTTTCTAGTAGTATTATTGTTACGTAGATAGCGCTACAATTACATTACACTTAAGATATTTAAACGTATTTTCGTATTTGCTAGGGTTAATATCTTATAATTTACAATATAGTATTATTTTGACTACAGGCAATATTATCAAAGTTAACAAAATAAATTGCTCTAAGACAAAAAAAAAAAAAAAAAAAAAATAAAAGTGTTAAACTCTAACGCCCGCTAGCGTCCGCATTACCATTATTTAGGGCCTGCGATCACATATGAAATATAGGATATCTTTTCTATTTCGATAAAATGAGAACGGCCATCGTTATCGAAAAAATTGGGAAATATGCGATAAGATAATTCAAATTACCTATGTTTTAATGATAATAATAGTTTGTAGTTTAAAATATAACCATACAAATTATAATAAAAAAATTACATTTTTGTATAAAATACACGTGAATGCGGCCCGCAAGATTTATAGAAAATATTATGTGGCCCGTTGTATAAAAAGGTTGAAGACCCCTAGTTAGAGCTCTTCCAAAGTGATTTTCACCGTGATTTTAGATATAATTATGTATTCATATTAAGACGCCGGACGTTCTCTTCCACCCTGAAGATAGTATATATTGATACAATTGATAGTATATAACAGATATAACAGTCATCTTATTCTTATTATTTTTGTAATTATAATATTCGTAGTAAAATATAATGTCTACCATCTATTCAAAATCAATATTCATTTCATTTCGTATGGAAACCTTGTCATTGAAACAAAGAAATAAACATAAAACTTGTTGAAGCGAGTAAATTAATTGCATAAAACATGAGCCAAGCTGTTATGAAGGCAGGTACGTACTTAGGTATTTATTAATTTCTATGGGTTGTATTCCCATAGTCAAATATGACGTGACAGTAGTTGTTCAATAAATAGACGATTTTATCAAAATATCGTTCGCTCTATATACTTTGTGCATTTAGATAATATCGATAATCAGAAGTTAACATGCAATTTAAGTGAGATTTTCATTTTTGTTCTTATGTGTAAACTTCAAAAATGTATAAAACAATAATTATACAACATGGGAAATACGTGTGACTAAATAAAAGTTTAGTCTCAGGTTGGTTTTGGGTTATTTTTATTGTAGATTCAAATGATTCCATTTTATGAGGTTAATAATATTAACACTTTTAAATACAAATTGAAATGATTTCATTCAAATAATCAATTATACTCATAAAATATGATCTTTATATTTTGGTTATTTCAAAAAATTGAGTTATACAATAGTATTTTATGAATGAAGTCTAAAATTCTAAATAATATAGAATTGCCAATACAATGTTTCATCAATATTGTTTACAGACAAATACTTTTTCATAAATGTATTAACAAATAAGTACGTGTGATTAGATATCTATTTTTTTACAATATTTAATTGTTCAGTGCTCGAATCTTCAGCGGCAACAGTTTCTCCTGCAGAAGATCCCCAATTGGCCGAATCGGTCAATAACGATGAATCAACCGAGGCTGAATCGGCCGAAAAAGAATTGAACGGGGCGGGTGTTGAAGAAGAATAGAACGACTTTTGGCCATGACCGAAAGGCGATGCAACGGATCTGAAATTATTTGAATCAATCAACGACGATGCATCAACCGACGTCGAGTCGGCCGAATAAGAATTGAACGGGGCCGGTGTTGATGAAGAATAGAACGAATTCTGACCGAAACCGAAAGGCGATGATGTTGAGCTTACGAAACCTTCTTGGGCAACATTGGAATCGAAAAATCCGGCTGGACTGGCTGCAGTCGAGCTGTACGCGTTTAGTGGGCTAGCGGTTGAGCTGTATCCACTTAATGCACCCGCGTAGGAACCGAACAAACTTGCCGAAGCGGGAGTAGAACTGTAGAAGCTAGCAGGGCTAGAATTGGCGCTGTACAATGAACTGCCGTACGTTGGACCGGCACCGGATAAGAATTGATTGTATCCAGACTTGCCGATAAGAGCTTGAGAGGAGCCATATCCTAAAGCTGCTGGAGACCCTTGATAGTAGTGCACGGTGGCGAATCGTTGAGTTGGAGCGGAGACAGGTACGGGAACCTTAACTTCGACCGGAACTTGAACCGGGTACGGGACGCTTTTTTCTACTGGATAAGGCACCGGTCTGTCAACGGTTACCGGAACCTTAACTTCAACTGGTACAGGTACTTTAACGGGTACTTCGTATTTGACTGGGTAAGGAACGCGTTTTTCGACTGCGTACGGCACCAATTTTTCTACCGGATATGGGACAGCTTTCTCTACGGGGTAAGGTACTCGCTTTTCTACGGTAACTGGGTACGGCACTGGTTTTTCGACAGGGTAAGGTCTGTCGACGTTCACTCGTACTGGGTATGGAACGGGCTTTTCGACCGCGTACGGCACTAGTTTTTCGACTGGGACTTGGACTGGGTACGGTCTGTCTACCGGAACTTTGACTTCATAGGGCACAGGCTTTTCCACTGGGTATGGCACTCTCTTCTCGATTTCTACCGGATATGGTTGAGGAACATGAATTGGACGATCGACATTCACTCGAACAGCATAAGGTACGTGCTTTTCTACTGTCACCGGGTACGGGTGTGGTACACGGACCAAAACGGGGTACGGAATTCTCTTTTCCACTTGGACGTAGTACGGCACTGGAACCTCTTTTGAGATGGTGATTTCGTGATGAGGCGCAGGAGCGCTGGCGACCGATATTGCGGCGGCGTCATTGTTTATCAATTCAGATTTGGAAATCGTAGCTCCTTGTGCGAATGTCGGGGCATTAATTCCAGAAAACGCAGAACCGTAAGAAGTTTCAAACGCTGGTGATCTGTTCAAGACAACTGGTTCCGGAGTAGATGAAACGACCGATCCTCCTCCTAACAAAACTGACGCTGGCGTCGACGAATATGCGAAACCTGCATCTGATACGGCGGCACCGGATAAGAAAGACGCTGGTGTAGATGACCCAATTAAAGCTGCTGGGGTGGAAGAAACGTAGGATCCATCTAGAAGCGGAGCCGCGGTGGATGATCCAATAATGGATCCTCCGTCGAGGAGTGGAGCTGGTGTGGAAGATCCATCGATAGCATGAGCTACAGCCCCTCTTGAAAAGGAACTCGACGAGAGCGAATTACCGAATATAAATGGAGCTGGAGTAGAGCTGTATGAAAAAGATTTGAACGGTGCAGAAGTTCTCGAGAACGAGCTGTCAAATATGAAGGGTGCTGGCGTAGATGGGCCGAAGTATCGAGAGCCAGATGAAAATGCAGATGGGACCGAAGATTGTAAATTGATATTTTCTACATCTAGAGAGTATCTTTTATTGTTTTTCTTTAGTAGTTTAGTGTCTGCGAACGCGGTTGATATAACCAGGAATCCTATTATAGCGGCTTGAATCTGAAAAAATAATATATAATATTTATAATATCGTATCAATAATCTAAGTGTCATAAAGAATTAATTATTCTTAAAATTATTCAGGAAAACGAATACATTTTGAATATTTAGTAAAATTACATTATGCGTTTAAATTAAAAATTTCTGGTGTTTTTTATTTTAGTCAACTTAGTATAAGCTACTTCTCGACAATTATTATGTCTTGTTAAAAATGTTTATATATTTATATATATTAAGTCAATTTCTATAAATATAATTTTAATTTTAATAGTTTATNAATAATAGTGTGATGTACGTATTTGAAAAATAAATGAAATGGTATATTTGAGTAATTAATGCCACAGTATCTTATATGATTATATCAGTCGGTTAGTAATTATTGTACTCTCCTGGTCCTACTATTGGGAATATAACTCATTCTGTATGTTCAGAATTGAAAATTCATGTATAATGTTTACATTGCTAAATTACTTCCGAATAACTATTTGCGTTTGAAAAATTCGAATCAAAAGTATGAAAAAAGAAAAACGCATACAATTGTTCTGAGTGTTTTTGTAAAATTGTTTAAAACCACTCAATATAATATGTTCAAGTCTTTTTAGTAAATATAATATTTGGTTCGAACATTTATTCTTCATTTTATGATATTTAAATAATATACCGGTTTTTATCGAACACTGTGCTCAAAAGTGAAGTTATTTGCATGTCATATTTTCATTGAAAGTGTAATTTTATTTTATAATGTTTCGATCCTATTCACATTTATTAATAAATAACATCATAAAGTGTTCAATTAAATGTATTTTCAATGTATTTGTGTAGACCGATGAAGCTAACATTTTGTAAAATCAATTTATATAAACTAACGTTGTGAGTAAAAGGATTTTCGTGGTCTTTGTTTTAGATATTTTTTTTCTAAATATGTTTTGTCAGACGGTGTTTAAAATATTATGTTTCATCCTTACCATTGTGCTGGAAGCCATAATGTCTGGATGCCTTTTTCTTGCTGGTTGTGTTCAGCTCGACTTTCGACGACTGAATACTTTTCTGCATACGAGCTTTTAGTATATATAGTTGCATATAATATTGGACTGGTTCCAGAATCCCCAGGTTGATATTATTAATTCGAATTTAAATTATTTAATACGACAGTCTCTTTCTTAAAATAATTTTTTATTTGTTTTTTTTTTTTTTTTATGCATTTATTTTGTTGATAATCAATGAGTACAATTTTTTTAACTTTCATTTGCATCTTTATGTTGTGCAACAGGTTTTTTTCAGTTTTTTGTATTTAGCGGAATGTTTGACAATATGCACACAGTTTTCGTATCGATTTTCTCAACAGCCTTCACCTTTCTTTCACCCGAGGAGCAAAACATTTTGATTAGCCGAAAAGGGATTAAAAATGTATTAACTCACATAGTAATATCATGCACGTTTATTATAGATGAAACGCGTATACGTTTGTCTTGAATATATTACATTTATACGTCGGAATGGGATTTCCGCGTTTCGCGTTCTGCGTTTGTTTGTTTTTATACAGCAAAAAAGGAAATTCTCATTTCATACACGGTAGTGTACTAGGTAACGGTTTAATGGATCTTTTGATACGGGATACTCAAATCCTCTTGGTTTTCCAATAAATTGTATTATTATTTTATATCCTACTTTTTCGTAAACTCTTATGGCCTTGGCTGTTTTTATAACTCTTGGTAATTTTATTTTAACATAGAGTTTTTCTAAATTAAATCCATTTTAATACGCTCGTAAAATGTAAGTATTTATCTATACCATACATTTTAAACTATTTTCAGACTTCAAAACAATATTATTAAAATACCAAATTATTTCTTTTTCACAATTTTTTTTTATATTTTTCACTACATTACACGTATTTTATCGTTAGGAAATTATCTTCAGCTATGTATATTATATTTTTTTTTCTTTTAGCAACATTGAGAAAGAAAAATGTTTAATAAAGCAAAATTAAATTTTTTTTTTTAGTATTTAGAGAAAATTACAAACGTTAAAAAAAGAACCAGAAAACAAAATTCGTACTAAGATTTATACGAATAAATGTTAGAAACTCACTATATTTTACTGCATTTCAATGCTTTAAATTTCGTTCCTTTTTTTAAAAGGTTTTCTAAAAGTGCTTTTAATTAAAAGTCCATAATGATGCTTCGTTATTTGATCATGATAACGATCATAATATTAACAACCAGCAAATAAAAATGGAAAAATAGAAAATAAAAAAAATGGACAATTTTGACTCTAATAGAATTGGATTTAATCGATTTTTGCAAGTGTTTCTATACATCATCGCTTAATTATTTATAAATTAAAGATTGCGATGTTAAATATGTAATGAATCGGAGGTTGGTAATTCAAAACATATTATAAATATGTAATCGTAGTTCGAAACTTGACGTACTTGTAGCCAGACTTTTATTTTCCAATCTAAACAATTTACTCTGTATATTATCACTCCGTGGAATCATTATAGAGAATCTAGAAAATAACATAAATTACATACGATTTAGAAACACAGACCGTCTACTGTAAAATCATCATCTAAAAGGTTTAAAATGTTAGTTTTTGAATACACATTTTATACGGTATACGGGATAAATTATTATCGGTACACATATTATCAATAAATGGAAAATAACTTCCATATAGGTACTCTGATTTCGCATTTCGCATGGGAATTTTCGAGTGCGGTAGAGTTTGATTTGTTCGTTTTTTTTTTTTTTTTTTTTTTTTTTTTTGTATTCTTTTAACCACCCGCTTCCACTAGACCATTATTACTGATTACGGATAGAATTCTAAACATAATATTTTATAATTTTCCAAACTAACATTGAAAATTAGATTTTGATTTCCTAATAGTCTTTGAAAAATGTGTTCAGGTACAAACATGATTTATGTATTTTTAATATTTTTCAAATGGGCTGTTTGAAAACCGATCGCGATATATAAATCGTAATAACAATATTAAGTCAGTTATTCTGACTAAATATTATTTAATATGTTTTCGAATAATATTAAAATGATTTCACCTCACGAATTAGGTTATTTTTTTTTTATGATAATACATTATAACAAATGTAATTCGGGATTGTAAAGCTTGACAATAATATTGAAATTGAACACTGCATATCTGTGTTGCCGTAATGTACTCTTAATAACGTGTTTAATAACAAATAATGTAAAAACAACGGACTGCAGAGAGTGTGAGAGATAGAGACAGAGAGAGAAAGAGACCGAGAAGAATTATTACATTAATTCGCATACAAAAAAATACTCGTATGCACAAATTGCAAAACGTGCATTAAAATACTTTTAGTTTTATTATTATATGTTAATATTTTATACACACATACATAAAACTAGTTATACTAACTTTTCATAACAATATTTGTGTTGCACCTAATATGTTTTTTCAACGGCTATAAATGTCAAGGGTTAGGCAATAAAATAATTTACGAATTTTTCAACTGGAACAGTACCTATATAATTTATATATACATGCGGTCACTTTTAGTTTTAACATGAAAAATACATATGTCATATACCTACTTGTTTTTCCGCTTAGTTTTATTCCTCGTTAACCATAGGCGAAATAGACCAAATGTCTTGGGGGTGCTCAAACGCCTATACCATTGGTTATGAAAATACTCAGTATGTAATTGATAAGGATTTTTATGTGGTAGAAGGGCTAGGGAGTTGTTAGGGGATAAGCCCATCCTATTTACGTGTATGCCTTTAACCTTCTTTATTTTGAGTGTGGCATATAAAAAGACACAAATAACCGAGGCGTATAACTATTAATTCACGTCAATAATATTATATTCTTTCAAAAAATTACGAATACTATTAGTTAATATTATAAGAAGTCATATTTAATTTTACATGGTTTTAGATTGTAAACTAGGGATCTATTGATTTTACTATTTGTGTTTTTTTTATATTTTTTTTCTGTTTGTAAACAACTTTACTACCAGGAACCTTGTTTCAAAAATGACGGGATATTTTTGGTTTTTTTTTTTTTCAAACAGTTTTTATAACAGTTGGAGAAAACAGCAAAAAACATAGGAAATGTTATCGAAAAATTATAATTTGTGTTTTTGACTTTTTATTTTACTATCCCCTCCCCTCCCTTGATAAATAATACCTACACAAGAGCCTGACGTAATTATATTTCATATACTGTTTTATCATAAAAATAATATACTAATATTACATTTTTATGATTTAACTTTAGCACCAGCTAAATTTTAAATATTCGTGTGACCTTTATAACTCATCATGTATGACGGGCATACAACTAATAATATTAATATTATTAATGATTGTCACCATCGTCGTCGACCCGCCGAGTGTCGTTCTTGTTTGTCGTTCTTATTATATTATGAGGTGACATGCGTCACCGTAAATATTACTGAAACAACGTTGTGATTATAATAATAATAATTTGGAAGATGGCTGTGCAAAGGAGACTTTTTAACAATGCGACTATAGATAGATTTAATTTCATCCAGAAGATAAACCCGCGTCGTCGTCTTATGGTCGTAAAGAGTGGCAAAACCAAGATTTGTTTTCGGGGGGGGAGGGGGTTGAGTGAGGGAATAAGTTAGATTTGGTTATCATTTGGGCTATGAGTTTCAAAACATTGTGACTGAACACGGGTAGGCCATTGTTGCTGGTGGGTAGTTGGGAAGGTAGAGGATATACGACAAATCATTACGAACGAAAGATAGTAATGTAGTATAATAGCCGTGTTTTTTTCTCGTGTTACTAAGGTGGTATCTCAGAAATCGACAAATGAAAACCAATGTCATTTCTTGTCAATTATTTTAGATTGTTTGGATAATCTGTCGAGAATCTACACAAATGTTTCAAACAAAATATCGGGGCAATACATATCTGTTAATATACGATGTGACAAATTTGGAGCATTTTTATTACCTAAAAAAAAAAGTTTTTCGAGAAAAAAAAAATCTTAGTAAAAAATAGCTTCTTCGCTACACGTTAGATCTAAAAATCTAAAACAGGTAACACAAATTTGACAGCTACTTCTTCTTTTTAAGAAATACTGCTGTTTGCATATTTGATCCAAGTAATATAAATTATTACATACGATTTGTAAAAAAATCTCAAATTTCGGAAGGTGGCGAGTTATAACCCCAAATCTCACCCCTAGTTGTGTTACTAGTTATAAGACGATAAATTAAGTGTAACGTTTTATTAACAATTTCTTCAAAAGGTTTGCATGCACAGTTATTTATAATTAGGTCCCGGATTTAAATACACTCAAAATTCACAATAAAGATCTTGAAATCAACAAGAAGGCTTTGAAAAAAATCGTTTGAAAAATATTTAAAAATGTAAAAATAGTAGAGTGGTTTAAAATTCTACCCTCCTCTTTGACTGATTTAATTTATCAAATAAATATTATTAAACACAATTTTTTAGCATTTCAAAAATGGTTAATACAAAGTATTTTTTTAAGTAAAATCGTACATACTATAAATATAATTACTTTGTATTATACATTTGTGTAACGTTAGAAAAATGTTTAAATTAAGTTAGATCTTTTAGAAGCTTCTAAATATAATAGATATTTAATCGCTTCTGTTGTGTTTTTTACTTGCATTTAAATCCACGTCCTAGTTATAGCAATTATCCATTTATAAAATGTATTATATATCTTGTCAGAATTTTATATTACACAGCATCATCTTAGATAATACTAAAGTTAGATAAATGTAAAAAATTGATAGTACTCTTTTAAATATTTAATATTTCGTGGGAATTTTTATAGAAAAAAATGCGAAATATTTTATATTATTATTATAAACATGCAATACTCTATTAAATATTATAATATTATTTATTATATTAAAAAATATTTTTACATCAGCTGACCGAAATAATTGAATTTTTAAAAATGTGTGCATTCTTCACTACATGGGAGTATATTAAAATATTATTATATTTTTTCGTTAGGTCAGTCGGAAGGG